TGTTAACAAGCACCGGCGCTTCATACAAGATAGAACAAGTCAAAGCGTGGCAGAAAGGTCCGTTCTTTTATATCGCACTAGACAGGTCCCTAATCACCATTGAATGGTCAGTAAGGGTAGTAACGTGCAGTACCCACTTTTAGCTATACTCACCGATGTCATGTAATCACCGTTGTTCCATCACTTCGTCATAGAGCGAAAAGTTTCATACGCGCCGGAGACCTGGAAATCAGAATAATGTTGAAAAGTCTACATGGGATAATGATGAGTTCATAATTGGATTTTAGAATACTAACCTAACGGGAGCCATGAATTGCCTTGCTATACAGCAATACTAAACTTATGAACACCTCACTACTTATCACCCATATAATACCAACACCTCCATAGACGTCCGACCCAAAATAATTTGAACTCTTTCGCTACGTATCCACGCACACTACAGTCGACCTGCAGTAGCAACGCCATATGCCGCCAAGTTTAACTTTTTGAATTTTTTGTGCTTTGTGTTTGTTCTTATTCTTGTCGTTTAAAATCGGGTTCATAATCAAAACTGAAGACTGATGATTTAAGCTTAAAACAGTTTTTATAAATGGCATTCAATGATGTTTCTATTAGCTCCAAGTACTTGGATGAGGCTGATAAATTGTGTTGTGCTGTTATGGCTGCCCATCTACAGGGATTAGCGGACAACTTATTCGTAAGCAGAGTCGGGAATGATTTGACAGTGAAGGAATACAAAGTAAGAAAACACGAAAATAGTGAAAAACCGAAACGATCTTAAGAGACTATTGGAGATGGAAATTGATCAACGAGTTGAATTCTGTGACTTAGTGGAAAACATTTTGAAGAAAATCGCTGAATCTGAGGAAAGAAAGGTAGTGTTCATGGAATATTGAATATGAGAGTGTCGTTCAGAACGAGGAATTACGCGAGAAGTTACGCACTAGTGAAATACTGAAGAAATATTCTGAAAATATGAACTTCATCCAAGAACAGTATGAAAGTATGGAACTTGGATGTATGAAGTTTAATAAGTTTCATTTCCAGAGACTAAGACTCAAATACTTTCTGGTGATTTTTCCATGTTGAAAGAAGAAGTCAGAGGTAGTTCTATCTTAACTTTTCGGAATGATTTGAGTGGAAATGTTTCAGACGAAGAAGAAACCGGAAAGAATACTGAAATGGAGACCATCAGTCCTCTCATACCAAGCTACCAACAAACTGTTGTTGAAAGTACTCTAACGCTGGATACCCTTTGTCTTTTATATATTATTCTGCTTCAGGACCAGTTTTCACTTCACATTTCGCTAAAAAAATTGAAGCCGAATTTCTGGGGAATTTCGAAAAAAATGTTCTTGGTCCTATGAATGGGTTGAGGTATGGTTAAATATCTGCTTCTGATTGTTTTTCTTTAGCTTCCGCGAAGCTGATGCTCCCCATTCTATAAAGAAGTCTGAAAACTCGAAGCTTGAGCTTTCGTCGTTTTCGTCCGCATGTGGGATTGGAGATACTGCATTCTTAGGGAACTTGTCAGACATCAACCACGTTTCTGGGCGTAACTCTTTGGTTTCTTCTCTAGATGGATCTATTTGTGTTAATGAATCGGCGCAGTGCAGCAAACAAAGAGGTTCTTATAAGCTCTTGTTTTGTGTGATACTTGTTTCTAGGTTTATGCTATTACTCTCCTATAGTGAGCAAAACTCCTCCTCCTGCTCCAAACTTCGATGACTCTGATGACTTCAACGATCAAAATAAGATTCCAGATTACTCAGGAGCAGTTGGTAGACTCTCTGAAAAGGTAAGAATCATCGAATGAAAACCAACTAGTTTATTTTAAGAATCAGCCGATGGAGTTTAGAACTCCTTTAGCATCCAAGGCAGACTACTCTTATGTCGATACATATGTGGAACGTCCGAAATTCTCCTCTACCTTCGGTCAACAGTTCAACGACTAACAATCGCTGTTTTGAAAACTCTGAATCTCAAACCAGTTTCTTTCTTCACTGCATGTGCGATACTGTCTTTGTTACTTTGCTCGAAATACTCTCATCCATTAACAATAACTCCATGTATATACTAATTAATTAAAGATTGTATCGAATGAAGTTTTGATGGTAATGCAAAGCGTTTTTCTCCAATGTACTTCATAAATAATTGCCGTGAAAGATGTTTTATAATCATAGCCGACCTTACACATCCTATCATCACAATAGAGGACTTGAAGTGAGATCTTGAGAGATACGATGGAGTCGCAAGTCAGTGTGATGCGTATGCTCCAGCTCGATAGCCGATTCGCGTCCTATCGATTGAATAAAGTAGGAATTGAAAACAATGTCCTTTACCTGCAGGTTCTTAGGGTTTTCTAGTTCAGAAATTTAGATTCTGTTTTCAGCCTACTTGTCGTAAAGCGCTTCTCATATGTTGTATAGATACTCTCTTCCCCTCCTCATGGAAATACATCATTCACTTACCTGTAGTGGAATTGATATACTCTAAGCCCGCTTGCTCCTACTACACTGATTACATATATGTTTTAACAGTCTTAGTTTTAGTAAGATATGCTTCTCTCAAACTCTTCACAACTGTATCCTTGTTTAGGAAGGCGAGGAGACTCCTAGTGTTGTTTTGTTCCAAGCTCACAAAAAAACGAATGATCTCCAAAAATTTTAGTTGAGAAATATTGGAACAGAGGTTCTTCAATGTTGTCGTTTTCAGCTTAGATGAGTCATCTGGAGCAGCTTTCGAAGAAGTTCCTCTAGAAGCAGTGAAGCTTTTCTGCGGTCAAGAGAAATTGCACTTGTATGATGGTAGTATCGTCATTGGGGCCATACCTTATTGGGATGTCATTCTCGATCACACCACAGTGAAACTATTTTTTCCTATTAGACCTGAACATCTCAATTTAGAACAAGTTCGTCATTGAAAGAAAGGATATTCCCAATGATTCATGTAAAAGAACAACTCGGTATCCAATCCCTGTCGCTCCAGGTCAAGTGTGTCCTGGCTCGTGAATTTCATACGAATTTTTTAGAATCAAGAATATTCGCTCATTGGAGTGAAGAAGGCACTTTGACAGTTTCGAATAACGAAAAGTGGGAAGAGTATGTACCTGATCCTTCCTGTTCTGTTAATGTGAGAACTATTATATTGAAGAGAATACAATGAAGTTTCAGCTGTTTCTTTTTGGCAGTCGAGCAATCCATGAAACATATGGAAGAGCCGGTCATCGTGTTGGCGCCATAGAATCCCCTATGACGTTCTATGCAGATTTTCATACGATAATAGCGAAAGTAACAGACCACCGTCGTCACAACTATTTCCAATTATGTCTAGGTATTTCTATATTGGCCTTTAAATATCAATGATGTGTCATTTCAGATCATGAGCAAAAAATGTTCAAAGTCCTTCATCGGGGAGTAGTGAAGTATAGCTCAGGGGTAGATCGTATGTTCTACGCTATGGTTACAGAGAAGATCATCGCTCTGATAGGAATCCGATCTATTGCTATAACACCACTATGCGTAAGCTTTCTTAATTGGTATAGATGAATCTATACTAAGTTTTAGCCCCTTCCTCTTGCTGATTTATGTATATGGGAGATCCAGAAGAAGCATACAACGGTGGATGGTTTGGGTGGCCGCAAAGGAGGATTGAAACCTGACGAAATTTGGAAAAAGTGTTGTGAAGTCAAGAACCCTCTTAGCTTAGCACAATCGGAGAAAATTGATTGATTCCATTTTTTCGTAATCTTTATTGTTAAGTAGGCTTCATTGCCACACGCAAATGTATTTACATTAAGCAAAATTACAAAATCTCGATTAAGAAAATGCACAGAGTAGTTGAAGACGTTCTTCTTCTAACTACAGTTATTATTGTCTAATTTTCCAATTATTCATAAATATTACAGCTCCGAGTTGAGAAGTTCTTGTCCTGGGGCGCGTGGATTCTCAGGAGCATGCTCACATTTGAAAGTTAATGGGTTGGGGCGGAATGGGAAACAACAGCATCGACACACCTTTTCCACTCGATACTTCATGCCTTTGCTAGTGATAGTTCGAATTTTGCTGGAAAAAAACGATTTCTTTCATAGTATCCAGACTCTTACCGTGATTGAGGTAGACAGCTATACCAATTGAGCGCTTCCACGTGAGCTCGGAAAGCCGGCTCAACTGACGATAAATCTACACGCGCAGCAGGCCACAGAACACACTCTCCCCCGTTTTCCTGAACAATTATTCTGAGTAACTCACTAAAAGTTGTCATCATACTTTTACTAAGTCATAATCCACCATGCAAGAGTCTACTTGACTATCTCCTCCAAGATCTCTGATAGAGCATACTCGTTCAGCCACGAAAAATGGAATTATAGGACGTCCACCATCGATTCTTTAAAACAACTTTGAATAACAGCCAACTTTATGTTTTCCTCACGTGAAAGGACTAACATTACACTTCTTGGCTCCACCAAATCCGCAACTCTGTTTGTAGGAACAGAGTCCACATGGTTTTTCTGATTTCAAAATGAACTGCATGTATCCATAAAAGCTATTCAGAGCCTCAAATTTATTGAAATATCTGTTTCGTAACTTCTCAATGTAACTTCAAACCTTCTCGTATCTCTTGACAAACATGTAAAACCAATGCTGTTGACAAACATTGGAAACTTGATCCAGGTAACGGGCCTACATTCAAAAATGATGTTCCCAGAATAGTCTTATTCTCTTACTTGTCCGTTTTTCTCTGGCCACACACATGGACCCCAGCTACTCCAGTTGCTACAATCTTCTGAGCGCACTGCGTGAGAGTAGACGGCTGCGAGTTGAGCCCAACCTTTAGTGCGCTAAGATTTTTAGGAATACCCTTACTTGAATTATTTTTGATGTTCCCCTCAACATGTTTATATTCTAGCACAGCAACATACACTCACTCTCGCACTTAAATAAATGGTTTGGTAAGAAACTGAGTTACACACTACAAATCGAAGCTATCGCTCCCGGAATCATTTGCGGTAGTCTTCAAACGAGACATAAAAAATGTTCAAATGCATAAAAAAGCTCTTGGCTTTCAGTACTACTTCGGGGCACTATGTCAAGGGCGAATCTTATCATTTTCACGTTTTCTTAAGTAATATCAAATGATTTGGAACACCAACGAAATGTTTTTTTAGGTTCTAGATATTCACACCTACCATTTCCACACAAAAACATGGCTTGTGTTAACTGACGTTACAAAATTATGCCAGTTTTTGAATGCTTGAGAGTCAGGGAATTTGTATTTTCCGGAGATAACTAGTTTATGTAACGATTGCTAACAATCATGCGCAACTAGACATGCCGTCTACTGACGGAGTAACTTAAAGTCTTTAAAGAGCACCAGCCTATTTTTTTTCTGTTTGTAATCGAGACAATCTTTGTTAATTGAGCCTCAACACAAATATTAGAAGAAAATTATTTACGGCAACTTTGGATAATAATGTTCATGTGGAAGTGGAAAAGTTAGTTTAAAGAAAAAGACATACCACTCGCTGTGATGCTCAGAAGAATCCAAACACGGAGCATCATTTGATGAATATATCCACGATGAGATCCGAACTATCACTGATGCTGTTTAAATTTCCAAGCACTGTAGCTACGGGCAATCCCTGTAACCACGCCCATGCAATTGACATCCGATTGGCTTCCGAAAGTGGGCCAGGTTCCTCATAGGTTTCATTCGTTGAAATTAGTGTTTCCGACTTGAGTCATTTATTAGGTATTTGAGCAAGCTCATGTTCCGGAAATCGGGGAGGTTTTTTTGGTCGATAATCATTGCTATCAGGAAAAGATAGAAAATGCGAGAGGTGTACGACTTGTCATCCTAAGTACGGTATGAGGTTTGCAGTTTTCTTCTGTAACCTCAGGCTTTGTTGTCCCTTTGATCAGCATTAGAAAAGTTTATAGGCCTTTGCTGATTGACTGACTATTCAGAGCGTCAGGTCAAACACAACACTTCGACATTATGATCTCATTCCAAGCAATTTCTCAAAAATTTCAATTTCTTATCAGCATTGCCGCCTCACGAACTCAAACGTTCCTTGCAACAAACCTCCATAAAACGAGGTTATTTTATAATTTCTTAAGAAAATTTTTTTCTGAAACAACGTCTCCGGTTGAAATCCAGGTCAAGAATCAGCAAATTGAGTTCGAAATCAGTGAACTAAAAGGTTAGTGAATGTCTGTTGATCTAGTCTCGTTGAAGTGACTGTTCAGGGTATTCGATGTCCCCAAAGTTTGTTATAACATGTTTAAGACAGAACACAGCGAAAGTTACAAAAATGACTTGGACAGCCCAAAAAACGTTTTAGCACAACGTTATATCGGCTCTGTACTTTTTCACACTGTTTACAGGTTTGCATGAATGAAGAACTTTATCAGCGATTTTCAAAAACGAGAACTGATCGGGAACCTCGTCGTTATCATTAAATCTAATTTCATGACTAGTAGTAAAACCCTCAGAAAGAAGGGAAAACCCTTTGCCTATCAACAATCAAGGAAACATTTCTTCGTCGTCTTACAAAAACTTCTTCCATTTTCTACCCAACACGCCTTTCGATGACTTTCCTATCAAAATTTACTCGTAATTCTAGTTTTTTCTCACGATGTTCAGAAAAAAAAAAGATTTTTATCATATGATCTCAATGGCAACGTATGACCAGAGAGATAGAGCGAGCGAAATGCACATTAACACGTACACAAGCGCTGTTCTTGTACAGCTTTTTGAATTTGGAAGGGAAATTTTCATCCTTATTAAGCATAATTCGAATATAAAAAAAGGGTTCAACGTAATCATTCGCGCGAACATCACCATCGATCACAAACATAGACACACTCACACGAACATGCGCATACAAACACACCCATGAGTTGTGTGTATGTATATGTGGTGTGTGTGTGTGTGTATATGTGCGCGTGTGTGTTATTACAACAAAAACTAAAGACATTTCACGGATTTTTGGTGAATGAAAGTTTAAGGAACTTATATCCATGTAATCGTCTCGATTGCAAGAAAAAACGGGTATTTATAACAGGATTAGGCTACGCAATCGCCTATCTTACTCGATTTGGCTGTAATCGTTAAAGATTTTTCTTTTTCTGCGTACGGTATTACATGATTACGTGGATAATCATAGGTGTAACCAGGACTAAAAAACGCTCACGAATTATTCAATGAATTAAATTATCTTAAAGTTCGTAATGCACTATTTTTATTGATTCAATGTTTACGCTTTATTGATTTAATATTCAAAATGCTTTAAGCCAAGCTGGCAGTTCCCATATTCTCTTTTTCGCGCTTTGTTATATTTCGGAAAACTATTTTGCCTCTTTTCAACTGCGAAGTCTCAACTCAGGAGGTCATCTGACACAGGAGTGAAGCTTTACTTCTTGACTTAAGATAACCGCACGCGACTGCTGGAAGCGCCGCGGTCTATTTCCGAGTGCAAGGGAGGGGGGAGTGAGTTTGGCACAAGAAATGGGAAGCTGTGTTATGAAACGCCATTTTGAAATAATTTTAAATTTTAGTTATTAGATGTTTGAATCATTATTGATATTTGATTTGTAGGCTCGTTTTATATCATTTTAAAATTCGTTTGACGCACACACACCGTTGTTCTTGTACTCACCTCCTAGCGATAGTGGTTGAATTGCACATCGATTTGTTTTATTTTAGCTTTTCGCGTTCAACAATTAACATTTTTCCTTTTTCGAATTTTATGTTTCATTTTTTTGTATAATTTACTGCAAATGTGTCTAGCCATATGTTTTGAAAACATTATCTATCATGTGATCAGAGACCATCAGTGGTGATAAGGTGAAATCGATTTTATTCTGGAATTCAACAAGTATGGATGTTGTCTAATTAATTTTTTTCTGTGTTCACATTTTTTAAAGACATTCTTCTCGAGAACTTCGCATACGTACATATCATGATGTTACTCATAGAATTTTAATTTAGGCTTTGATGGGCCAAACACTTAGTGAACCAGTGACGACAAAGGCGTCCGCTTCATGCGCTAATGAATCTTATTTGGTAGCTTCTAGTTGTATGCAAGGATGGAGAATAAGTACTGTTTAACATTGTCCGAGATGTAAAATGGTTATGACATACTTTCAGATATGGAAGATGCACATACCCATTTACTCGCATTACCGGATGATCCACAATGTGCATTCTTTGCTGTTTACGATGGACATGGTGGACCTAGAGTATGTTACATTCTGTTTCCTCCTGCTTCTATGTTTAATGTACTTAGGTTTCGCAATATGCTGGTATTAATCTTCACAAGCAGGTTTTACAAACCAAGGAATATAGTGAGTTCAACACTTTCATTTTGCTCTGTTTCTCTTTTATTAGTTCTTTTTCTTTTCAGAAGAGGGTAACTTGGTTGGTTCTCTTAGAAAAGGTTTTTTGGCTTTAGACGATCAAATGCGACAGGTGAGCAGCTCTAAACCTCTTAGTTTTTCTGTTGAAAAAAGCATTTTAGGATGAGGAAATGAAAGATGATGCTTCCGGAACAACAGCAGTTGTCGTATTAATCAAGAATAAAGTATTATATTGTGGTGAGTTTGTGTATTCATAATCTTTCTCTATGTTTTGCTTCTAAGGAAATGTGGGAGACTCACGTGCTGTCGTATCTGTATGCGGCGAAGCAAGACCGTTGAGTTTCGATCATAAGCCCGCCAATGATATAGAGGTAAATATTTTCGCCAGACCTACTTGACGTACTGCTCTTAAAGTCGAAAAGAATCATTGCTGCTGGTGGATGGGTAGAGTTCAATCGAGTAAATGGTAATCTTGCTTTGTCCCGAGCACTTGGTGATTTCTGGTTCAAGAAAAATGAGAAGATGCCACCAGAGGAGCAGATTGTCACAGGTACGCTCATACCGCTCTCTATTTCAAATATTTTAATAAACCTTCAGCATATCCTGAGGTAATTAAAGATGAACTGACTGAAGACCATGAGTTTATGGTATTAGCTTGTGATGGAATCTGGGATGTAATGAGCAATCAAGAAGTTGTTGATTTCATTCGTGAGAGATTAGCAGACAAACGCGACCCTCAAACTGTATTTCAATTATTCTTGTTATCTTTTTATCAAATATTTTTTAAGATCTGTGAAGAGCTTTTAACACGTTGTCTTGCTCCTGACTGTCAAATGGGAGGATTGGGCTGTGATAACATGACTGTGAGTCTTTCCATTTTCTTTCTCTTTTCATTGTCTTTTTTATTAGGTTGTCATTGTTGGCTTTTTACAAGGAGATTCAGTTGATGCCCTAGCAGCTAAATGTGCTAGAGCTGCTGTTATTACTTATCAACATGTAAATCAAGTGAGTTTCACTCATTGAATCGTAACAAAGATTTCAATCGTTTAGGTAATAGGAGAGTTTGATGAAGGGTCCCAAGCAGCATGGGGATTAACAGTAGAACCTGAAAAAGAAGATGGTTTCCATACGCCTCAACCGTCGCCGGATACTACTGGGTGCCAGTTAGCGACTACAGATGATTCTGAGAGTGATCAACCACCTAGTGAATTTAGTACTTAAGGTAGGCTTCATTTCTTATATATGATCACGCAAACCAAAACTTGCAGGGCGACACGTGTGGAACGGGTACTTTGCTGTTCCTAAAATGGGAATTATTAACGTGCAACCTTGGGTATTTTGTATATTTTTTTTTGCACAAAGTCGAATTTCACATTAACCTTATTTAGAGTATTGTTTCTTTTAATACCAGGAGTTTATAACTTGCTTTTAGTAAGTAGTTTCCGCAGGTTAATACAATCTTTTTTATTCCTGGCTTTATCCAGTGCTTTGATATCCCTATTCACGACTTAATCTGAATTTGCTGTGATATTATTGCTCATTGCACGTTACATCAACATCAGTTGTCCCTGAGATCGTATTACCTGCTGACCACTTCATTGAAAATATAAATTTCTTTAAAGGCCTTTGTGATTATTGTTTGTGTCTTCTTGTTTCCGGAATTCCTTATCGGTCGAACTACCAATCGCACAATGTTTGTAGATCAGCCCCTCGCAACCAAATTACACATTATATCTTGAGTATCAGGCTATACCTTGTGCACCAAAGTAGGTATTAGGGTTTTATCCGTTCCCATTGTTTTTTCTAATATCTGGTTAGCAACTGCGTTGTCTAAACTTCGTTATAAGTGCTGATGTAACTGTTTTGTAAATACTGTTAAAAGAATAAAAATTTACTTGAAAAAAAACATCTTGGTAATATCACAGATAAGTAAGTAATCATAAAACTTGATAAGTGAATGTACGTGAAAAAATATTATCTAATAAACGAACTTATTACTGTAAGAAACTTCATAACCAGAGAATGGACCAGCAGTGGTTACGGGAGGTTCGACATAGTGTGGATTAGAGTAAGACTACAAAGGTTCAAGATTAGTCCTTTAAATATCTATTCAAAACTCACTGATTGCGTATTTGGGTTAGAACGAACTTCTTCGTTTTCGTTTTGATTTCTGTTTCCAATTGAACTTTCGCCAGTAGCAGGGATAGCACAGTCGTTAAACATTGGGTTATCGAATTCTACTCTTACGCATGTGGTACTGGTTTGTCCTGGAGTCTTGGGAGTTCTGAATTGTATGAATGAGTAACGGAAATTACAGACTGCGTACCTGGCCAAAGATGGGATATGGCTACGGATGTTTTCCACGATTGGAGAAACTTTAGGAGCGATATTCATTTGGTTGAGACGAGATGCTCCCATCTTTCCAACAGCTCTGCGAATCAAAAACATTTATAGGAACGATATATTTTCTTACTGGATCCTTTCCTTGTTGTGATAGAGGAAGATAACGAGGGTGACGGAGAAAGCCAAGAATAAGAAGAAGAAAACAACGGACATCCAAACGCTTTGTCCTTCTTCATCTGTGAGTGCAGAAGCTTCCATTAAATGCTCGCAGTGAGCACCATCGAACTCATCGGCGCAACTACAAGACAAAAAATTGAGCAGATTCGAGGGTTGGAAGACTTACGTGCAGATGATTCTGTTGCTGGTGATTCCATCGACTGCGACCTCTTCGCAAACTCCACCGTTGAAGCAAGCTTTGTTTTGATCACACAACTCTTTCATGACGGCAAAGCCAGTGTAAGACTGAACAAGGTTCATATTAAAACTATATTTTTTATTAACTAACTTCATTTTCGGTATATTTGTGTCTCATGCCAATCTCAGGAATACAGTCGTTATCTTCAGACTTATAACCATTAGGACAAACGCATCTAGCAGCGGGCTGGTTATTATGATCAAAGATATTAGTGCACATCCAATTACAATTGATCTTCTTGCAGGGATCATGAAGAATGGAGGGCTGAATAAGCATTATCATTATATTCAAATTAATAATAGTTACCTGTGCCATGGAGTGATTGACAGCAATACCATATGGGAACTTATGGTAAGAGTGAACGATTGTAGCTGTAGAGTGATGGTGACTAAGCTGGACCTTCTTCAAAGCTTGAGTTCCCCACTCAGACCAATAGATATCTCCATTGAAAACCAACATATCATATGGATGAAGGACGCCATTAGACAAAACAATGTGTCTAAACAGTTACATGGTCAGTTATAAAGCAAAGACAGAATACCTCTCAAGAGTGGCAATGTTAATTTTCTCGATGAGACCTTTCTCAACATCTCCGAAATAGAGTTCTCCGCGGATGGAATCTACAGTCAATCCCATTGGGTAATCCAACTTGTTGTCGACCAGAGTTCTTGATTCGCTACCATCCAAATTGCATACGCAAATCTTGAAGTGGCCTCCATAAGAATCGATCCAAAACAAGAGACCCCTCTGAGGGTAGATAGCAAGTCCCATGTAACTTTGTCTCTTAGAAGCATCATCGGAATCAGCATCAACTCCGCGGATGATTTGCTTGCAATAGAATCCATTGGCAGTACAGATAGTAATTCCTGGATTAGGAGCGGGATCTGTAATAATAGGTTGAAAAAGGTAAATAAATAAAATTTTTACATTTCTGGGTGAAGTACACATTCTTGGTTGACCAGTCTACAACGACCTGACCAATACCAATAACATTCTCACGGATAACTTTGAGATGCCCATTCACTGATACAGCCTATAAAATGAATTTGAAGAAGGAAATTCAGAATCAGTTTACCAGTTCTCCTTCTTGAGGACTCCTCATGATGGCGGCATACATTTGACCGGTGGATACAACATAATCAATAGATTTTACCAATCCATGAGAACCAATATCTTGATGTACGGAATAACCATCAGTTGAGTCAAGGGGATCGAAAATTGGCATTCTTCTGATTTCATTACCCAGAGCGATGAAAATTCTTCCGTCATGGGTGGAATCGAGTTTACAGGTGAATCCATCTCTTCCCAAGGAATAACCGGCAGCGCATTTACAGTGGAATCTAAATGCAAATGAAGCAACTGTAATACAAGGAAACCATACTTGTTGTGGGAATTTTCACAATAATGCTGGCAATGCTTGCCTTCTTCGAGACATTCATCTATATCAATGCAGGAGTATCCATCATCAGCAAGCTCGGTTCCAGGTCCACAATGACACTTGACTCCTGAAAATTGTTCTATGATTCCGTTCGTAGAAAAATAGGCATACCAGCAGAGAAAATGTGGCACTTGTATTCACAGTTCAGAGATCGACACTCATCACAGTGTTCTCCCTCATCATCTCCAGCAGGACAATCTCTTTTACTATCGCAAGTTCTATTGAATGAAATACATTGTCCCTCATCTACAAAACCACACTAAATAACTATAGTTCCAAGAATCACTTACTTCCTGAGCAACGGAACTCATCCTTGGAGCACAATTTTACGTTTTCTTGAGCACCCAATTCTTCAGAAGCATCACAGTCAGTCTGAATTATTAATAAGAAAGTTTCTTTAGATAAATGTCACCTCATCCGAACCATCATCACAATCTTTGGCTCCATCACAAAGCCAAGCAAGAGGAACGCAAGCGGATCCATCAGCGCAAGTCATGGAGTTTGAACTACATTGAATAGGCTGATCGTCTTCATCATCGTGTTCAAGGTGTTCACATTGAACTTCATCATCTCCATATGGACAGTCCTGACGTATATGTTAAAAAAAAGTTATAATCAAGCTAAATACCCTATCGCCATCGCAAACAGCTGAAGCTGCAATGCATGGTCCATTACCGCGACATTGGTACTTAGGATGAGAGCAAGCAGAAATGAAACCATTTCCGAAAGAGAAATGCATATTGTTACTGAAACCATAATTTAGACGACTATTCAACTCGTACTCTCACTTTGGTGGAGGGGGATAACTTCCACAAGCGACTTCATCTGAACCATCCATGCAATCAACAGTTCCGTCGCATTTGAAAGCGGCAGAAATACATTCTCCATCCCTGCAGGCCATTGTGTTTCCGGTACAGTCATGCTTGAATTTGCATTTTGCCTCATCCTGAAGATCGAATTATCAGATAAACCTGCACATAAGCACTTACGAATCCATTTGCACAATCTCGGACATTATCGCATATCCACTCAAGGGGAATACATCTTGGACTGCCAGACTGACAATCAAAGAAGGTTGAGTTACAAACGGTTGGTGCAGCAAAAGCAACTGATGAGATCTATAAAACGCCTGATTATTATAACATCAACTAATGGTTACCTGAAGAAGGGTCAAAACAGTGACCAAAAAGGCGGTGGCCGTCCGCATGTTTGTAAGAGTAAGTACTGGTTAGAAAGTTAATTGGACGACTGACGTTATCATTACATTCCCACTGTCTCCAGCCCAACCATTAGGTAGATCAAATGTTAACATTCAGCCGCCAATGATCAAGTTGTACAAAGTACAGGATTGTTTTAATTATTGGCAGATAAAGACTGAGATATCTTCAATTATGATTTTCAATAAAAATATTTTCATTCAATTACGTACGGTACGCAGCCAGACTGGCTTACTGGCTGAGTCAGTGTTCTCATTTGCATATAAGCCTAGCTCGAACTGTCAAGTTACAGTGATGTGTTTTCACATGAAGTTTACGTCACTTAGACCAAAATGTACTGTTTCATTTTAATCGTTTGCATCATTGCTGTGTGGTCTATACTCTTAACTGTCATCTAGATCTTCTTTTTAAAGCATTGGTGAAACATCTTTCCAAATGGAATTTTCCAAATACTCTTTGTTTTTGTTTTTCTCCAAGCTATTTTTGTTTTAACCTCTTTTTTTTCTGATTTGCAGTTACGGCGTACGTGACATGCTAGGACAGACAAAAAAGAGTGGCAGAACACACATCTTTCGAGTGGATAAGTAAAGAAGAGCCGCCCCCGTACATTAGTTAGTAGAGGAAACAGATGAGGAAACATTCTTAATGATACTATCATTGAAGATATGGATATCTCAAACAATACAAAAACAAATCAAAATTTCTTTTCAATTGTTTGATTTCATTATTGTTCGAGGTGTTTTTTGTTTCATGTCAGATATATTAAGGAACATAACAAAAGTAAATTTGCTATGATGAGATTCTCACAGAAGAAGAGAAGAGAGAACTTATCGGACAAAATGTATTCAACTCGAACATGAAAAGTTCAGTTATTCTCACTGTTACAGTTATAACTCAGTGATGTACTCAAGCACGTCGACATTGAGTGAATAAGCTCTAAACTCATTGATGTACTCGTAGCTTCTATGCCATGGAATTGATGAGCGACATATTTATATAAAATATGTTCATGGCAACGACATGAGATAAGCAAATAAGCTTGACACAGCACAACAGTCTAGTGATAACAGAGATTTGCGACATCATAACGGAATATCCGTCTTCTGACGGAAATTTTTGAAAAAGAAGTTTGACTGCTTGTGTGCGTTTGAGAAGGTGCGGCAAGAGGGCTGCACATATATTATTAAAAGAAGAGAGCGTGAGATAGAAGAAGAGTTGGATCGCAAATCTGTATTGTATCTCGTAGTCGTTCAGGGATCGTAGCTAATCTCAGAGTGCGCCTTTTCTGCAACGGAAACAGAGAGTTTCAGAGAAATGCACAAGAGGTAGAAATAAGAGACAATGGAGAAGAAGATTTCATTCCCCTTCACTTTGACATACGCAGATACATACTACGTTTAGATTGGAGCCTTTGAGCTTTATCTGACCACAAAAACGTTATTGTTCTTCTTTTTTTTTTAAAGAGTGAAACTGTTCTGTCTATACTTTTAACATTAATAAACGGTGGTCACTTGCATGTTTAAGCAGTAATGGCAAACATTGATTTTATGCTTGATCCTGGATGGCCGTTCTTACGCCAAACTCCTGATGAGGCTTTGAAGGTGAGCTCATAAAAAAATTCTTACCGTAACTTGTAAAACATCGTCAACGTTTGTGCTCAAAGTGCTCGTAAGATGAGAATCGTAAGCTAATGGGGAGTGAATGGATAATTATTCAATGTGTCAATATTTTTCTACCTCCTGCTCTATGGTACTTTGGATTTTTGCCATTTGTTTGGATAATCGTCGATTGTTAAAACTACTCAAACTTACTAAACTATTATTTTGAACTGGACTTGTTATGATAACACTTTTTTTTCTGATTAATTGTTTTTAGGAACAAGCTGCTCGTAAATATGATAATAAGAGCCATACTTGGGTACCGGATCCGACTGAAGGGTTTGTTATTGCATCCATCTCTGTTCAAGAAGGAAATAATTTATCATTAACTATGCCCGATGGCTCACAAGTTTGCGAAAGTTTTAATAAAACCAACTTTGATTAATCTTTAGAAAAAAATGCAAAAAGATGACTGTCAAGAGATCAACCCCGCCAAGTTTGAAAAAACTGAGGATATGTCTAACTTGACCTTCCTGAATGAAGCTTCCGTTCTTCATAATCTTCGACAGCGTTACTACTCGATGATGATCTATGTAGGATCAATTTTTCATTTTTATACCTTTTCTGGTTTAGACATATTCAGGATTATTCTGTGTCTTCATTAATCCATATAAAATGTTACCGATTTACACCGACTCGGTTGCCAATATGTATATCGGAAAGAGAAGATCAGAGATGCCTCCTCATCTTTTTGCTGTTTCGGATGAAGCGTATCGTAACATGATCCATGGTGTGTGTACACATATAATTTATAACATAAATCTTTCTTAAGATCAAGAGAACCAGTCTATGTTAATTACTGGAGAGTCAGGAGCTGGTAAAACGGAAAATACCAAGAAAGTTATCGCTTACTTCGCCAGAATTGGTAGTAACAACAAGACAGCAAACACGGATGGAAAAAAATCTGTACGATTCAAAGATCTTGGAGTATGCACATTCACCTCTTTACCCAATTTCAGTACCTTTAATTAGTTTCTTAAAAATTGCTCTACCCAAAAGCTTACATCTTCACCGTCCTTTTTTGGCATCCCCGCCTTAGTGAAAGAGAAGCGGCAGCACGGTATTAAAATATTGGAGGTCAAGAAACAACATAGGTTAGAAGAGAGAGGGAACGGTGTAGACTAAAGCTTGTTATATTCCACGGTTTGTAAGCATTTCTACTCGAGCCGTTAATTCATTGCTGCTCGGACTCTAATGAAGGCTAGTGACAGTGAAAGGCAGATTTCTAGAAGTCATGCGCAGCTTCTTCCAAGATTTTCGACATACCCTTGCTTTAAAGAGAACAAACAGATAGCCAAAGTCAACATTTTGTAGACATTCCTGTTCGTGTGAGGCATAGGAATCACATGGGACAAGACAAAAGCCCGCTTTTCTTCATCTCATAATTTCTTAGCATATTTCTTCTGTTCGAAGCTTTTTGCGCTTTAATAAATAGTATTGGGGATCAAAGGCGCAGAGTATGTCGGTGTGAACAAAAAAAAATTGGAAATGATGAGAAGTGCTTGAGTTGCATGGCTTTTTTAACCTTGGACATGTGGTCCAGTCATTTTTTTCATTGAGCATTCTATATTTCTTGTTCAGGAAAGTTCTTTGGAAGATCAAATCGTTCAAGCAAACCCTGCTATCGAAGCTTTTGGTAATGGGGCTACCACGAGGTGTGAACTGCATAGTTCCATGGTTACTCCTATATTGTAATTTAGAAATTATAACTCTTCTCGATACGGAAAGTTCATCAGAATTCATTTCAACAAGAAAGGAAAGCTTGTTGGTGGTGATATTGAACATTGTATGTTTGATTAAGATTCTAACATTATTAGTATTATGCTCTCAGATCTCTTGGAGAAATCTCGTGTAATAAAACAAGCTCCAGGAGAGAGATCCTACCATATCTTCTACCAAATCATGACTCAAAAGAAATTGAGAGGTACATCAATAACTCATTATCTCTAGTACAACAATACTTCAGAACGATATCAATTGGTAGAGGATATTCGTAAGTACAACTCAGTGTCTCAAGCTGAGATAACCGTACCCGGAATGGACGACAAGGAAGAGTTCAGAATTACCGATGTAATTTTAAGTTTCCCTTCTGCTTAACTCAATATGAACAGAACGCATTCGATGTTATGGGCTTCTCGGATCGCGAGAAGGATGATTTATACAAAGCCTGTGCCGCAATCATGCATTTGATGTGTTCGAAATTCAAGCAGAAACCAAGAGAGGAGCAAGCTGAAGTCGATGATATGGAAGGTAAGAATCGCTTCATATGAGTTTTGTGATTATTAACTTCATCAGCTCCTACTCGTGCTTGTCGTCTATTCGGAAGTGATCCTGATATCTTCGTTAACGCTTTGACTAGACCAAGAATCAAAGTTGGAACTGAATGGGTTAACAAAGGACAGAATTTACAGCAGGTTTTGTACTGAGACTCGTCAAATGTCACATAGAAGTTAAGGTGGATTGGGCAGTCGGTGCTCTATCTAAGGCGATTTACGCTCGCATGTTCACATGGCTTATCAAGCGCGTCAATGTCACTTTGCAAGCCAACCTCGAAGATTCTGAAAATTACATCGGTGTTCTCGATATTGCCGGATTTGAAATCTTCGACGTAATAACATTCTATTTCATTTTCTGAATCTATATTTTCTTGCAGAGGAACTCCTTCGAACAGCTCTGGATCAACTTCGTAAACGAAAAACTCCAACAGTTTTTCAATCACCATATGTTCGTCTTAGAGCAGGAGGAGTATCAGCGTGAAAACATTGAATGGACATTCATTGACTTCGGTCTCGACTTGCAAACTTGCATAGAACTGATCGAAAAGGTAGGATCAATAACACTACCATCGTGACAATATAGTTTCCAGCCTCTCGGTATCGTTTCAATGCTCGATGAAGAATGTATTGTTCCTAAGGCATCAGATCACACTTACGTTGAAAAACTGATCAATCAGCATCTTGGAAAGCACCCTAATTTCCAAAAGGTTAGTTCTACATGAAAAGAGTGGTTGATCAAATTGTGTTTATAGCCTAAACCTCCAAAAGGAACACAAGCTGAAGCCCACTTTGCCATAGTTCATTATGCTGGAACTGTACGGTATAATGCTGATCAGTGGTTGGATAAGAATAAGGTGACAACTTTTCTCAATTTCTCATTTTCCAATATATTGAATTCAGGATCCTTTGAATGATTCTGCAGTAGCTGTTCTTAAGACAGGAGATAAAAATGGATTGATGTTCAAAATTTGGGAAGATTACATGACCGACGTTGATAGAGAAGAGAATGCTTCACGTGGTATGTTATCAATTCTAATAAAATCAATTATTCGGTGTTTAGGCAAAGCAGCTCAACCTATCAAGAAAAAGGGAAAATCTGCCTCGTTCTTGACTGTCTCAACTATGTACCGCGAGTCTCTCTCCAGCTTGATGAACATGCTCCACTCAACACACCCACACTTCATAAGGTCGAAAAAAAGATTTTTCCATTAACTTGGTTTCAATCGTTTAGATGTATTATTCCAAATGAAAGGAAGAAATGTGGACTTGTAGATGCTCCTTTGGTTTTGAATCAAGTATGTGTGTTAACATGAGACTGTCAAATCAGTGTTGCTTTAGTTAACATGCAATGGTGTATTGGAAGGCATTCGTATTTGTCGCAAAGGTTTCCCCAATCGCTTGGTATATCCTGAATTCCGCTTCCGTTATGCTATCTTAGCTGCGGACGAGGCTTCAGTTGCTGATGCTGCAGAGGTTAAGCTATCTTCTTCGTTGGTCTAAACCGTGTTATAACTCTAGGCTTCGCAAAAAATGTTAGCTCGTCTCAGTAAGGAAAACAAGATAAATGTTGATTCGTACAAGACTGGATCAACAAAGGTACTAGAAATCAGGGTGTAGATTGCTTTTCAACAGCTTATTTAGGTGTTTTTCCGTGCTGGAATGCTTGCTAGAATGGAAGAGCTTCGTGATGAAGCAATTGCTAAGATCATGGTCAAATTCCAATGTGCTGCTCGTCACTATCTTGGACAGGTAATTCTGTTATGCATGCTTACAATTTTATACTTGTATTAGCTAAAGAAAGCAGTTAAACTCATCTTGTCAAGTTCCTAGTTTTTTTTAGCTTCCTGAGGTCCTCGTTGATTCTCTGTCCTTCTGTTTGCCCGTGCTTTCCTCTTCAGCTCCGTTTAACCGTCTTCTCTTCTCGCATTTTGTCATATATCGATCATTCATTTCATATAATAATATTTTATGATTGATACACACATCTTCATAACTAACTCATCTGAATGTTACTCTATCTATCATCTATCAATGCTCTATCACATTTTCATGATTTTAGTGTGAATATAAAAGACGATTGGATCAAGAGGATTCGTTTGTTGTAATCCAGGAGAACATCCGAAAGTGGACAAAATTACGGTTTGTCTCTTGTTGATTGATTGTTTCATCTTATTATTCATAGTGCTTGGCCTTGGTATCGTTTGTACACTCGTCTGAAGCCTATGCTCAAAGGAATGCGCTCCAATGCAGAAGTTGAAGCGCTTGAGCGCAAAGTTAAGGTTGGCAGTGATGATTCAGTACAGCAATGATAATGAACTTTCTTTCTTTTAAGGATTTGGAGGAAGCCAACAAAGCTGAGGAAGATTTGAAGAAGAAGTTGGCAGACGATCTTCGAGCTAAGATAGATGAGTTCGAGGAGATGAAAGCTTCTCTTGAACGTGAACGAATGTTGATGACAAGAAGGAACTGTGAAATTGATGTAAAACTTGTCGGACCTTCGATGTGTAGCTTCATATTTCCCTCTTAGGAATTAAACAAATCTGTCAAGGAGGAAACTGAGAAAGTTGAGGAGTGGTCACGCAAAGCCAAAGAGTTGGAAAGAGACAATGCCCGAGAAAAGAAAGAAGCCGATGAAAGGGTAAGTTCCAAATTATATTGTATAACTCTTTTTTGCCATTGATTGAATATAGTTTTTTCGAAAGCTATCTCTATTTGTTGGCTTTCACAGATAGTTGAAAGCCGTGATTAAACAAAGAGCGCAGAAAGATATTAATGTGTGGGCGTATTATAATATGCTTTTTTGTACTTTTTACAATCATGCATATTTAAGGAGAGACGTCTCCAAATGGAAAAAGATGCAGAAGAAGCTAAGAACAGAGTGATTCTGGAGAAGTTGAACACCGATTTGAAAACTCTTCAATCTGACCATGAGCGTATGATCATCGCTCGCAAAAACCAGGTGTGATCGATAATCTTACGTTTACTATGTATATTTCAAGGAGCATGCTAATGCTGAACTGATGGATCGTTTCGACATTCTGCAAGATAAGTTCATCAGGTACTAGTTCTTCTGTCCCTCCCCCTTCTTCACACTGTTCTAGAGCGGATGAACAAAGAAACAAAATGCGTGAAGATTATGACACCATGGAGGAGAAGTTCCTAACGGAGAACAGACACAAAGATGAACTAGCTAAAGGTAACTGAGCATGGAAGGTTTTTTAATATTCAGTATTTAAGCCAATAAGCGGCTCGAGAACCAATTACGCCAGCTAAGAACTTTGCTCGAAAATTCGGAGAAGGATAAGCATAGTTTCGATTTGGATAACAAGAAGTTTGGATACTTGACTTTTTGTTTTTCATACATCATCTTTTAGGAGAGAAGAGGTCATCATGGACTTAAAATCCAAAGCAACCCATGATGCAAACTTGATAACAAAGCTTCAAGTCAACATTCGCAGACTTATTCAGCGGATTGAAGAGTTGGAGGAAGAATTGGATGAAGAACGCAAGTTGCGCATGAAGGTAGTGGCTCTTATAGTTTTCTTGTTTTTGAAAAATATATTTTAGAATGAGCGACGCAAACAGGAGCTCGAAACCGATTTGGACAGCGTTTCTCGCCAGATGGAAGAGGCTCACGGCGAACTCTCAGCTCAACAACACTTGAACAAAATCAGAGCAGAAGAGGTTAAGAAACCTTATCTAAGACGAAAGATAATAATTTGTTCTAATTTCTTTCAGCTCTCCAATCTGCAACGTGAGCTGCAGAAGAGAAACCTGAACGCAGAAACATATATTGCTGACTTATGTTCCATGCAATATGTTACTGTCAACAATTTGAGAAATCTCAGCCAACAAGTTTGTTCACATTTTGCACATTACATTACAATGATCATATTAATTTAATTTGTATAAATTAATAATTTAGGCGGCTTCACTCGAATCAGAAGCTAACAGAGTGCTGGACGCTCGTAAGTCCATGTCCAATGGTTTTAATCTTCCGCAAGTGTACATTCAAGAAGAAGAGTAATATCAGCAGAGCAGACATCTTTATTATAATTTTGAAAATCGTTTATACAACAGCTGCATATGTACTACTACTACCCACCACCCACAAAAAAAGAAAATATTAATCTCTTGCACATCACTAGCGGTTAGTTAAAACAACATTCACTTAACTATTTTATGCAAACGAAATGATTGATGATTGCTCAACATCAGCAGTTTTTTTATTTTTTTTCGCAAATTTTCAACATCCAACTTCTCTCAATTAACCACTGAAGATAAGACCTCAGTTTTTCAAATTTCTATTCTATATAAAATTGTTTTAGAGTTATGTCCCTTGTTTCAAATGAACAAAACGAATATAAAATCAAGTTACGAGGGTTACAGAATCAAATGAGAAACACGTCTTCACTTTCGATTAGTTATTTGTCATAGATTTAAGTAGCGAGAGTATTGCATTCAATGCCAAAGCCATCAGAGGATTGTGCATTTGCTTCCTCAAACTCCTGAACTCTGAGATCTTTTCGTTAAAGAAAAGCCCTTTGATATGTGTGTCGTCGAGAAGGCCAAACTCGATTCCTCTAAACGCATGTTTCATACGAATCGCTTAGATCTAACTGAAGCTTTATATACCTTCAGTGCAACCACAGCAAAAATAAGAATAATTGTAAACCATATGACTAGTAAGGTGTACTTCGTAGCAATCTGGAAAGTCACCAAAGTTTTAATTTTAGGTTCATGTTTACCACATTTTCAACAAAACTAACGAATGGAGGAGGACTGAAATAATGACATAAAAGTGTTTGAACATAGGACGGAAAATATTTTAAAAAAGATTCTTACAGTTCAACAGCCTTCACCGTAGTCGATGGGGGATAGAAAGGTGTGGAAACATTTCTAAAACGTTTCGGCATCTAAAAATGTCAAAATTTCCTCTACTTCATTATACGGCTGATATGTTTGTGCTCAACTTACTAACTCATGAGAAGCGAGGTTTTCCTTTTGAGGGAGTACGAGTGGTCTTTCAAAAGTTAGTAGCAATGTAAGATGTGTTTCAGATCAAACGTAATCTATATAAATATAATGATGTTTAACGTTGTTTATTATAAAAGATAACAATTGAGTAGAAAAAGATTAAAAGAAAAGTTTTTTCTCCTTTAGTTAGATTCGAATTTCTCAAGTAACTTCTCATATGACATATATAGATCACATTCATCGTATCTTATGAACAAAGAAATGAAATATATTAGAAATAATAGCATAAACGTTTCATTGTAATAGGCAGAGAGGACGCGTATAGAAGTGGAAGTGACTATTTTTGTAAAGCATGAAATCGTCGGTAAGAAAGTTCGGACTTCTATTAGGGGCTGGTTAGACAGACCGGTATCCATCTTTCTCACTGTGTTGGCTACTTCAGAAAGTGATGTTGTTCTAGTAACAGGTCGCTCACAGAAAAATGGAACTATACATAATCAGAACAAAAGTTAGAGATGCGGTAAGATATTTTCGGAGTGTAATGTAATAAACTGTTGGCCGTGTCATAGAACGGAAAAATATTTGAAGAAAAAAAAAATTTTCATATTTCGATGCTCTGCTTCCGTCAGTGGCAATAAGGCTTTCAAATCATTTTCCGGTTACACCTTGGCAGTACTCATTAATTTCAACATTTTTTGATAGTGAATGCGATCGATGAATTTAATGATAAATCGAAACAATCAAATAAGGAGACAGTTGTTTTGAGTTGAATACTCTGCCATTATGGCTTATCGTTTGTAAGGCAACAAGACACATAGAACGGTTGCATTCAGTATTTGCTGTGAAGACAAGAATTCAATTTTGAGATGAGGCATTTTGTGTTGTAACTCTAACAGGAACAAATAACCGGCTTTGATCACAACATGGTCTGTAATGTTATAGGGCTTATTTTGAAATTTCAGCTTGTGTTCTCGACTAACAGCCATCTAGTGAATAGAGTAAGAACATCTTCTCGGACTTGCTTACAAACTAGAACCAACAACCACGGTGCACTTATAGCTTGCACGTCTGTAGCAATGAAGCGATAGAACATTGGTGAATCATCGTTTCTGTCTCTTACGACGTACAAGGTAAAGTAGAACCACGCCTGAAAATACTCGAATATATTTTTTCCCCCTATCTCATGCTATTTTCGAATAATTCAAATAACATACAAAAGACACTCCAACTAATAATGTGCTCGCCGCCATCACTGTGCCGACGAACAGCAGCGACACTTCTGCAGACATTGCTTTCTTCTGTTCAGTGCTATTGAAATGGGTGTCCCGTCGTCGTTGAACTACAAGGGCAAAAAAAGTTATAATTGTGCAGATCAAAATAAAGCCACTACAGCCGACGGCGACAATCATAATCAGAAAACTTGTTGATAGCTTAAACGATAATATCTGAGTAGGTCGTAAAGGCAGCCGTTTTTACCCAACTGCTTTGCAGTAACTTGACGGGAGCCATAAGACTGCCCAATTCTTCATTTGGAGCAATGAAGGTTTTACCCAATGCTACATTCCATACTGTTGCAATTGGTAAAACGAATATGATGAGCGTCACATACTTCATATTCCTATCCCACATCTGAAAATAGAAAACTCTCATTTTTGAAAATCTTTCAACACAGTTCAGGTTACAATTATCAGCATGTGTTATTCATATCTGAATTAATCAGAATCTGAAGGGGTCTATTTTTTATATTCATAAAACATTATTAATGGTTGTTTTACAACTATTCAGCTTGATGTATATGATAAAAGGCAGTCAGTAGGAAAGATATTAATATCTCAGGAATACGTTGGTTGCTTGCCTCGTTCAAACCCGGCAATTATGTAATTTTCGAATGATGTTAGAAAAAAGTGATTTCATCGGACTAACTATCTCACACGTAACATACAATTACCACTTTCTCGAAAACATTATCGTTCATAATAAATAAGAGGAAATGTAGTTGAATATGAAATTCTTACCTGACGATGATGCATAGGAAAGAGTACACAAGTCATTCTGTTGCAACTTATCGCAGCATTAGCATAGAACGCTACGAAATAGGCATATACAAATAAGGAGTATGGAGCTGTTAACGCATAACCAGGCTCTTCGAATAAACCGGTAATCTCTTCACACCAGAATCCTGCATTCGGAGTGCGGAAAGCAAGGATGTCGTACGGAAAGTACCAGACCAACTAAACTTGTTCAATTTGATTTTTTCATGAATTTGAAGTAAACAAACCGTTCCACTAACGATACTGAATAGACGAAAGAAGGCATATCCATACTTCCGACGATTTGACTTCTTATTCAGTACATAGAGCAGAATACAATATATGATGAAAGTTGGAATCGCAACAATGGTTGAGAATACAAGGTGAGTGACCCGTGTTCGACGTAGGTTTTCATTATAGGAGCAGTTTTTCATAATAGAGCGAACTCAAAATACCAGTGGAAACTATAAAAGAATAGTTTTTATACCGATAAATCTCCAGCAGATGGCATGGCTTATAAGCTTCAGTCTAGCCTGAAGCAACAACATTGAATTTTGGATTTAAAAAAAGCTGCTAGCAGGTGCTAATGACGACAAAGTTCAAGAAAATGTTAACAGAAGGTTTGAGCAGTCAAGAAACAGGAACGTCATGAGAGGATGATATCAACATGGAGAACAGAGAGGTTATAGAATTGAAACAGAACAAAAACATAAAACATTTGCCTTTTAATAAACTTCATAATGCGAAGAGTTATAAAGAATGTGCATGTCACTTCTAATTTAGATGAATTGGAAAAAAATATATTTGTTCGAACTAAGTGAACGGAAGTCGAAGTAGAAGTAGTGGACTAGTCGACTAGCCGATGTTCTTTTGAAAAGAGATAACGACTCGACTTTCTTTAGCTCATCAACTTTCTACAATAAGATATGTAATTTGTATGGAGAAGGAGGGAATGATTAAAAGCAGTTTGTATTATTAACCATTATTAAAGTCAAGCCGGATATCTATAATTATTGCAAATTACACAGAGCATAAAGAGGATAAATAAAATGATTAAAAATCGACGAATTGAAGAAATGAAACTTAAACGTTCAAGATCTTTCAAAAAGATAATTTCGTTTTTTCATCCACGAAATGATTCTTCGCAGTCAATTTCAGCTTCGTGAAGTGGAGCTCAAGTATTGCAATAAAACGGAAAATAAAATAAAACCAGGTTGAGCCGTTGACTGACGAAGACAGAAAACTTTGGAAAATAATCAAGAAGTTTGTTCAAATATCACTCTTTCAGAAAGTTTATGCTTATCACCTGTAATGTCTAGAAGAGAAAGCAATACGCTTTCAGGTGTCAAGCTGAAATAAAGCACAGTCGCGTGTAATGAACATCAACAGACAAAAAAGAGAAGGCGTACGCACATTGGACAACTGTAGATTCGAAAGGAAGACTAATGGAGCTCAAAACTTTTCAATTAGGCCAAATTATTCAAAATTTAAGATATAATTAAGCATGGATAGTCGAATTTGAAACTTTAATTAGTTTTTCGTTCGTCATATGATTTCCACCTGAAACAGGCTGCAGCTCTATTCGTCATGTACGATTTAATTATTTAAGAGAAATTTAAATTCTTTCACAACTCTTAGTTCTTCAATTATTAATTTCAAACTTCGCGCCGTTCGCCTCCAAGCAGTTGGGACAGTTTACAATTTCATTTTAAAAAATTTTGACGCGAAGAGCGGTTGGACACATCTTGCACCCTGTGTTGGATCAAGTGAGTTGTTTTTTAATATTATTTGTGTGGTAATCCTAGAAAAAATATCCCAGTAGTCGCGTAGTTTCCATATGTAATAGCGTTCTTCCGTATCTGTTCTGAGTTTCAAATTCAACGAGAGTTCGTTCGAATTAATTGGCTTTTTACTATTGCTTTGAACTTTCTAATTTCCAAACATCATGCTATATCTATCACTTTGCTTGAAACTTTCGCAAAGTCACACCTCTTACTTCTTCAAAGAAGTTTTCTATTTGTATTTCATTTAAGTTTTTTTTGGAAATCTCTATGATACCTTCATGAACAAATATATTTTCATCAAACAGCCATTACCATCACGAGTCTAACGAGCAAAGCCTTACTTTCCAATTTCTTACAGAAATATGAGAAGGAGGTACGTGCAATCCATGGGTTTCGAATAGAGCCATCTTGATTTGTTTAATTGTTTCGGAGAAAATGTTACCATGAAGCTCTTTAGTCTCATAGAAGGGAGGGAGAAAAAATTTTGCTTAAGGGCGTTTGGAAAACTCCGATCCTCTTTTGCTTTCTTTCTAAGCTTGTGCTTTTAAACGTTTTGTCCGCTCTTTTCATCGTTTTATTTCTGGCCTACGGCGATTGTTCTCCAATTTCGACTTACTCGCCCGGGGGAAAAAGTAGAGATGAGTGAAAAAAAATCGAATAAAGTGTCTGTATTTGTTTTATTTTCAATCTCAGATGAGGTTTCCCTCCTAACTGTTGCGAGAAAATAATGATGGCAGGCTTCTTCTTCTTCTCAAAAGTCATTCTCATAGGCTCTTCTTCCTAAAAAGGAGGAGCCAAAACCTGCCAACTATTTTACTTCAATTTAAAACGTTTTTAGTTTTCTAAATTTCCCAGGAAAATGAGATCGATTGATGCAGGCACAAGACTAAGGCTGTTGCAAGCAGCACAGCTTTTTTCTGAAAAAAAAAAACGGACTCTTCTCGCATACTCTTTTCTCTTCCAGCACTTGCTATGTCTATTTCATATAAGGACAAGCCGAAGATAGGAAAAAGAGCGAGAACAAAATAAAAGGCAGGATTGTTGAGAAACGATGGAAAATGCAAAAGCTGTGACTAAAGACATACTACCATGGAAGTGTTATGCCAAATGCATCGGTATTATGAACGTTAATTAGAAGACTAATTAATGAAGGAGGAGTGATTGATTGCAACTCATTATGGGCAGGAAATTTGGAAGACAGCTCTCATTCCATAGTTTCACTGCCAGTTCACACAACCTGACATAACCCATTCGAGATCAATCAATAATAAGTAACTTACTAATAAGTTATCGATTGTTTTGCTGGTAAACCTCTTTAGGAAGAGAATTTGCCCCCCCCCTCTCTTCCTCTTTGACTGAAGTTCTGCGTTTTTATGTTTTTCATTATGATTTAATATGACGCTTCATATTTTTTCAATATATTCATAAATTTCCGCTATGGTCTTGTCACGGCTGGAGGGTTGTCCTACGCCCCGTCCGCGTGTGTCCTCCAAGCCTCCCGGTTCACGACATTCTTCTCCAGAAACCCCACCCATTTCAAGCAGCTTTTCTTTTTGTCGGAAAGTCTTTCATGGAATACTATCAAAATTTAAGTTTTAATTTTGTCTTCTCTCCAAACTATTTCCTTGTTCTTGTTATCGCTGCGAAGTTGTTATTGTTGAGATGCTAATACATCATTTCAATCCAGAGTTCATAGTAGCCTCAGGTTACGTAGTGGTTCGCACTAAAGCTGGACAAGCAGCTTCTTTCAAATATAGATAAATATATCTGGAGAGACATTGGGTTCTGATAGGTTGATGCTAGCTCGAAAGCGTAAATTCCAGGTTTGTGCGAGCTGGTTACATCCATCCATTGATGGTATTTCCATAAAAATTTGCAATTTTCGAGAGTTCTGCTGTTGGTTTTCGTTGAATCCTCCTCATTGGGGAATACAAATGATTTCAAATCTTTGAGACAACTCTAGTTGAACTCGATTTTTTTCTTTTTTTTTCATATATTTCATTGAAAGTTTGTAATGGACAGAGGCAGAATTCTTTTTTTCCAAATAAAATACTTAAGCGTTTTGGAATTCCAATAATAAACAACTGCAGAAGCTTCATTTGAATGCTCGCTTATCAAAGCTCGAATGAACTTTTGTTTTGATAAACGTAAACGGTTTAGACTTCAGCATTGTGCTTGTCCGTCGTTGTCGTCGTCGTAGTAGAGAGCTCGCGCGCGATACGACTATTGAGATTTGCGTCGAATGAGCCACACAGATATCAGTACAGTACAGTAGGATATCTATAAGCTTTGAAACTATCAATTTGACGTCATCTGCCTTCTGTGCTGTAAAATCTTTATAAATGTATGAATGAAAAATTCTGCATTTTAATGGATGCGTCCTAAATTTCTTTTCCACTTTTTATTTCATTGCCTTCCATTTTGTCTTTTTTTTCCTCTCTTATTCTATCACGCTCTTTTTTGAGTTTTTTTCTTCCATTTTCTCCCGAGGGTTTCCATATCCGGAAATCGAAATTTTTTAAACAGACGAACTTTCAGTTATTTGGTCCGCAAGGTCCTTCAGCTGCAATGACATCTCTCCGGATGAAATCGCGATTTTCCAAACTATTCTATGAATATATGTGACTCTCAAAATTGAAACAAAAAAGGAGGGAAAGAGAGAGAGAGAGAGAGAGAGAGAGAGAGAGAGAGAGAACGAATACGTATAAGCAGTGCAGTGGTTTGTTCCAATGGAAATTGGAAAGGAAACGTCAGAAAATTGCTAATAGCTTTTTACCCAAAGAGTTCGCTGGTTACATCACTTCAAAATTTTATGATGAAATTCAATTTTGATTTGATTTCAAACATTTTCATTTTAAGAAAGAAAATTCTCTCTAGCGGCTTGCGTTGTTCTTTTCTTTCTCTCCCGTTTTCGCCCACAATAATGACACAATGACGATTTTCTCTGCAACACTCAAAATTTTTACTTCTTTCATTTGTGGTTTCTTTCTCTAAATCAGCTTTTTTGTTTAAAGTTTCGTAAATCGAACTAAGCCGAAAAAGGGAATGCTAGCTGGCGTTCCATTCCCATAAAAAAATTAAAGTGCCCAATGTTAGCCGTCTCACAAAGGACATCTCTACATGCCTCTTTAAATGGAACAGGCGATGAAGCTCTGAATGCAGCAAGCAAAAGCGTTTTTTTTTCTCAATTTTTCCAGTTCGTCTATTGCACAATGAAGCCGTTGTATGCGTGTGTGTGTGTGTGTATGTGTGTGTGTATGTGTGTGTGTGTGCCAGAATAAACGGACCAAGAATCTATCAGACATCCTTGTATCCTCTTTCTTTTTTTACCCTTTTTTTCTTCTTTTCTTGTGAACTACACAAATTGGATGGAATCTCAGTATTCGTAAGAGATCAAAGATTAATATGCATATATAACCGTTTGCCACTATAGATAACTGGCGGGTTCTAGAACATCATCGAGATTCAATTAAAAAAAAAGAACTTCATTTGTTTTCAATGTATAGTCCACAAGTGGAATAATAGAATACGTGGGAATGAGACTTGACTTACATATTGCGTTTTCAGGATCAGGTTGGTGTCTCCATCAACGTCTCTCCAAACTATGCTATCTTAAAGCTCAAAGCTGATACTAATTGTATTCAACTCTTGCAGCATGCAGTAAGTTTCCGTCAACCTCAACATCGTCTCACGATGATTCTTTTAAAGTTCTCTTTGGGTGTAGCTGATATATCTTTTGTTTCGCATCCCAAAGAATATTTTCATTCGACGGAGTGGTTTGAAAAAAGAGCTGTTTATAGTCCTGATGAAGCATTCTCTCAAATCGAGTGAGTCTCATCTCTTCATTTATTATCCGAACATTACCGAAGTCCATAAACGTCATTTTTTGAGTTCCAGGAAATCGCCACATTCACGAATTAATGATTCACCGCCTAGTACGGGTACAATAGAAGTTCAAACTATAGCTCGAGATGAATAGTAAGAATTGCCTCTTTGGGAAACACTCAAAGATCACAAAGTAAAGTTCATACTAAAAATGGCTGTTGCAGTAGTTCAAACAGCTCAAGTAATGGAAGTCGAATATCATCATCTTCCTGTACTAATGATTGCAATCAAAATACTTCATTATCATCTTCCACACCAGATCTCAATAACATGATAAATACCTTATTTGGCGCAAAGAACGAATTCGTGAATGTAGTAGAAGTGAATTAAGCACGAAGCCTCATTAAACAAAGTAATCATTCCAGTGCTCTAACACCAGTCCATCTCCCACACCAGTCATTCCCGGCAACGGGCAAGTTGTATGCAAGTTATGTGGAATAGCTGTGAGCTGTAGAAAGTATAGCATTTTTTATGTTTCATCTAACTTTTTTTTTCTTAAGAATTACTAATTTGTTAACTCATGCTTTGAAATTACATTGTCCCATAGGCTTATGGAGATGTCCCTTAGAGGGATGCACATTTGATCATGCAGACCATGGAAGAGTAAGTTTACGACGTTACTTTTATATAGAACATTGATCCTTTGTAGGTTCGCTCTCATCTACGTCATCAGCACCCGGGTAATGATTCGAATCCTGTTGATAATCGTTCTATCGAATCAGTGAAGAAAGCTGAACAATATTTGAAACGTTGCTATCCAGCAGTAGATTTCGTGAGTTACAGGGAGAATCCGATGTTTTAAGGGATGTTTACAGGAAAACCAGTACAAAGATGTTTTATATTTGACAGAGCCAATAAATGGCTGTGCTGAGAAACACAAGGACAGTTTTGCTATTTGGGATCAATTGAGTTTTGAGGAACCAAACACGAATGTTGAGTGTCGAGCGTGCCGATCGTCAGTATGTGGCTTAAGTTGTTGCAAACAGTTGCAGTGCTTCGTTCAGATTCCGTTGAAGAAGAGTGCTCTTGAAGATCATATCAGACAAAACCATAAGTGTGAAAAGTTGTATCAATGTAGTTTGTGCGAATACCTGAATGCTGATGAGGTCTTTTTATATCTCCATTTCCTGTTTCATCTTTCTTTGCAGTGGAAAATCAGAGTTCATTCTTCAATGAGGCACCCCGATAAGTCAGTGAGTTCTACACTCCTTCATCTCCAACACAAGAATCGCATACCTGTTCTGGCTAGAAAACTGTTTAGTAGCGTTTCAGGTTATTGCAGCAGTTTTCTGAAGTCATCAACAGTTTTTCCAGACAAAATGCCTCCTGACGAAGTAGAAGTAATGATTAATAGCTTCCAACTGAGTGGTGGATCTTCACTGGCAACTATTCCTATTTCCGATTTGCTTACGGACGCCATTACTAAATGTGTTACCGATGAGGTTTTTCAGGATAACTTTCATTTATAATGAGTTTCAATTTCCAGAATTCTGTGGTCCCACTGCTGAATTGCAAGGATTCCATCGCTAGTTCTCCGCTGCTACCTCTAATAGAGAGTCAAGAGTTCGCTGTTAGCGGGGACACCAACACAGTACAGAACATGTTATTGCAAATGTTTCCATCAATGGTAAGAACGCTTGTAAGAATGACAAGAACGGAAACTATTCAGGAAAACCCATCGGCTGGATCGAATGGTGTTCTTAGGAAATCATCGTCAACTTCCTTAAATAGACTAGAACGAATCGTAGGAAAAGTCGAGTGCAAAGTATAAATTTGATTTTCTTTCTCTTCTGAGTTAATTTCATTGAAGATGTGCTCATCATCAGTAGAAACCAAACGGACAATGCTTGTTTCACATGCGAAATCCCATTGTACTCAAAGACAGTGGCAATGTCCTCATTGTGAAACATCGGCTGCCTTTCATTCAAAGCTCAAGTTACACATCGTGAATGCCCATAAAAGTGATGCAGAACCCATAGATCTCTAGTAAGTAACGATAATCAAACATCTATCTGATCTAATAACTTTGCAGTTCGCCTAGTTTAGAAAATAAGTGGCTCTTACTATTTCGACAATGTTTTCCTCAATTCTCGCAACAATGTTTTGTGGAAGAGTGGAAGTTCAGAAGCAAACAGCAACAACATTACGTGACCCAATTAGAGGAGCCTATGAGCAGAAGTTCAAATTCAATATTTTTCTTTTCCAATCCTTCATTTTACAGATATTTTGGAAGGGTGTGAGCAGCCTAGACGATCTCTACTGATAGAAGATGATCCACCACCCCTCGATGAATTGACTGTAGTCAACTCTCCTGCATTACAGCTTAAACTAGCTTAATTGTTATCGCCCTTTGAGTTTAGATTTCTAGGCCAATGAAAAAAACCTGAGAAATAATTAGTTTTGAATTTCATTGATAGGAAACAACAGTACTGAATGTGACAAACCGGGTGATCTCTTAATATCACTCGTAACGTATGATATCACGAAATACAAAGAAAACAACATAAATTAGCTAGTTAGTTAAGAAGTCTAACAGACCGGGAAAAAAAAACGAGATACTGCTTATTGGGATCCGATCTTAATAACTATAACGGTCATGTTGTCACAACCTGTCCCATCTCCAGCAGTTGAATCGGCAAGACAAGCGTCACAGAGCTAAACAACGAAGATGTGCAAGTTGTTATAAAACATTAACTTACTTCACCACTCAATTGCTCACAACTTTTACCCTCTTTGAATCCTAATCTCACAATATCAACAACCTCTTGAGATTTCAAGGAATTCCTGAACCACAAAGTTACTAAGTGAAGATACAAAAAAGCTCACCAGATGCCATCACAGGCAACAACAATAAACTCATCTTGAACATCGCGGTTCTCGATGTGAACATCAGGAAGAGCGCTGAAACGAGAGAGTATTTCAAAAAACTCTGCTAGCGAAACCTGATCATCTGCTCTTGAAGAGGCAAGGAATCGTTTTTCTTGTAGGAATGATCACCAAAGGCTCTTGATAAGTTGAGCCCACCATTTACACTGAAAATCTCTGTCTCAAATGGCCTTATCATGGTAAACGTACCGTCCTTCTTCATTAACTATTCCACCTGCATTCTCAATTCGATCTCTTTCAATCTTATCTTCAGGCTTATGGTCAACGGAGAGATCAATAGCTTTTCCAGCTCTGCACAATACAGCACGGGAATCACCGATATTAGCGACAACAATCTTAAATAGAAGAACTATGAAAGAAAAAAAATAAGCTTTACCTTGGTATCGCTCATGAAACAAACACATGCAGTTGTTCCAGAATCCTCGCCAGGTATGTCACCCATATCGTAAACATTCTTGAAAGAGTTGATCTATCATTTGGGAGAGAAATTCTTACTCTGTTGAGTCTGAACTGTCTCTGATCTATCTCCTCATCGTCTTCTTCATCTTCACCAGACTCTTCTTCACCCTCAGCTTCGTCTTCGTCTTCCTCATCATCATCCGATTCAGATTCAGAAACACCAGCAGCATCTCCTTCTCCAGCTTTCACTGGCTTCTTCAAGAACGACAGCTTCTCAATATTAACTCGAAAATTTTACCTCAGCATCTTCAGTGGCAGAATACTCGTAGTCGGAGTCATCATCCTCGTCGTCATCGTCTCTGAAAATGTAACAATATGCAAATACAGTTAGAGCGAACTTTTAGCTCCATCCTGGGTGAAGAAACAGTTTTAATTTAGTTCTTATGTTTTCACGTTGACCATTAATGATCAACTTGAGACAAATTTACTAAGAACAAGTCAAATATCGAAAAGGAAACAAACTTACTCGTGCTTCTCAGTGGCTTCCTCAGCAGTGGCCTTCTCGTCTTTCTCAGCACTTCTGCAACAAGATTCATTTTGACAAAAGCAAGATGAGTAAACTAACTCTTTGACGTCTCCAACAGCATCATCTCCTTCAACTTCTTCGACTTTTTCAGACTTCTCGTCACCGGCAAGTTCCTTCTTCAGCTTGGCAGCTGGAATGAGAAAATAAAAAGTAAGAAAAAGAATGGGCAATGCGGATACTATTCTTGGATCGCTTCGAATCATCTGTAGGATCATTGCTCTGTTTTCGTTTTCTGTTCTTACCGACCATATCCACAATCTTTTGAGTCAGCAATGGGCCGTTATTGAGCACAGCAACTCCGTACCTATATAGCAGTGAATACTTCTCAGAGACATTAAGACTATTACTTCATTATCAAATCCTCTAATGGTAATTCGCTTTCTTCAATTGTTTTGATTCGATCATCCTCGTCAGAGCTATGAATCGAAGCGGCTGGACTGCCTTTACTAGCCTCATATATTCTCTGAATAGGAAATGAATTTTGATGATATTGCTGTATGTACCTTTAACTCATCCAAAACACTTTCAGATCTGAGAACATCATCGAATTCAACGAAAAGCTTTTGGAAAGCTTCCGTCAAACTGTCAGAACTTTTGAGGAAATCTCTTAAGATATACAGTTCAACACGGTTATCTACTTCAATCACTCACTTATTTTTGAGAAATTTAGGTAGATGATCTGCCGTATACTGCGATACTTCACTCCCACCATGTCCATCATAAACTGCAAACATATTCCAACCTTCTTCCAAACTTAAGATACAATTGTGGGCATCCTGAGAAGAATTAGATGGTTAGAACTATCCAGAAATTTACCTCTTGATTAGCTCTCCAGCCTTGCATGGTACAAGCACCATATTGAACTTCATCGCTTTTACCATTTTCCAAATGTTTTTCAGTTACAGGTTTCTCCAAATAGGCTCCCATCCTAATTACAATAAAATCTTATGGAACATTGCTTTAGTACGGCATTCAAAAGAGAATGAAGCTTATTATTTTTAATTATAACAAGCGTAACATGAATCTTAATTGAAAAAATAAGAAAAACACGAGAGAAATCAAAAACAAAAAGCTTTAATACAAACAAGAAAAACTACTGCGAAATTTAAATTGTTCAGAGCAAGAAAAATTCAAGTTTTCGAACAATTTTATGGCATCGTTGCGGGACCATTTAATTAAACCTACACGAAGAATACACGACTTATGTAATGTACTTATGGTCCTGCATAGAGTTTTAGCTTCTAAGCAAGCTCTAATTTTAATTTTTATTATCGAAAACCTGAAAACTTGCTATTGTTTGTATAGTTGTCAACTTATAACATCTCGAACCTATGACTCAATCAACAGTATGATGAAATGCGTGTCTGTGTGTCTGTTAATTTTTTTGAGAATTTTAAAATGACTGTTCGTTGTGACTGCATTGATTCTGTTTTTATCGACTTGGTTTCCTATTACTTTCTTTCTTGGCTTCAGTTTTATTTGTATAACGCGTTATTTCTTCAGGAATGAGTTAGATGCCGTCTCTGGTAGCATATGGACGTCGTTGGGCTATTGCCAGCGACGATTTTGTGTTTCCTGAACTAACAGAAGCTTTTGTTCGTTTGGCCTGGTATGTTTCTCATATGGCTATTTGAATTCATTTTAATACTTGATCAGGATTTTCTTTGGCGTTGTTGTATTTATTTTCCATTTCCCATTGTCTTGTACGACAAAGGATATAACCTTCCCTATACTCATATTGTTAGTACTAAATGGAATAACTGTAGCTTTGGGTTTGTTGGAGTTTTTTTCTTTGAGTGGGAGAACACGTTATGTTATAGCACTCTTGACCGCTGCGATTTCTTCGAAAGGAACGATTCTCAATGACCTTCCTAGAAAACATGTTGCAACCTTGTTATACATCAGGTTGCCCGTACTCGTGGTGGAGGTTATATGGACGATTATATCAACGTTCCAGGCTTTTGGTAAATTTTTTCTATCGTGATAAATCAACTTTTAATTTACAGAATCACCGGGTGTTGATACGGCTTGTCATTTCACCACGGTCATCAAAGTATGTTTTCTTATTCATAACTATCACAACATATATCTCTCCTAAGGTTACCATTATATTGGAATGGATCCTAATCTTCTGTGTGATATTGGGAGTCATTTTTGTGTTTCATCCTATCGATGAAGATGGAATGGAAGATGTCTCCATAATAGCCCGGCGAACATGGTCAAGACGTTTCAGAATTGTTAGTGCTTCTTCTCACGAATTATTACGATTTCATCTGATTTCAGTTCAAAATTCGACAAGATGCCTTAATGAGAGCAGCTCTAGATGACATAGCCAATTTGTTAGCATCGTTCTTCCAGGTTTATAACGCCCAAATATCGTTCTTAACTTCCGTTTTAAGGAGGGAGACGTAGTATTTAGTGATGTGGTTGCTGGTCTTCTTCTGGTTGTCCATTCTCCTACCAATGTTAATCCTCCACTTATGCCTGCTCCCACTAGTAAGTTGTTTGAAATTAGCGAAAAATGTAATTTGAATTGAAGCTCGGGCGGAGTGGATGACTGAAAAAAATGCTTTACACTTCCTCCATTTTGCAACTTGTGTATATGGATGGCCTACCTATATAATGCATAACTGTGGTATCGGACCCATCGCAAAGCTATTCCGGAAAATGCAATGTTGCGGAAGCTTACGGTGTGATCAAGTAAGTCCAGCGAAGTAAATGTGATTGTCCGCTTTCCGTATTTTCTGTTCTTTCTTTGCTATTAACCTTTCTGCTAATGTTTTGTCATAACTAGTCTTGTCCAGGGAAATGTAACAGATTTAACGTTCGAAATGAGAAGCTTCGAAGATGAACCTCCGATATTTGACAGTAAGGAGAAAAGAAAGGTCCAGAAATTTTTGCATGAAGTTATTTGAAAATCCTGTTCAGTTACCTAATCCTGTCTCGTAACTTAACGGCTTTTTGTATCCACGCTTGTCCGTTTCTAACTTTTACATTTTCACAGGTTCTGGTCATCGAAGATAATTGTTGTTTCTGTAATACAGCAGCTTTCGTATTATCCACAGAAATGAAAAATATTGATCTCTTTTTCGTATCTTTCCGTAACAGGCTTTGCGAGGTTTGCCAGAACTTCATTTATTTATTTATTTTTAAATATTTCATTCAAGGTTCCTTTTGTTGTTTTCGCTGATCATGATACGAACAGTGTAGTTGTCACTATTAGGGGATCTTGCTCTATTATGGATTTAATAACAGATCTCTGCTTAGGTTAATCGAAGATCAAGAAAATATTCTAATAATGTGTTTGATATATTCAGATGATGAAGTCCTCTCTGTAGACGTCGATACCGACCCAGTCCTAGCTCAAGATTCTACCTTGGATAATGGAGAAGTTCGAGTACATAGAGGAATGCTACGTAGTGCTCGATATGTTTTCGATTGTTTAAGGTGAACTCCCATTGACTTTCAAACTCATTGTGTTATTTAGAAAACATCGCGTTCTGGAAGACATGTTTGTGCTTAACCCCACCTATAAACTTGTGGTGTGCGGTCATTCTCTAGGTGCAGGAGTTGCTTCTCTGTTAACACTTCTCTTAAAGTATAATTCAAGTTTTAAACAGCTAAAAACTTGTCTAACTTCAGGCAACAGTATCCTGATATCCAATGCTTCGCATTCTCTCCCCCAGGATGTGTCATCAGTGAGGAAGGTTTAGGCGAAATGGAGAATCACGTAATGAGTGTAGTTGGTGGAGATGACTTCGTATCTCGCATTTCTTATCAGGTTCATAATTCATATATTCCTTTTCTTATTTCCAAGTTTAAGTCGATGTTCCGCTTGAGAGAAAAAGTTGACTTGGAGCTGAAGTCTTGTGATAAAGCCAAATACGAAATTCTCATTCGCGGAGTGTTCCGTCTTTTCTTCAAATCTCCCTGGGCTCCACTTTCAGGCATTTCTGGTTAGTATTGAGGAAGTAGTTGATAACTTTTGTGATTTTCAAGGAACTAATGCTGATCGAACCAACCTAATAGCTGAAACAGCTTCGACAGCCACTTATGGAAGCGCCATCGAAATAGATGAACCTCAAGATGACATCTTCCCGGCTTCATCTCTAGTGCCATCGAGAGTACAGGTTTGAGAATGACATCAATACCCCTTGTTAACCCATTTCTCTATAGCTTTACGCTCCTGGAAAGATCTTGTACGTTGCCAAGGAAAATATGACTCTGATAAGAGAATGGATAGATGCAAGGTTAGCAAAAATTGTTTTTCTTTGATAATTCCTGTTTTCAAGGTGTTTATCGGATGTGAAACTATCAGCGTCCGCTATAACGGATCATCTACCCAAGAATCTAACGAACGTAATGGAACAAATAGTTCAGGAAGCAGGTGAACCAGATGTTCACGTTTCAATTTAGAATTCAGTTACTCCTTTACTTGGTGCTCTATCTTCACTCATAATCTATTCTTTACTTTTGGGTAAATTGTCATATTAATAATCATTTTGTACATAATAAGAGTGTCCATATATGGTCATGTCATCATCTAGTTCTATAGCTGTGATATTCTTCATGTTACTCTCTCTATTTCTCTCTCTCTCTCTCTCTCTCCTAAATGAAACTTGTAAAGCATAATGGCTTTAATTTTTTTTTTCGAAAGCCTTTTTCTTAAGCTTTTATAATAATATTCTTTTTATCTTTGCTGTTCGTTTACTTTTTGGGCATGTGGTTACCGATGCCAGTAGTTATTTGTTTTTCGTCTTGAACATCCATTATTGATCTTCCTCAGATGAGTCGGAGGAGTTTTTTCAATATCGGAGAGGAAGGACGACTTCTTTTGAACTTCATTAATGGGCAATCAGTTTCCCTCACGAGTAATTCTGTTTTTGATGTATACGAACCGCGATCAGGTTTGAATCGACTGAACTCCCAAAGCAAATAGTTATAGGGCGCGTCTTGACTCAAACGGAAAAAGGTAGCAAAGATGATGTCTATATAGCTGTTGCTTGTGCTACTGCTGCGCAAAAGAAATGGGGGGCTTTGCCTTGGCTCGCAAGGGGAAGTGTTCTCTCCAAAGCTGCTGAAGTATTACCTGATTTGAACCTATCCTTGTCAAGCCGCCTGATTTTCAGTTGATTAAAGTTCACTGTGAAGAATTGGCTCTTTGGGAGTCAAAAGATAATGGGAAACCTATTAAAGAAGCAGAGGCTGATGTTCTGAGTTGTGCAGAAACTCTTCAGTATTACAGTGGCATAAGTATGGGCTTCATTTTTTTCTGTGAATATGTCTCTGTTCTAGACTCAGGTTTAGTTGGGCAGTTCTTTCCTATGGCTGGCAACCGTTATGCTTATACTACTCGAGAACCGATTGGCGTTGTTGGGTGTGTTGGTAAAACGGAAGTTTTCCGAGTGAATGAACTGATTTGAGTTTTAAGGAGCGTGGAATTACCCAATTCAAACTTGTACTTGGAAAGCTGCGCCTGCGATTGCTTGTGGAAACGCTGTTGTGTATAAACCAAGCCCTCTTGCTCCAGTGACTGCTGTTCTTCTGGGTCATTTATTGAAGGAAGCTGGACTTCCAGATGGAGTTTTTAATGTTATACAGGTATCTTATATGTTTTTGCGTCGAACACATAGCCTTTAAAGGGAGATGCTGAGACAGGTCGACATCTCGTAGAACATCCAGAAGTTAAAAAAGTGTCTTTTACGGGTAGCACTGCAACAGGGAAAGATATTATGCAGGTTTTAACTACCTCTCGGGAGTCATGAGAAACTTATACATTAAGAGATGTGCTATGAGAAACGTCAAGCCAGTTACTCTCGAACTTGGAGGAAAATCTTCACTCATAATTTGCGAAGATGCTTGCATAGACAGTGCCGTAGCCGGTGCAATGGCTGCAAACTTCTACAGTCAAGGGCAAGTTTGCTCCAACGCAAGCAAAGTATCCGAGTAGATTGTAGAACATGATCATTGAAACAAAATCTAGGTACTGATACATGCATCGAAGCTTCAAGAATTCACTACGAAAGTTGTTGATTTAACTCGGAACATGAGTGTAGGGGACCCATTATCTCGATCAACCACAGTAGGAGCTCACATCAGTCGAGAACATCGCGATCGAATTAAGAATTACATAGACAGTATGTGCTGACAACTATTAACTTGAACATAAGATTTTTCAGCGGCTCAGTTACAAGGAGCTATAAAGCTCTGTGGAGGAGAGCACGTTGAGGTTCCTGAACTGGAAAATGGATATTACCTCAGTCCATGTGTTCTTTCAAACATAAATGATTCCATGGATGTTTATAAGTGAGTTTCCATCAATAACTGAAAAAACTGTACTCCTCTAGGGAAGAGATTTTTGGTTCCGTGATGCTTCTGATACCATTTTTGTCGGACGAAGAAGCTGTTATCATGGCCAATGATACTTCAATGGGATTGGCCGCTGGTGTTTTCACTAAGTTCGACCTTTAAAAATTAATTCCGCTAAAATCGTCTACTACAGAGATCTCAGTAAAGGATATAACATCTCCAAACAGTTGAACGCTGGAACTGTATACGTCAATACTTACAACGATACTTGTATGTTTAACTGTTGTTTCAAACTAATTTTTAAGTTTTCTTAGCTCCATTTGTTCCTTTTGGTGGAATCGGTGACTCTGGCTTCGGCAGAGAGAATGGAACGGCTGCAGTAGATTACTATACTACGATCAAGTCTGTGTTTGTTAATACGACTGAGTTGGAGAACCCATTCATGTAGATTATGTAAAAAAGAATATTCACTTCCGCCATATGTGATTTAAGTTTAATAATTCCTTTGTTGCCATGTAGATTTCCAGGTGAATACGGTGTTTTGGGGACTATACTTAGTACTAAAATAAAGTTTTGTTTTATGCATTTTTTTAAAGAAGAGCGATCAGAGCGGAGAGATCAATAGAAAACATAATATTATGCTGAATTATGCAAATTCTTAGGTGACACATAAACGAAGATGAAGAAAATACGGTTAGTAACAAAGAAAATCCAAAGGATTATACGTATGGTACAACTTTATGAGTTAAAATCATAAAGTGCAGCAACATGTGCTGCTGTTGAGGTAGAGCTGGGACAATCCCAGTACAAAAGAGGGTCGGAGAAAAAATAGTGGCAATGTTTTCGACACTCATCTTATTTGCACTACTATGATCAGCGACTTTCCGTAAATGATTGAGCAAAGCATTTAAAGTGACAGCATTGGCTTCAGACAGTTCTTCCAAAGCTTTCCTTAACATTTGATAACATTAATAGGATAGACCGAGCAACTGATAGATACCTGCAAGATCTAGTCCTGTCCAAGGGTGTTCTAGCATTGGAATAAGCAGTAAGTAAGCTTTTATATACACTGAAGGGAACTAATTGTTGGGGAAGAAGTCTTAGATACATCTTGAGCAAGCCACAAACCGTATGAATGTCATCAACCTAGGTAACTGTCGTCATCTTTAATATGCAAATGAATACCTGTTTGAGATTGACATCCTGTTGGGAATCAAATTGTCTACGTAAGCGTTCCATATGGTCGTGCGAACCAGAAACGCGGTAAATTCCTTCGACATCTAGTCCTCTGCTCTCCACCTGTATCTATTTGTTTGAAAAAGCTAGGAATCAAAAATGGCAAACCTCAGCTATGCATTTCACTAGGACTGGAGGAATGGACACTTGATGAGCTAAACACAAAGTAGTCAGGTCAACAGCAAACATTCTCTTGACATATTTAGCTTCAGGCCGACAATCCTGTAACAATGGCAATTTCAAAGTTCAAATTAGCATCCAACAAACCTGGAGTGTTCTTTCAGAACACTTCTTATGAGCAGCGAATCCGCAATCTTCACACCTAACACCCTGGAACGTAATCGTTAAACTCGTTTCACGGCTGATTGCTATTGAAACCTGTTGTACAAGACCCCACATGAAGTTTCTACAATAATCACAATAATGAGGCATCTTAAACGTGTGTTGAGCAAAATTATGAGCTCTAGTAACAGGCTTTTTCGCTACTTCATTAGATTTAGTGTATTGCATATACGGACTGTAAAAGAGGTAATTATAAGGGCATACTTATCAATGTTGCTACCTCTGTTCGTAAATAGCTTCATCTGCCATTCTTTTGATATAGTCAGAAGCATGCTTATCCATATACATTGAAATTAAGCCATCAGCAACAAGAGATTCCATAGTTTCGAATCTTTTCTCTCCTACATAGTGAGTTCCATCATAGTAAAGCTGAGAACAATTAAGAGATTGCGGGGGGAGGTGGAATTGAAAACCTTGTAATTGAGAACTCTTCCATCAAAGAACATGCACAAAGTATAGGCATCAGGACACCTCCTAGACTCCCTCACAAGAAACGCTCCTTCTCCGCTTTCTTTTAACATTTTATCGGCCTTGAAAAGCATATAGATTGTGGATAAAGAGCGGTACGAACCTCTTCGCGGTCAATGAGTCCGTGAAACTCTGTTCCATATTGAATAGGTCTAGAAGGTAAGACAGTTCTACAGCCAACAGCTAATGGCTTCGGTGCTCGTTCTTGTAGTAGGTACAGGTTCTGCTTCCAGTATCCTGTATTTTAAAAGACGTTTACAGAAGACTGAGAGACTCTTACCATACGACCCTCCACCACTATCATCGTCCATTGATATGATGGGTAGAACTGCTTACTGCCTGAAAATCAAACATTCATTATTAAATGTACGAGAAGAGAAAGAAGTCAAAAACATATGACTAATAAAAGAGACGGAACGTGATTTTGAACAACTGTTCTAAGAATAGAATGCAACCGATCTAGCCGAAGAATGAAAGTTAAATGAAAGTCTTCTCTAAAGTTGTGCTTTGGCCCAACTGTTATGCTCATTTCCAAGATGACATTAGCCATGAAACAGTTAATTATATATTATTCATCTTATTATTCATCTGTTCAATATCTGAATCTATTACAGCGATTATAATGCGCATACTTCAGATTGCGTACTGCCAAATTGCGTACTCAATGCCCATTGATTTCTGCCTGTCTCCTGATCATTTTCTTCAAATTTTGTTCAATTTTATTTTAATTCACTTAACTATTTTTAAAATTTTCAGATATGAAGACCTCTGCTGTTTGTCCTCAAATGAGACTTTTCGCTTCTCGTTTGAGACAATTCTCCACCCAGACGGGAATGGCTCAAGCTCCTATCATTTTCGTTAAAGGGGGTCAAAGTGCTCGTCCTAATTCATTATTAGGCCCCGCTGATAAGCAATTCCCATTCCCCGGAGACGTTTCTCATAAATCCGCTCTTGAAGAGGTGGGCAGCCAGCCTGAAATGTCTATCCTTTCCGATACAAGACATTCGATCAACTCTTTAGTTTCTGCTAATCGAGTTGATGCCGACGCCACTTATCTTAATGAACTTAGGATCAATGCTTTGGAAGAAGCTCAAGAACGTGCTGGGGACTGGCCTATTGAGTTGTCTCTCCAAGAATGTCCACGCCTTCTGAAGAAAGATCTTAAATTTCTCTTCCCGGATTTGAAGCTTGACAAAGTTGCTGTCAGTGTTTTGAACCTGACCCAAAAAACTGAAAATGACATGGCTAGCTGGAGCAAAGACATGGAGGAGGAACGTGAAGTTCTTACAGCGTCATTTGTTTCTTCCGCTCAGGCTATTTGCAACAGCCTCCGCAGCTGTGGATACTGGGCTGATTTCGTGGATCCTTCATCTGGCAGACCTTTCTTGGGACATTATTCCAATTATGCACTTTTTGAAACCGATGATGTTTACAAATACATGGGCTTCAACATTGAAGATCTAGGTTGTTGCAAGGTTTGTTGAGTGGTCAACATAATGAAATATCATACTCTGAATTCAAGGTTCTGAAGCACGTTGCTTGGGGCAGTCACGCTTTTGTTGGAACTCTTTTCACTGATGCTCCTATGGATAGTCAAATCGTCAAGGATATCCTTGCCAAAGTCAACGAGGAAGACTAAAACAAAATCAAAACAAAAATAGGCCTCAAATAGGCAAAGTGTGTGTGTTTACTCGAAAGATTTCTATTTGGATTTTGTAAAATTGTATAATATTCTTCCCCTTGTATGTAGTATATCATCCTTTCAACCTGATATTCTAACTCGGTGACTTTTTCGTCATAAATGAACATTCATATGTTTCTGTTGGTTTTACCGTCTCTCAACGGATCATATACTTCACCAGCCTCCACTTTGTTTTATTCAGCAAGTTTTAAGGTAAAACCTAATGATGACGAGGTTATGCTTATTACTGGTAATTGGATGTGCCATCTCAGCGTATGCAGACATCCATAGTTGTGGTGGTTTCGTCCGTTCTTCCATTGGTCTAGATTATTCAAAGGTTCAGGTAAAGCTCATCTCTCACGCAATCGTAGCTACTAGTATGATTTAGGTCAAACTTCTAACTCCTGAAGGTCATCTTAAACATGAAGAAGACTTGAATCCACAAAATGGTTATTATATGATTCCAATTTATAATAAAGGAAAGTACTCTCTGAAAGTTTCCGCTCCCGAAGGATGGTACTTTGGTATGTGAAACGCTCGTTCTTTGTGTTCAACGTGTTGTTTAGAACCTGAAAAAATCGACATCGACCTTGACGGTTCAACCGATCCTTGCTCGAGAAACGAGGATATCAACTTTTCACTAACAGGTTTCCGAGAAAGTTGAATTATGATACTAAAAAATAAACTGTTTGCAGCTTTCTCTATTAATGGTGTGGTTGAAGCAGGGTCAACTGGTGGACCAGCGGGACTTCAGTTAAGCCTTAATCAAGGTGGAAAAACCATAGCTACCACTGTTACTGATTCTAACGGCAAATATTTCTTCAAAGCTGCTCCAGGTTTTGAAGACAAGCATTCGTTCCTCTTCTCACACTAAGCATTGTTTCAGGATCTTATGAAGTTGCCGCTGCTCCTTCAAGCTCAGCTTGTATTTCTCATGGATCATCCCAAGTCCAAGTAAAATTTGTTTTAACTGGATAAATTCTTATGATTCGGTTAAGGTTTCAAAGTCTCCAGTTACTGTAGTTCCTAACTTGAAAATTAGTGGATACCATCTTTCTGTTTCTGTGAAGAACCAGGGCAAGCCTCTTGCCGGAGTATCTATCACAGCACTTTCTAATAGCGACAAGGTTTCGATTCCGTGTCAATATCCATTAACTGTTTTTTCTTATAGTTACCTGGTTGCCAGAAAAATCCTGCTAACAAAGGTTACAAATACGTGTGCAATATTGGAAAAACTTCATCCGCTGGAACTTTGGAATTACCTTGTGCTCCAATCGGATCTTACGAGCTGCTACCTGTTTTCAAAACCGATATAACTTCATTCTCGTTCACTCCAAACTCAGCCGGCGTTGAAGTAGTCAACGACAAGAAGAACGTAGGAGAAATTAATAAGTAATCCTCTAACAATGAGTTTTTAGGTAGTTTTTGAAGTGTCTGGTTTCTCCGGCAAAGGACGTATCAATATTCTATCGAAGAAGTTTGATGGAGCTGATATTGTTTTGAATGGAAGAACTGCTGCTCGGGCTGACAAGGATGGACGTTATGAGCTTACTGATCTCAAAGTACCCCTTCTTTAAAATGACCTTCTCATATACTTTCTCACAGGAAGGAAACATCGAACTTACTGCCAGGGCTGCCAAGACTGAATTCAATACAGTGAAAGCCAATTTACGCCTTCCAGAAATCAAAATCCCCGACATTGTTCCAGTGAGGTATGTGCATCTTCTAATTTTCGGAAAAAAAATATGTGATTGTAGTTACGAGGTCTGTGGAAGTGTCGAGAAGCTTGACGTTGTTGAGAATTTGGCTTTGATTAATAAAGAGACTGGAGATTCAATTGTCATTCGACCATCTCAAGATGGAACATTCTGTAAATACGTCGCACCTGCTAAATATTCAATTTCCGTAAATATCTTTCAATCTTGCTAGCATTTTTTAAAATTTTTAGCCAGCCGACAGTTCATCTTCTCTCACTCCACGTGCTTTGGATATTGATGTCACTTCTGGTCCTATTGAAGGACTTCGATTCACTCATTACAAAACTGACGCAGAAGCTCGCGTAACTTGCATTGGTTTTAGAATCAATGTTTCTCAAAACTCATCCCTGACTGTTTTAGGAAACTGCGGACTCATATCTATGAGCCTTCTCTCCGGTGACACCGTTATCCAAACTGCAAACGGTGATGATGTGACTTTCAGTGATATTGGACCAGGAGATTATATCGGTAAAACTAATTTTCTGGAGAAATGAAAATAAGGAAAAATTTCAGTTCGTCTTGTTGATGACGGTTTGGGATGCTGGGCAAAGAAAGAGTTGCCACTTCATGTAGAACGTGCAAAGCCCCAACCTATTCATTTCGTTCAAGAAGGTTTCGTTACTTCCATCCAGTTGTCCCATTCCGCTAAATTGGTAAGTATTCTATCTCGGAAACATATTTTACTATTCATCCTCAGAAATGGTCTCATGTCGAAACTAAAAAAATCAAAGGTGAAGTAGATGCTGTTTCCGGAGTAAACAAAGTTTGTGTTCCCTTGCAAGGAAAATATCAAATAGCGTTGGAGTCATGCATGGAGTTCTCTCCTAGTACCTTCGAAGTCACTGGTGAGTTCTGAATGATCAGATATTAAAATGAGCTCTAATGTTCAGTTCCATCTTCTGCTGTAACTGAATCATCTGCGACTACCGCAAAGGTCTCTGGAATCATTGTCAGTGAAGGCCACGCTAACTTCCAAGTCAAAGTCAAGTAAGGCAATATTCTCTCTTTCTGTTTACTGATTCATGAAATTAAGATCCGCTCATGGAGAACGTGTTGTTTCAACCACTAATGGAATTTTCTCCTTCAATGAACCTCTGAGCACTGAAGGAGATATCATTCTGGTGCCAACTTCCGAAAACCATCTTTTCGATCCTGCTAGTTTTGTATTCAAGTTCAAGTACTTTCGTTCATATGTACTTATCTCATTATATAATTTGCAGTGGAAAATGTTCTGAGAGAGTTGTTGAGTTTGTTGCCGCAAAGGGTATTTTCATTGATGGCCAAATTACTCCACCTGTCCCAGGAGTTGAAGTTAGTCAGCCGCTGCCATTCAGTAAAAACTCAAAACATTCCAGATTTCCGCTGTTCATAGATTGGATTCAAATGTTGTTTTCAACACAGTTTCTGATAAGTCTGGTCGATACAGGTAACAACAAGACAGTTGATCCTGTTTAGTTCTGATATTCAGAGTTGGTCCTGTCAAAAGAGCTGAAGATCTTGCTATCTCTGCATCATTGGACGGATACTCGTTCAACGCTGTTGAAGGAAAAGTTGGCGTTTTGAGAAGTGTCAAACTGAGTCAAATATCTGTTGTCATCGTATGTCTTTCACCTTTCTGTTCTTATATGAACTTTCTCATTACAGATGGATTCAGCTACTTCTGAAGGTTTGGATGGAGTTTTGCTCTCAGTTGTCGGTGGTAAAGAATATCGTAGTAACAATATGGTAAAACCATCCGGAAAAATAAACTTCGTTGGATTGGTATTATATCGGTGATCATATGGTTTCTATGAGTTATATTTAGGCTCCTGGAGATTACTTCTTACGACCAATTCTTCAAGAATATAAGTTTGAACCTTCAACGACAACTGTAACTGTTAAAGAGGGAGAACATCAACAGGTTCAGCTTAAAGGAAAGCGTGTTGCTTACAGGTAACTTCGAATTTTTGACTGTTTGTTTATTTGTTCAACAGTGTTTTGGGAAAAGTTCGTGAAATGTCTGGTCAAGCACTTGCTGATGTTGTCCTCGAGGCCTTATCTGAGAAATGTGATCAACACCAATCTGAGGCAACCACTGGATCCGATGGATCTTTCCGTATCAGGGGATTGAAACCTGGATGCGAATACAGCGTTGGAATTAAACGTTGGTTTTCATTTTTTTTTCCATTTTGTAACTTCTTAATCTTCCAGCCGGTTCCAATGGACCACACTGCTTCCCTTCACAATTCGATATTCAAATGACATCTGATGATGTGAAAGGCTTGGAAATGGTTGCTTCACCTAGAAATGAACAAACCGAATTAGCTGTTGAGGTTAGAAACCCCCTTCTCGTTATTTAGAAGATTATTGTCTTTAGGTGGAGTTCAATAGTATGCTCACGCTGAACTCTTACAAGGTTGAAGTATCTCAAGGAGGACACGTTGTTGCTAATAGTATTCTCACTGCACCTACTTCGGTTTATTACTTAACTGGGCTTCCACGAGATGGATCTGAATATTCCGTTAGAATTGAAGCTGATAGACCAGCTCAGGCCTTCCACGCTAAGACAGGTAGAGTCATAAAATCATCATGATTACGAAATAGTTTTATAGTATTTGTGAATGCTGATGCTCCAGTCAGAGTTGTTCGCATCCCTGTTAGCTCATCGAGAAAAGCAAGCGAAGTTGAAATTGGACTCAGTTCAGTTCTGGCTTTACCTTTCTTTGCTTTGGTCATTTTAGTCGTCTTCAACCAAAACAAAGCGTTAGAGCTGTCAAAGACTTTGTACGAGAAGTTGTCTCAGTCCAACAGCCCTACACGTGAGCGCAGAAGAAGAAAGTAGATATGTTGTTGTTTTCTGTTGATTTTGATCGTTGTATTTTTATACGGATTACACCATTAATGGCTTTGTTTCATTCCTATTTCGTACAATTTTGATAGAATTTAATTTATTGAATGAATTTTTTAATGAATCATGAGTGTTCTCGTTCTATTGGTCAGTTGTCTTTATCATTTTCATTGCACCTCTTATTTTTACAAATAAGTTTGCCTGTCAAATAGTTAAGCATGAGTAATCGTTGGAGTGCACCCTCGACTGGAATGTTAATAAAATTGGATAACATTAGTTTTATAGTTCTTTGGAATGAAAATGAGTGGGGCTCTCCACGATTATACAATGTGCTGAGGTTACTATTTCATAATATGTTCGCTTTTTCGGTTTGGAGAGAGCTTTTTCTCATAAACTATGCGCACACAAGTAATAGAACATGCAAAGTATAAACTGTTCTTTAGCGGAGCCAGAAGAGAAAGGCAATGTGCTGAGAACTAAAAGAATAATTGTCGTTTTATGAGACAACAGTTCTTAGTTCAGCCGTTCTTGCCTCTTATCTGAAGACAATGATTTTCGCTCTCTTCAACTGAATGATAAAAACATGAATCATTCATATACATTATCTATGAAGCACGTCATGATTTCGCTTACTCTTCATAATCTTCATTATAACTCGTGTTCCCACATTACATCCCGACAACGGTATCAAGCGGAAACAAGACGGACTGCTCTGTACTAAGTCTTCTATAAATACTTTAAAATGATAAGGTGACCGATCCTCATCCGATGCTGGAAACGATTGACTCAGACAACAATCGATCAAGCAAAATTTGAAGCGCTGTTTAACTACTTTCTCGCATTTATGATCACAACATTTGTTTACATAACGATGATGTCAATGAAAGAATTGTCCTCGTATCACCTGCGTTTAAACAAGATATATTCATGCCTTATCATATTTTATAATAATTTCTACAGCGTTCAACGAGGCCTCAATACTTCTATTCCGAAATGATTCAAATAGATTTCGATAATCCGAGTGCTGTGTACTCTCCAGGACAGCCAGTTACTGGAACAGTAAGATTGACTTTAAAAGAGAAAGTGAAGGTAATTAATTTTTTTTTCGCCTATTCCATCAATATGTTAAGGCTCACTCTCTCATGATAGGTGCGATCGGGAAAGCACATACCCACTGGAGTGAATCTCATTCTAGAAGTACAACAGATTCTCATGGGTTCGTATTTACTTATGTTACTTTCTGATTTGTTGTTTGTAGACGTAGTACTACTGAAACGCATACAGTCACTTTCTCAGATTCTGTAATCTATTTCAAAGGCGAAGCTGTTCCTTGGTCTAGTACAGCAAGTTGTAATAAGTTGGAGAAAGGTGTACATGTATATCCATTTGTGTTTATGTTGCCCCCTTACTGTCCACCAAGTTTCGAAGGTTTGACTAATTTTTGATTTCTTTTAAAAATGGTTCTATTAGGATCTCTTGGTTATATTAGATATGAGATCTTTGTGGAAATTGATCGTGTCTGGAAGTTCAATAAGAACAACAGACGTTTCTTCTCTGGTTTGTAAATCGTTCTTGTTTTTCGTAAATATTCCATTTGCAGTGATTCCTTACCTCGATCTCAATACTATTTCCCAAGCAATGGTTCCTATTCAGAATTCAACCATTGCTAAGACTGGAATAGTTCTTTTCCAACGTGGTAAAATAGGTATGCAGGTTAGTCGTCTTTGTGTAATCCGTGAATTAACTTTAACTTTAAAGGTTCGTATTCCTAAAGGAGGCTTTGTACCAGGCGAAACAATTCAAGTTGAAGTTTTGGTTGATAATGCTAGTTCTCGTCCTATCACTGAAGTAAGACAGATGAGATGGTTTAGAGATACGTTTAATTTTTCAGGGAACTCTCAAACTCTACCAAGATTCAAAATATTTTGCTAGTTCTGGTAACCACGTTACGGTTTACAACCCAGCTGAAATCTTTGTACCGGGATGTCATCATAATATGCGCGAGGAGTCGAAGTGCGTTATCAGTGCATTGGAGGTACTATACGTAGGAATTGGAATAATGCTAAGTCTTCTCTTTTAGGCCGTTAATATTCCAGCAAAAACAAAACAAACAGTCTTGATGAATATTCTTGTTCCTGCAGTAGTACCAACGCTGAACAGCTGTCCTATTATTCAAGTAGGATACGTTTTGAAAGTGAGTTCTTTCTTGCACTGTATGTACCTATAACATATATTTTAGGTTGGTTTCCGTTCAACTGCATCCTTAAACAACAAAATGTCTACTTGTGATTCTATAATTGTTGGCACCGTGCCCGTTCAACAAAACGTTGTTAGTATAGTGACAACTATGCCATCAGCTCCACCACTTCAACCATATCCTTCCACTAATGCTGTATACCCGGCTCCAAACCCACCTGAATATGGAATGATGCCTTATCCAAATGCTCCTTCAGCTCCAGCTCCATCATATCCTTCATTGGCAGAACGTAAGTTTTTCCTCTCATTACACTTTTTCAAATTTGTTTATAGAACCCATGGCTCCTCCTCCTCCTAGTTATGAACAGTCTGTGTTCGGTACGGCCGGTACAATGAAAGATACAAATAGCTCCCAGGCGTTTGCACCGATGTATCCATACTACGCAAACCTTAGTCCTCCCACGCAATCCACTAACGCAGGGCCTTTACCTGAAAAAAAATGAGAGCCCGGGGAATGAAAATGTAGTTTCAGTCACCTGGATTTTGTGAAGAAAAGATACTCATGGAATAATATGTAAAAAAAATTTGTGTTGTTTCTGTTAATAATTGTAAATATGACTAATAAATTAAGTATGCTCACGTATTTGTCACGATTATCACACAATCATGAGTTTCGTCTCTAGCCGTTTGGGTTTAGTCATTCGATGCTATTCTATGACCCTTGTCATTCTTAACTTCACATATAGGAAAGTGCTTCTTCGTGGGAAGCCTAGAGTATATCATTTTGATTATTTGCCGAGTTGGAAGACGCCCAACGAGGATCCTTCTGTACTATGAATGATCAGTTAAGGGTTGTCCTTTGCGTATCCAATATAACTCTCATTTAACTGATTACAAAAGCCTTTGTCTACCTAGGAAACCCGTAAAACCTATTTCCGTTCTGCTTGGTTAGCTAGCGGTCAACCAAAACTGCTGTTCATTATACTGATTAAGAGAAGCAAAGTTGTTACAAACTTGTTAGATAGTTCTCTGCATGATACGTGTGTACTTAATGATGCGAAATATGAGATCAATAGAAGAATACGAAGATTCAATAAGAGTCAACCAATCACAAGTTATTGTCACGATTATTCAGCTGTAAAAAACTGCAAAAAGTTGAAAAAGTCGACTTCAGTTATTGACTATCATGAAAATAGTCCGGATTCTCAGGCAACTTCACACTGTAGCTCGACTTACGTGAGTTAATAATACACGGAAATGCAAATTAATTTGTCTCGCCACGAACTACACAGATGAAGCGTTCATTAGCTGTTTTCAGAATATAATTTTATATTAATCATGTTTTCGTTTTCGCAACAGGAGATTCCAAAAATTTCTTCTATTCAGGAGGTGTCTATACGTATCTATTTTTTCTAATAGTTTGTTCAGTGTTTTGTTCATCTGCAAAAAGTATATAGTACTCCTGGGCCTAGCGATCAAACGAAGCATGCTGTACGAGAGGCATTGGATTCTGTCCAAAAAGAAAGTGAGGAAGACTCTGAAATAAAATTTATTGTAATTTATAGTGGACACCATATCCTCTCTATCTGTGAATCAAAGAATAATTTTAGAACAGATATCTGGTAATCTCTATATCACTGTTATAGTCCAGACTATTTCCCTTCCTTTTCAGCTATTAAAGATTTTAAGAAAAATTATGAGGAAGACACCTCCCTAAATAAAATGAAGCTTCAAATTGAAGAGACTAAGCTTTCGAATTTGGAACAAAAAGTTTCTTTGGGACAAGAGCGTGTTCGAAGTCTGCGGCTAGGTATCAAGCTATTCAGTGAACGGGAAACGATTCTGACTGTGAAAAACAGAAGAATGGACAGCGAAGTTGATAGAAAGAAAAAGTTTCCAAATTAATTTCTTGTTCAGTTAAAAGCGACTAATTTCAAATTGAAACAGACTCTGGAACGATTGCAGGAGAGAAATATCAGAATTTGTGAGAAATATGAAACAGCTCCCCAAGTTGTCAAAATGCATGAGGTATGGTATATTCCCTCTCCAAAATTTTGATCAAGTATATTAATAGGAGGAGAAAATGATCCAAGAGCTTAATGCGAAATTAGAGAGTCTTGTTATCAGCGAGAAAGGCTTTGATGAACGATTACAATACCTGGAACAAGAATGTAGGTTTTTTTTCTCCACAACCTTCTGAAGCTTTACACTTTAGTATCCGACAACAAAAAAGTTTCCTTCACTGATTTTGTCAAGAGTACATCAAAGGCTCTTCTGAAAATCAGAGATATACAGAAGAAATGCAAAGATGTCTCTAAGGTTTACGAAAAATGCGTTGTTAGTTTGGTTCGAGTTCTGGCTCATCCCAAAACCGTCTTCAGCAAGAAAAAAATGAGAAGAAAGAAGCTCTAAGATCTAGTGGACGCTTTGATTCTTTCGATGTTTCAATGTTGTCTATTGATCAGGTACTTTTAATAGTTTAGCAAATCTCATTTTTTTCTTTCAGACAATGGTGGAGGAAATTAACACAGCTCCTGCAGCGCCTTGTCTACCTATCCGACAAGATTCTGAAATAACAGCTTCAAAGAAACAAATGATGTCGCGTTTCATTAACTCTCAAGACGGAGTGTATGAGAAAGTTTGTTGTTCCTTCAAGAAGTCTGACGTTGTTCTTTCTTAGACCAATGACCAAGCTGATATATCTCAAGAGAGCGAAGTAATACGTATTGAAGTAATGTTCCCCCTGGTTGTAAATAAGCTCATCGCATATAGGCAACAAGCTCAAATGGTGACCTAACATCTGAGGGTTCAAGAAATTTGGAAACCGGTAGTGACTTGAGCCAAGATCAGCTCGAGGATGGCGAATCTCCCAATCGAACAATGGATTGTGATAAAGAGAAAAATGCAGAACAACAAATTGAACAGCAAGACGTCAACGAAGATGGAAAGGATAGCAATGTCTCAGCACAATTCTCAGATCAAGAAGAAGATGATGACGTGGAAATTCCTCTTGACGACGACGAGGAAATGGCTGGTGATCATCATGAGAACATACTCGACATCTCAGCTATAGAAGGAGATCATAATGACGTAGTTGATTTTTATGTAATCATAATGAGGGTTGGTGCTATAGGAAAAAGAAGATGATGATGCAGTTGTCGATGAACTGTTGAACGATGGCTTGCTGGATATGGATCCATCACATAACTTGACTCAAGGTAAGACAGATAGTATTTTCATCAACGTAATTTGCTCACATCTTTCTTAACTAGGAAGTGGCACCGGAGATGACATAAACCTTGTATTGAACATGAGTATGAATAGCGAAGGTATTGCTTCTAAAAAGTATTAAAATGGATAGTCCTGTTCAGATCCTGCTGCTGATTTCCTTGATTTCGCCAAACAGTCTGAAGGGGATAACTGTGGGTTTTTACGGAAAATTCCTCTTTATAATGCATTTCAGTAAACGCCTCTGAGCAGTTCAATCTCTTCGGCAGTACTGACAATAATGATAATGCGCCAACAGGTGGGCATTTTATTATTTTTATTCTGAAAGATGTTTCTAGGTGACAATGAGTTCTTCAATTTCGGCGACATGAATAACGATCAAGACTTCTCGTTCCAATTCGGAGATACTACCAATGATAATAACGGCGGAGGCGATTTCTTCAATCTGTTTAAATAAGATGTTCCTGTGAAAATTCTGTGAAAATCTGTGAAAACCTGTGAATTTGTTGTATTTGGTGTTTAGAGTTCATAAAAAAGACGAATTTTAATTTTTTTTACAAACAGTAAAACAGGAAATTACATATTTGAACCCAGTTTATGAGATCTGGAGATACAATAAAACAAACATTCGCCAAATTTAGTTGCTCAACAACAAGGACACTTGGCAAAGCTTAGCAACCAAGGCCGAGAGTTGAACGAGTGTGGATAAGCCTTCTATTACTCGAATATGACACAAAGCGATCTCCTGAAACAAAAAAAACATTCGTATATTGTATCTTCCTACGTACTTTAATAAAACACATCTTGATTTCTTCCGGAAGCTCACAAGATTTACACACTCGGAAAACATTCGAAACTATGTCGTCGGGTGAGTAACCCTTGCTGAAAGGTAATACTTCGTGATGTTTCATCTATGATGTAAGCATACTTGTATAGATCATGGATAATGGGGTAAGCCTGACGGAAATTTCCCTTGGCACACATTTGGAGCATGTCTTTAATAATCTGTGGGTGTGGTTCGTCACATACTTTGAAAACATTCTCTTCATTTACGAATCCGTAGGCAGATACTGTACACTGGAGATTGTTCAAGGCCTGAAACTAATCAGCTCAAAATACACAAGTCTTTCTTCACCTGTCTCATGTCTCCCTGAGCAGTGAAAATAATTGCTTCCAAGCCTTTATCATCGTATGTAACCTTAAATACGTTCTATGGACAGAGAGGACTATGGTAACTTGCTGTCTCCATTCTGCAGATATCACGTAATCGAAGAATCATTTGAGCATCAGTAACCTTCTGGTAGCGGATTATAGCACAACGTGATTGAATTGGCTCTACAATCAGAAGAATTTAACAATAACGAAACTGTCTTGTCGTACCAATAATCTTATCTGACTGATTACAAGCCAAGGCGAATCTGGTTGTTTTGGTGAACTTTTCCATTGTTCTTCGCAGAGCCTAACACAACATGAATTCAGTGAAGAACGTTTATTACCTGTTGGGCTCCATCAGTCATAGAGTCCGCTTCATCAAGAATGATGATCTTTTGTCTTCCAGGGGGCAAACTAACTTTGGTTTGAGCAAAATTTTTGATACGATTTCTGACGACTTCAATTCCTCTGAAATCACCAATCATAAGAAGATTAGATGATAAACAAGTAACCTGTCATCAGAAGCATTCAATTCTAAGCAGCCTTCTCTTACTTGCTTCTCTAACAGCTCTCGAGCTAAAGCCCAAATGGATGTTGTCTTACCACAACCAGGAGGGCCCTGAAGAGTATGAAGAATATGAAAATTTCAAAGATGATCAGTAGACTCACGGAGATAACAATATTTGGGACATTTCCACTTTGAGCAAGAACTTTCAAACGATTCACTACTTCTTCATTCCCCAATATTTCATCCAAACGTTGAGGTCTGTACTTCTCAACCCAAGGTAGATTATTTTTTCCTTCCATCTGAAAAATTAGTGAATGCAAAGGTCTTTATGAGAAATTCCAAAATAAGTCGAAAGAGAAACTTGCTCCCCACCTGAGGTCAAGAGCATTCAGAATAAATATTAAAATTCATTGAAATTTTTAAAATTCTTTCAATTTCAAGCGATCACTGTCTTTTGGCAGTATCAATGCTCTCCCGCCAATTTTTGTTTAAAAGGTTACTGTAAATGCGGAAAGGATGCGAGATTTAGACCTTTATCATAGTGTCTTAATCCTCTTCAATGACTGCTATCTATGAACTCCTCGAAATTTTAAGAATTTCTTTTAATAATTGAAATTCAATTTTCAATAACAGTTCTGAATCTTAGAGAGAAATTAGAGTTTCTTAAGAATATTCCTTCTTTCTCTCTGAGAATTCGTGTTTTCCTCATAGTTTATGCACCACCTCCATACTTCCTTACTCTTTTTAATAAGAAAAATAGTAATTTAAACGTTTTACAGATAGTTATGAGCTCGTATACACCCAGCAGTGCTGGACGTAGACGACAAACTACTAGGACTGATGCAGAAGAAAGGGCTTTAGACAGAATTTCTAGAGAAGTAAGGTTTTTTGACTTAAGAAACGTTTCTTGTATCCGTGTGCTCATCACATTCCTTGTTAATTGAAATGAAATCGATGAGTTAATGTATCATAATTCGAATACAATACTGAATGTGACTAAAGAAGCTTCATCGTAAACATTTATGTAGAATATGCTAATCTAATTCGTTAACTCTTTCGTAGGCTGAAGCTCGTTCAAAGGTTAAAAGGGAAACACGCGAACAAGCCAGACAGCATAGGTACACGTTGTTAGAAAAGAAAGTTGAGGTACGCATCAAAGATTTTTTCCTGCTTAATCGTCTTTCTTTAGGAGGAAGCAGAAGCTTATCGTCAAGATGCTGCGGTGAGTTCTTAATTTGAAAGTTTCTGCTGTGTTGAGCTCTTAATAACTTCACATAACTCTTTTTTCAACTAATAGCTTGTCGTGTTTTAACCTTTTTTTGCAGTCGACCTCTAATGGAATCTCTCACAGCCATGAAGCGAATGAAAAGCTAAAGGTTTGCTGTAGTTTTCGTATGCATGTCTTTCAACCGAATGACGTTCGTGTTTGAGCATGAGTCAATTTTGTTTGTGATTATTTGCAAACGGTGGTGTGACTAATTTTTCAAAGGCTTTCATTCTCATAGTAATGTTTTTATTAAGGATAAGGTGGTTGAGCTTGAAGATAGGGTCCAACAGGCTATGTTTCTTTACTCTCAATTAGATAATGAGAAGTCTGCCTTACTTTATGAGGTAATTTTATTTGATATTCATGGCAAGTAGCAATGGCAACACTCAGGTTGATTTGCTCAAAGACGACTTAGAAGAAAAAGAAGTTTTACTTTCCACTTCGCAAAGGGAGGTGCGAGATTTAACTAGCGTAGGTCATGTGTTCAGTATTCAAATTTCAATTTTCCATTCATAGGAGGTCAAATCTCTGAAAAGAACCATAGAAACCATGACATTAACCCAAAGTAATCTGAAGATAGAAATAGCTCAAAGAGACCATTTGATACAGGTGGGATAGTTTGATTGACTTCTGTTTTGTTTGCTCTCATATGTCCTTGTGCGAAACTCTTGAAATGTGTTTGGAGTGCGTCAAGCTCTCTATGTTGTTCGCGTTATCAACTCAATTTGTCGAAACAAAATACGATTATCCAAGTTTTTTACATTGTGATGATGGTCATATGTTTTGTCTTATAACTTATGTTTCGAATGCACAACTGTTACTTCTAATGAGAAGTGCATTTACGAGAGGTTTAAAGTAACATTAGGTCAGATGAAGGGGTCTATCGTTTATCATGTCAGTTCTCTATAATTAAGCTGTTGTTTTCAGGAGAATGGATTAGTTCTAGTGGAACAGGAAAATGAGGAACCATCTAATCAGTCTGGAGACAGTAATGGATCCTCCAATAATGTGTATGTTATTTCTTCCGTTTTACTTGCATTGAACTTCTTTTTTCAGTAAGCATGGCCCTATTTTGTTTTCTCAGGAAACGCTTAAGCTTGTTGAACGGGTTGTACCTGGGTCCTCTAGTCTTGACGAAAAAATAAGAAAACTAGTTGATATTGTGAGTTATCATATGCCAAAAATATCCTTTCAAACATGTTGTTCAAACAAAATGCGAGGGTGCACCACCGGTAACAGCTCCGTTCACGTGAAATGAACTTTCCTGAACTTTCCATTTTCTGGTTCAATCAACAGTGGAGCGGTTGCTTTCGTGAACAACAATTTTGGAATCATCCAGTTTACAATTTACTCATTCGTTTTCAGAATAAGAAAATGAGAAAAGATGTTGAAGAGATGGAGCAATCTATATACAGTTCGAAGATGTCCAGAGCGAATCAGCATAACTCTGCCATTGCCAATGGTGGACAGGATGAAGCAAGCAGTTAGTTGTTTTTCGTTTTTCCCTTTTTTTTCGAAAATATTCAAAAAACGGACAGTTTAAACTGAAATGTAGGTAGTGCATCCATATCCAATTTACAAGAACAACTCAGTAAGTTTGCCAGCAAAATTTGTGTTGTCTTTGTTTCTGGAATAAGGTCGCCTTATGTTTAGAATATCTCATCGTGAGATAACTTAATCGCTTTCGTTATGCTTTTAATTTTATGGGAAAAGTAGAGGGACGAGAAATATTTAGTTTCGCTTTGTTGACAAGTTGTTAATATTTTATGAGTTTGATGAGTTCGAATTAGATTTACGTGATTATTTTGCAGAGGATAGCGCTAAACAAGTAGCTGACTTGAAATTCAAATTACAAGAAGCTGAACGGGAGAATACCAATCTTCAAGGAGTTGTAAGCTTTAATTCTTTTTGGTCTTTAAACTATTTTAAATTATTTAAGGTGATTCGAACTGAAGGTCAAATGAAGCGCTATAAGCAGAATTGCGAAACAGCGGAAAAAGAGCTAACGGAGGCCAAAAGTGAAACTCGACAGCTTAAGAAAGAGGTTCGATTATTTTCCTTTTTCTCACAACTTCTTTGATTTAAATGTTTTGGGTGGAATAAGTAGCACCCAGTAATGATTTGATGACACGAAAAACTAATTTCTATGTTTTTAATCCGATAGAAGATGAGTTCGTCTTCGGAACTCGAAGTGTTTGAGTTCCGAAAACCACCATTAATTTGCTAAGAAAAGGTTGTCAACAGCCTTGATTTCATTTTTTCGAGATAGTTTTGTTAGTCTGGAGTTGATTATTTGGTTTGAGAAGAGGGTTTTTAATAATGTCGTATACACATATGGCATGACATTCGTATTTATGCAATACTTACAGATACGTGACAAAGAAAATGCTCTGGATGAAGCGAAGGAAACAAACAAACATCTGCAAAGCAGATTAGAAAAGTATCGAACACAACGTGCGAGACCATTGTAGTACTGTCCGTTACTCGCCGAAAGTCATGACTAGTCCCCTTATTAAGAAACTTCTGAGTTTATCTTCCTCACCCCCGCTTGTCGCCTTAACTACGTAAAAAGTGCTCAAACATCTTGGTGTAATCTACATTTCTATCGGCTTTCACAGCATAATAATCATCGAAAGCAATTCTTCTTGTGATGTTCAGCAATTAATTCGAAAATTCTACTTACTCAACGATGAATAGCACTTGGTTTTACTGTTCTCTTGTTGTCAACTCCGACTAAGAATCAGCTTTATGGTTTTGAGAAGGAGATCGGGAAAAGTTTACATTCGAAGTTTTTCTGATTAGGATTTTTTTTGTTCCAATGTTTATCATCTTGTGCCTTCTGATAGCGTGTGACTCCTTTTCCCTTCTTTCTCTTAAAGTAATATTAATATATATTTTCTTGAATCAGAGTTGCTTTTATAGTCAGCTTATATATACATATGTCTTTATATTTTCTAAGTTTAAATATTCTAAAACATCTTTTTCTTCTTCTTCTTCTTACTGGTGGAGACTTTGAAACTTGGCGAAACCTTATCACACTTTAAATAGGTTTGTATCAGAATGGGAGCTCGTAGATGGTAATAGCATTAAGGATACTCAGACGAAGGTGTTAATTGAGCTGTCCTAGTCCCTGGGGATCCTTTCGTTGAATTTGAGGATTATGGTATGTAGGAGGGAGGGGGAACACTTCGAAACATTTTAACCATTTTTTTGGGAGAATTAAGAAGTTCCGCAAAAATGTGTAAAGTAGGACTAATTATGATGATGACGGTAGTGATGATGAGGATGAATGCAAAAATGCCCGGAGAAGGTAATTAAATTTCGAAGTAGATTACGGTAGCTTTAAGTGCTTCATGTGACGAGTGAAAAAAGAAATCTGGGGCTAAGGAAGGCTTTATTAAATTTGACAGCTTTTTCTGAAATAGAAAAGGAAGTTCGGAAAAATATGTGAGGTGAGATGTTTCCTTATTCCTTGTAGAGCTGGCGAGGAAAACAAAGTTTGAAGAAATTTTAGGAGAGTAACGATCGTCTGTAAAATCTTGGCTCAAAATAGTTTTTATTGGTAGCAGACGAGATTATTTCTTCTGGCTCTGATTTGAATAGAAAAGGTAAAATTGAAAAGTAGGGAGAAGGTTCCGCTTGGTGTTTTGCTCGTCACCAAATCAAGCAATGTAAATGTTTTTTTTCCTGAAACATAACCGGAGTTCAGGTTGATTTGTTTTTGACGAGCAATATCAATGACGTCAGATGCTTTCAAAGGAGGAAGCATTGAGAAATCGAAACGTTGAAAACGTCTTCATATTGTTCATCAGCTAATAGGTGGAAACTTTTTTTTCCAAAGACTGCGTGTGTTGTGTATGTCTGTGGCTATGTGTGTATGGATGAGAGGGTGGTTGTTGTGCGTGGGATATGCTTAATAGGTAATATCTCTTCATTTCGTATACTTTTTACAGTTTGTTTTGATTTCTTTAAAAGAAAATTAAGTTTGTTTGGCAACGCTTTTTTCCGCTTCAAACTTATCATTTAAATTGAAATGAAAATGGAAAGATATAAAAGATATTTGTCCTCACTTCTACCGTATGATTTGCTGTTCTGTTTGAGCGGATTTATTTAACTTTTCTTTTCTGCAATAATCCAAATTAGTTGAAGACAAATGACGTCACTGTAATAGCCGTCTGTACCCTAAAGGCTTTAAACGAGTACCCAGAATTACTTTGAGAAGCCTGAAATCAACAATTTCAAAGGCTTAATTAAGGCTTTCAGACATTTTACGAGAAAGTCAATGATGAAATTGAAATTTTGGAATTACAGAAGCCATCATCTTTCCTGGTAAGCGTTTGGTGAGAACAAAAAGATTTCATACGGTTGCTTACATCACTTTCAATCCTAACAAAGCTTTTTCTATTATGAACTTTAAACTTCATATGGAAGCTGTGGGGAAGACAATCTCAGTTCAGAGACTGTGTCAATTAAAGAGAGTTGCAGAGCAAAAAAAAGGGGCGGAGCACTTCATCCAAGGGGGTGGGGCCAACAGGAGGGACAACTTAAAAGCCGGCTGAATGGGTTGGCCGACGATACTTTCTTTGTTGAGCTAGCCGGCTCTAGCTTACGTTTTCTTCTTAAAGTTTTTTGTTTCATACCACTTATTGGTGCTGATAAGAACTTTCCTAAGTGAAATATTTTAAGACTTGAGTTTCTCCTTTCTTCAAATCTTCAAATCAAATCGACATGCGTTGCCTCATCGTCTTACTTGCTCTCGTTGCCGTCATCTTGGCCACTCCATTGGTCTTCAGACAACAGCCTCAGATGGTATTTTTTCATTTGATATTATGGTTCATTGCATGCATTCTTTTCTCTTCTTCTTCTCTTCTCACAGAAGTTCATCATCACTTTTCTCCAAAAACGACTATCTGATGAGATTTGATTTAGTTTTCGCCCACCAACTGTCCTATGTCTTAAAACTCAAATTCAATTTGGCTCAATATTTTACGCATTTTCGCAATTTGTTGAGAATTTACAATGAGTTTTGTGCAATCTGAGGCCTAGTTAGCCTTATGGGAGAAATAGAAACTCTTGACACTTCCTTCCCTTTTCCTTATATGGAATTACCCTTGCCGTCGTATCATCGTCTAGTAACACGCAGAAATATCATGCTTTTACATAATTAAGTTTTTTCCTTATTGTGATCAAATAAGGCAGTCGGGCAAAAACTTCTGTGAACAAGTTATAAGAGAGGGACGGAAGAAGAAAGAGAGATATCAAAAGAGAGAGAGAGAGAAAGAGACAAAGGACTCATGGCTGACATAATGCCACTTGTTGGATTTTTTGCTTTTTCAACATTTTTTTTACAAACACATATTTGTTGTTTGTATCGTCATCATCCAGAGGATATCGGCTTATATCCCAACCACTCAACTCCAGAAGCAGGAGAATATGACCTTTTTGTACGTTTCATCCTCGTATGATGGAGAGAGTAAGCGTTTTTTCTACCTAATTCTGAGAAAATCAGAAAGCCTCAGGCAAGTGCCGTACAGCCGTGATCAGCCAGTCTCTTTGATATTGGTGAAAGAGGGGGGGGGGATTTATTCGGTGAAGCAAAAGATTATCTCGTGCCGGAAGCGACTGGCTCACGCCATAGTAGAAACTTTAGGTTGAACAATCAAATTATTTGAGAAAGTTGTAGGCAAATCTCTTCCTTATATGGTTTGTCTTTGGCCGATTATCACGTGCAAGAATGAAGTTAATTAAGATTATATTCAAACAGATGCAATTGTTTGGAATTTAAGTGAAACTCGTGAAGAGAAGGGAAATGTCATTGTGCTCATCTGACTGTCATGTTAAGAGTGAATGGAATAATTCCTTTAAAGATGTGTGGGTGATATAGGCTTGAAACATAAATAATTTAAAAGTTTCATCATCTGGTTGAGGCCTTATGATCAGCTTTTGACTTTTCACATCTCAATACACACACACACTCACACACATAACATAGCCTCTGTTATGCAAGGAATTTTCATTTAGAACCTCTAAATCATTTTAATTTCATCATTGAGTTTGAATTTCGTTAATTAAGAGACCGTTTTCAGTTTTTCTTTCCTCCAAAAGCTTAATGAAAGAAGCTTGCCCTCCCCCCTTCACCCCATATGGACTGAGACGATCTTGATTAAATTTTCTTTGGGCATCCAGATTTGCTTTTAATCCGTACTATGCTATTGCTATCTGCATCACAAAACTTAATTGATAGATAAGAGTATAGGAGGAAATAGTTTTGCGATGATCAAGATTTGCTTTAAATAGCTTCCAAATGCTGCAAAGAGAAGAGCAAAGCGAGTGAGAGAGGGGGAGGAGAGGGAGGTACTGATGTTCCTTATCTTATTTACTCTCACTCACACATTCAATGGAAGCTACCCTCCATTCAATGAAGCTTGTCCGAACTTATGACGGCATGGAAAAAACATGTCAAAAGTAAGTTGTTCGCAACACCTGATGACTTCAACTCCATCATCGTTGGCGGGAAATGTCCTAAAAAGGAAATGTTTTTACAAGCAGAAAAAAGATGTTTTGAATATCAGGATGTGAGAATCTTATTAATCAGCTGTGCCACAATATGTGACGTACAAATAGAAGGGAATAATGGCAAAGAAATGTAAATGAGTCTTATTGAAATATCAATTGAATTGATATCTCACTATCAAGCCATATATGGTTTTCTTGTGTGTGTGTGTGTTGGTAAGATGAAGTGAAAAGAAGAAAAAAAAGAAAAGAAAAACGAATTAAGACGGAAGGTGATGTAGATGATGGTTTTTAAACTATAAACCATGCTAATTGCTCTTTTCATGCTCTCAGAATGCCAAAAAACTGAAAAGGCAAATGAAGAGAGGGAGGGAGAGAGAGAATAAGAATGCCAATCGGCTTCTTCTACTAATTTCTTGGCAATTTTCTAGGAATTTCCTTAAATGTATTTCTTTTGACGTTCAAAAGAATTCCTTTAATGGCCCCTGTTTAGAAATAAAGCTTATGAGGCTAATTTTATGTTTTCTCATAATTTGTCTCCAAATTGGTTATAAACTATTTTCTAATCTTCCTAATAAGAAATGAGGAAGTCACATCCACGAATTGGACAAGAAGACGGGGAGACCAAAAAGAGAGAGAGAGAAAGCATGCCAATGGATGAGTAGACAACTTGCCACAGCTTAAAGCTTAACCACAACTTAGACTTTTGTCCGATCAGTCGGCTCACACACACGCACACAAAAATTCCTTTCAATATGCGCATATTCCAGTTAATTACAGCTCATTCTTTGAAAAAAAAATAATTTCATCGGTTTTTCCTTTTTTTTTATTTTTATTATTTTTGTAAAAGTCAAAAACAAGGGTAAATAAAAACTTTTTGCTCGAATTTTATGAGCTTTTGCCTAGAGACTCATCATCTCGTCACTGAGCTGCAAATGAATGCTTTTTACTTCGTTTATGTTATTTTTGTATTAGAAGAGAAGAGAGAGAGAGTGAAAGTGAAAAAAAAATATGAAAATGTGGTATATTTATATTAAAATTTATTATTTTTTAGAACTTCGGCGAATGGGCTGATGGCCAAGTTATCAAGAGATCCAATGCTGAACTTATCAATGGTCTCATTGGAATGGACCTTGGCAAGTTATCCGCTGTTGGCAAAAGATCAAATGCTGAATTAATCAATGGATTACTCGGAATGAATTTGAATCGTTTAAGGTATTACATATAGTTAAGCTAGACTTATGAAAATCGTTCTCCTACTTTCAGCTCAGCTGGTCGCAGATAAATTGATGACGTCGTTTGTTGTCGTTTGTTTTTTGTCAAAGTTCATGTGAATTCATGTCTTAAACGAAATATATGGTTATTGATTGAATTTATTGAATTTGTTGCCAACTTCTTGACGATAACAACGACGACATCTAGACGATGACGATGACAACGACGAAAACCATCATTTTTTCTTAAAACTCCCCCCCTCCCCCCTCCCGTTGAGTGTTTTATTTTATATTTACATATATGCTTTTCCCTTTTATATATTTCTATTGATTGGAGATATTCGACTTCTGATGGAAACGACAGGAAGTGTGGTGTCACTTTCATGAAAATCATAACACCTTACCTCCTTTCCTCCACGCCATATGTATTGCCTCCGCAATCTAACGAACTAGCGATGCCGGTGATTGTTTTGCCTTGATTCAAATTCGAATATCTCCATTTCCGACCCCCTTTAGCTTCTACTGTCCTCTCCTTTTAACAAACACGAACTTCGTTTGAATGATCGTTGTTTGATTTAATAACTTTTTTCCAAATAGATCTCACTCTTCCTCTCATTTCTCTCTCGTACAGTTATTTCTCAAAAAAATGATGAAAAGAAAGAAAATGAGCTTCAGACATGAATACAGTGAAACAAAACTTCTTTTTCTTAACGAAACATCCGATTGTACTTTGTACTTCACTGTGGTTGTTGATGAATTTTTATTTTCTTTTTTTTAAATCTGCGACACAAAGGTCTTATGGCCAGTTGAAGCCCAGTCTGATTTGATATCAATAAAGGTTAGAAGGGTTGTTATTTAACGTCTTAATCGGATGCGGGGAGAGAAGAAGGAAGAAAAAACAAAAGTTTACTGTCTTCAAAGAATATAAAATTGAATTAAGTCAATTGTTTGACAATTGAGCCTCATTTTTCTTAATCTTTCGACGGCATTTCTGTTCAGTTGACTTTGCTCTTTGAACATTCTCAATGATTTCTTTGTTATGGTTAGGAATGAAAGCGCATGGATAAATGAAGGACACAAAAAAAAATTTCAAAAGAGATTTAAATGTTAAAATTTCTTTTTGTCAAAGTTATTCAAGCTTCATCTCTGACCGAGACTTCGGTCTCTGCCACTTCGTTACCCTTAGACGGCAGGAAACGATAGACAAACACAACAACTCCGTTCTTCAGCCAAAACATTGAACTTGGTGATTTCCGTAGATGAAGAAAGCACAATTAGCAGGTTCACAACAGATCTCAATTCTTGTATTTCTCAGCTTTTCAATTTTTCCCAAACTCAGTACAAGCTTTGTGAATAAAAAATTATGTAAAGGCTTTTAAGAAGAGGGGAGGGGGTGGTGAATTAGTGAGAGTCCGGATACATTCCATACTTTCTGTATATCTCACATGGTTAAAAGAGCAACCGTAGACTGACCTTAAAGGTCATAAAAATATTCAACTGTCACCTTCTCGTCAACGAATTTTCAAACACTGAGATTATAATAATGTCGCATACCCAGTAGTCATAAGCTTTAATGAGTTCAAAGAGTTGAAAGCTAAAAATAGAAAGAAAAGCCAGTGATTCAAGTAGGTGGACTATAGATGACGATGAGTTCATTTCACAGAATTCAAGCATACTCGTTTGCTGCATTTTGCAAATGAGACGTAATCTTCGAGAATGTTTCAGAAGACTGGAAATAATATCATAGTAATAATAAATGACGTACCGCATTATTCACATTTCAAACAAGGGCTTATGGCTACATTTCATTTCCATAGATCCCCACCAAATTCATAACACTTTTTTTCTTTTATCATTCAGACGTGAAAAATGCTAATTGATGAGATTAGCATAAATTCTTGTCAGTACGTAAGTGCGCCTGAAGTTTGATGTTAATTCTCATTTTTCAATTTGCCTACGCAATGAACGGTTGACTTTCCCCCCTTTTCATTTCCTCAATTATTATTTCCTTCTCTATCACTACTCGTACGTGTTCAAATGCAGAATGTGGGGCAGATTCTGTTTTTGGGGGTATAAGTTACGTGCAATTGATGGAAATAAGTGTGTTTATTCTATTTTGAAAATTGTTGTTTATTCCTTCGCCTTGACTGACAAACTTTCAATTCATTCATTAGGACGTGGAGATACAATTGGTGTTGGTGATGCGCTGAAGCTTTCATGACGATTGGAAGAAGAATGTGCACAATAGAAACCAAACTGATCACAATGCTGCATTCTTTGTTCCAAATAATTAAAATAGAAAAAAACTGTGTTACTACAATTATGACAAGAATGTCATTACGATATGAGTGTCGACCAAATTAGGTAAGAATGAGAACAACTGGGATTGTTTCTCGGTTTGACAATGACAAGAAAATTACTTAAACAGACATTTCCATGCACAATGACTTTAATCTTGATTTGGTTCTTTCGATCTAATGCTCTTTCTTCAAAGCCAGGAGGGATTACGCTGTTCGCCTGAAAAAGCTTGAAGAAAGGAGAAAAACGCCCCAGTTATGTGCAGGGAGAAGATCACAAAGGAGAAGTTCCATTAGGAAAATATGAAGGATCATTTTAACCTCGTATTGAAACGCATTGGTGTATATGGCTAAGACGAAAAGACCGTTGTTCGCTCACATAATGGACGGATTGAGAAATATTTTAATCCCTACGGGCATATACAACGGATGATTGCAGCCAGCGAAGGATGGCTGCGCATGAAACGGACGACTGAGACCTACACAAGCCATTTGTCGTTTGTGAGCTTAGATGGAGTAAAATATGATTGTAGAAATGGGAGAAGCAGCATGAGACAGAGATGAACGACACAGATTTTCGATTAATTCAGAAGCGTGAGTCATCTGAAAGCCAACGATAACCATCTCTATGTCAATGGTGACCGAGGAAATGTGACCTCACTACTTCTCAGCTTCATGTAAGACTAGGCAACTGGAAGCTAACTTTTCCATTTTAAATTTTTCTTTTGTTCGTTCATTAACTAACACGTCCTATCGTTTTAATTTGAGTATGGGAACATATCCAGATGACCTCCGGGTCATCGGCAAGTACCAACTGTCTCATATTTCGAAGCAAATTAAGAAGCTGCAAGCATTGCGTATGACTTTCCATCAATCTCAGTCGATATGTCTTGTTCCTTGTCTATGTCATAATATAATAATATTTGTATATAAATAACCATTTAAGGAAATACAACAGCTTCATTAAGCTGTAATTGTGCGATGAATGTGTTATGTGGTGTATGGCTATTGTTTTCATTAATAATATCATTTTTACAATTACTAACTCTATCTCAACCGGAATGGATTGTTAACGGATATAATATTCAAGTAAGAGATGGGTGTATGTGTGTGTTATGCTTTTATAATAATGTCATAGAAGGTCATTCGTAATTCTCTTTATCAAAGGATCTTTCACAGATGTTTAATGAATGCATAACATTGAAAATAAACAAATATAAAAGAAGAGAGAGGGAGTAAGAGAGAGAATAACGGTTAATTATTTAAATTTTTCGAAAAAGCTTCAATAATCTCATTTGCTTTTTCATATTTCAATAGCCCATTATTATCTTTCCTTTCATTTACACAACCAAATGAAACATTTTGCAAAACAAGTTTGAGAAAATAGAAAAAAATGGATAACTTCAACCACATTTTTTTCCTCTTTTTTCCAGGGATTGTTTGTGGTATGCAGCTCGTACGAATGTGTACTTCGACCCACGTCAGATCTTCTGCCTTTCTTCTGTAATTTGATTGGAACAATGCTTTTTGCACTATCATCATTAGCGCTGATTCCAATCTTACTTTGCTCACACAATGCTAAGCCTATCCAATTTCTGGCTAACATCCAAATAGTCGCAGGTATTGTGCATTTCCTTGTTCTCCCTCAATCATACTTGCACTTTCAGCTTTGCTCATGACAATCTGCCTCTTTACCATCACACAGAACATGTCAGACATAGATTGTACTATTTCGCAACTTCTTCGATCTTCATATTGCAGGTAAGAATAGGAGAAGGAAATATAATTTTTTTTTATGAAGTTGTTTTTCTGAAAAAAAAAAGATTTTTTAAATCATATGAACAGACATTAAAGAGGGCTCGTTAAGAATCAATTTATATCTGTCAAGCAATTGTCCTCTCTCTAATTCATTAGCATTCAATCCTAATCGTTTTCTTCACAGCAATTTCTAAGCTGTAATCCCTGTCTTTGACCAATTACACCAATTTTTTCCCAATTTAGAATCAGTGAAATTTGAATATTTCCAGAATTGGATGGGCGATGGCAGTGTCTGCCATCTGCTGCATGTTATCGATATGTTGCCCTGTATTCGGAAAACTTGTTGCTGACCAACGCAAGGAATATCGCTTACTACGATCTCGAGAACATTATATATGAAAATTATAAATTAAAAATGTATTCTAATAAACATATACTTCAAAGCATCAGTTCGAGGTGAGGAAGACACCAACGAATGCAACCGGGTCTATTCAAAATTGAAATGAAGGTTGCTACTTGACTAAGTACTATGCTAATCTCTTGATCGATGCAGATGGAGTGTACGACAGTGTCAGAGAACCAACCAACAAAGAAGCCTTGCAAGCTTCGGAGTCAAGAAAAAATTAATTCGGAGAAGTATTTGTGTTGTCGAAATTGGAGACAGAATTACAATTGCGAATTACTGTTATCAGTAAATGGAAGACTAGTACGTAATTTAAATCTTTTGACACGAAGTTTACGAACCTCAATATACTCAAAGAGATCACATTGAAGAATCACAAACTAACACGCTTGAATAGGTCTTCGAATTATGAAGTCATTATGAAAGGGGGTATGCCCGATCATAAAAGGTAAAATGATTTGTTCCAGCTCAAGACTTCCTCTTTCGAAATTTCAGTGTTGAGATTTCAAAATTTCGAATAGCTTTGTGCTCCGATGCTTAAACGGACGGTATCAAAATGAAGGGAAAGTCAAATTATGTGTCTGGAAAACTTTGGTTGACAGAGACTATCATGAAACGGATAGACTATAACTACAGGCAGTATAGACAGTAAGTTGCAGTGTATCTTCATCAGCTGAACTTTCCGTTTATGGTTATTAAATTAGTTGATAAATTTGATAAGAAAATTTTTGATTTGTCCTTGCAAACATTGAATTGCCATTATGACCATTCCATCTCTAAATCAATCATTTTAATTCTTGAATACTTCGTAAAAACATCATTTTACTAATTTTTTCAGAAATGAAATTTCTCATTCTGCTCACTCTAATTGCAGCTCCGGCTTGGGGATTCCGGAGAGGTACGTAACAAGTTTTTTAAAGATCGTCAGAGGTTTTGCTTCCAGGTCACATCAGTGAGCTACCAGGCCATATTCGATCTTCTTTCGATACCCCTGATCATGGTCCTTTATTAGGTACCGATTTTGTTTTTGCTATCCCCAACAGGTTTGACTTATTTGACGTTCACTATTCATTCCATCGTATCACTTCAGTCATTTATCTTCCACTGATCAGAGTTATACAGAAACTTTGACTTTAACCATTACAAACCCGGGAACGACTGATGGCTCTATCACAGTGTATAGTAGTGATCCCGACTTCGTTAATGTCACCGTCGCGATTACTAAACAGTCATCTTCTACGGTGAGCTGAATATCTGATAGAATTAAAAATTGTTCTTTGAAGGTGAATATCACCCCTCCTACTTTGCAAACAAATTATATGGACCTGGGAAACGGAAAAACTGTTTATGATAGAAAGGTGAGAAGGGATATCCAGACAGTTTTATTTTTTCTTCCAGGCTTTGTTTGTAGCTTCCAACACCCCCGTCTCTTTGGTTGTTTCCAACTTCCGCACAGATGCTAAAGGTGGAGATACTTTTGCTGTTATTCCAGTATGATTTGTTCACATCTTTTCTGAAAGTCACTTCGAATATATTAGACTTGCAATTTGGCTCAACAGTATTTCATGATTGGAGACCAATCTATCCCTAACCAATTCAAAGCAAACTACACGAATATAATCACTCTCGTAGGAGCCAAGCAGAACGCCACTGTAAGACTATCGTGGATGAAACTTCTTGAAGAATTCGCATTTTAGGTAAAGTTGGGCGGTTTGTTAGCATCTTCAATAGAAATCGGACCTGGAGATACAGTTTATCTTAGCTTTATTTCTCATTAGAATGGACTTCATTTAGGTTACAATTGCTACCAACCTCTATGTGAACTCAGTTATCATCAACAGTACCGCTCCAATTGCTGTTTTCTCTGCTAATGTTTGTGGATACAGCCATGTTAATCCTCAGGCTTGTAGTTATGAAGCAGCTATGCTTTTCCCAACTAGATCTTGGGGGGCATTTGTGCCTTTCTACAAACTTTTGCCTGAAGATACTGGAGAGGTCATTGTCCGGTTCCAGGTTTGGTATCGCTTTAAACATTTCAACTAATTCTTCAATCAGTATGATAAAACATACCTCTTAATCGATAATGAGGTTTATCACACAAAGCCTTTCTATAGTGATGAGTACGTTGCTCTCAATATTACGAGTGGTGTATACTTACAAGGCAGTAGCCCTATCGATGTCACTGCTGTAAGATGTGTTCCTTGTATTTTTTATTCAACAAACTTTTTCAGATTGGAAATATCGCCAATAGTGGTTTGGGAGCTCCTTTCTTCTTGCACGTCCCGTCTTCCAACAATTTCATCACAAGGGATTTAACTTTCGCGTTTGCTTAGTTTTTTAATAATTTTACCGAAACTGAAATACTTTAGCACTGGATTGGATAAGAGCCCTATGACCACTCATGTAGTTCGAATCACCACCGACATTAACTATATCGGATCTTTTAGTGTCGATGGATATGCCCCTAATCCTTTACTTTATAGAAGGTAGGCAGTCTAAGAAAAATGTTAACCGCTTCGATGTTTATAGAATGGGATTCAGTGATTACTATTTTGTCGACGTCAAAGTAACTGCTGGACAACACACTATCAGTAATCCCAAACTTCAACCCTACAGGTTTTACCTTAATAACTATTCTTGAAAATTCTTCTTAAGTGCTGTCGTTTATGGATATGGTCCTGACCAATCTTATGCTTTCGCTCCTGGAGTTTACTTGCTTCGTAAGTGATTCTATCTGACAGTGACTATGTTATGAATTTCCATTTCCAGCTGATGGCTCGTGTTGATATATTGAGGAAACGAATCTGAAGAATTAAACGAGTAATATTAATGAAATGTTGCTGATACTGGAGTTGATTAACTTATGTCTTAGATGATAATTTGAATGATAAATTAAATTAAAAAATATAAATCTTGTAATCACTATTTCACCGGGAACAAACCAATGGAAATAGGTTCACTAGAAATTAGCATAATGCACCCACGCAAAGTTCACGTGGAGTTTTATTATTCAAACTCGAAACTGGAGGTGAAGCGGTCGAAAATAGTAGATTCGCCATTATATCAATTCTCTGCAAAATAAAGTGATTATGCATGTTGCCAACCCTCATGGATGCCAGACTTGTGAGAAGATCAAAAGTTAATGCGAGTAATCAAATCGAAGTGACGCTCGTGTTTTAGATGTTTCCAGTTCGAGTAGCTTGAGTATAAGTCGGACTCCAACAAGGAATGATGAATTTAAAAGAAGGAGGAAGTCAGAATTTTGAAACTTATTGCTATTAGTGTTTTTTTTCAGTCAAAGAAGGGAACACGCAAGGGCTGCAGCTTACGCAGAGGAAAGACGACGAATAGCGTAAAAGCTCAGTTTTACGGCTTCGCACACATCAGTATTTCAGTCAAATCTTGTTACAAGCCGAGAATCGTCAGAAAAAATTGGACTCTCTATATTTATGGGCAGCAATTATACAATCACTAACCGTTCTATTTGTTGTCTCAAGTGCAATTCTTTCTTTCGTATACTCCAAATCCAATATTAAGTTCTTTGTTGCGCAGTTATCTATTGAGGTAGAACCATTCCGCTGTCTCTCTTAGTAATTCGTAATTAGGTTATTCTTTTGATAGCGGTGTCAATTGCAATAACATCAACACGATACGGTTAGTGAGATTATGCTCATTTGTTTCGATTTTTATATTTTCGCTCAGCATGTAGAGTTCTCCACTTGATCGTTTATATCGTAACTATACTATATGACGTTGGAAATATTAGTACAGTTCTGGAAAAGAATGATAAGAACTTGCTTTGTAGAACTGGGTATACTTGTAGTTTTGAAAATGTTTGTTGTGAGTTCGTTCTTTTACAGTCATTATTGTTTTTTGCCCACTATATCTCTTGATTCAACTACCCTCCATGCTTCCGAATTTCTTTTGATATTTCATGTCATCAACTTTTTCAGTGCAGCAGTAAGTTCCAGACTAGTCTCACAAACTATCAATAATTCAGGTGTGCTGTGCCTACTTTGAAGGCAGCATGGATCATCTGAAATCGACAGGAGATGGACAGCAAATTATCCGAAATGTACGAACATAAACATACTTTGAGAGAGATTTTTTTAGTACGTGGACTCGTTAAATGCAAATCGAGCTCTGAGAAATGATTCGACTAAGAGCCAACCACCCAATAAAAAGAACAAGATACCATTTTCATCGTTCCATGAGCAGTATGATTTAAACGCAAACTAACTTCACATATATATTCCATCACAGCGCTCCTACTACTAAACCAACTCAATCCCCATTAAGAGCAAACAATAAAGTTGCTGTAAGAATATGCCCTGGTTTTCTTCCACTAGTAATTTATATTTGTAGGCTTATCTCAACTCGCTTCCTTCATCAGAATCAGTACAGGCAAATAATTTTGTTTTTACAAAAGACATTTTAACTTGCAGAACAATAATGTACCTACGAGTACACGCAATATTGTTATAATGGTACAAAAAGAGAAACTCACAAATATGAAAAATAATTAAATTACAGACACCAGTGATTGATGATACGTGGAGTAAAATTTTAAAAAGGGAAAGCCAAGGGATCACTCCAATTTGAACCTTTTCTATAATTTTGGTTGCTTTTGTCTCTTTTTAATGTCATATATTAGTAAGCTTAACGTTATTGCAGTCTTATTTTCAAAAGTAAATGGATTTATGTGATTCTATAAAAGTAAATCAAACTTCAGCCTATTTAACAGCATTAGCATGGCTCCTGCAGAGCGTATTAAAAACATGCGCTCCAAACCAAATCTTTCTCGCTCCAATGCGAATCGAATGCTTGTCTGCGCCCTAAGGATGCTTGCTCTCTATCTTCAAATTCTTTGTATTCAGAATTTAATTTCGAAGAGCTTTAAGCTTTTAGGATTTGTTTTTGAATTTCAAATTGGGTTTCCTCTCAGATTTTATTTACTTTTTTTCGCCATAGACGCTTCTTCATTTTTTGTTCTTCCTCAAATACTATGAACTCTAACTGATATGTACAGGACCATGCTTAGGGCGGCTGTGTCCTCCTTAATATCGCCCAGTTGTGAATCAAGTCAGAAACTCTTGCTATTCTCAACTCCGTGTGCTACACAAACTCGAGGTTAGCTTAAGTTTTTACTATTTCGTTTTTCCAATCATTAGCTGTAAATATCAAGTTAACCTTTAACTATTACGAATGACATATGCTTACAATGATTATTAACTATAGGAAGAAGGCGAACTTTAACACCTCCGCCATGGACTCCCCCCGTTTTTGAGAAAGGACACACAGATTTGATAGATGATGCTAACAAGTAAGTTATATTTCAACTCATGTATTTTATTTTTCTTGAAACTAAGAGCTCTGCTTAAAAAAGTGTCTGAGTTGGAACTTGATCAGAATGTGAAAACTTCTCAACTGAAGGCTGCAGAATGTTCTGCTGAACTGTCTGAAATACCTTCTGATACTAGGCGTGTTGGTAGGAAATTCTAAAATACCTTATAATGAAAGATAACTCATAGGTTTGCTGGTAAGGAAAATTGGAATGATGCCTCAGTGGACAAACACTGGAGACAGAGTTCTTTGCACACTCTTAGAATTAGCAGATGTCAGTTGAACTATCTTTTTAATTAACTGAAAGTTTTATTTTGTTTAGAACCATATTGTCAACACAGTTTCTCCTGATACTTGGTATAGGACTAGCTTGATTGGTAAACGAAAGGCTTTCAATCGAGAAGGCCCTTTATGGAAGGTAACTTTAGTTTTAGTTTTGTTTTGATCAGTGTTGAATTTTCTAAGGTAACAGTCGGTGCTGTTGATAGCCCCAATGGTCATTTCACAAATGCTTACAGGCAGCAATTCATAAGAGCAGGCGTGCCCGTGAAAGAGCATTTAGGAGCGTTCTTGGTAACTTTTTATTTGAGAAATAGGATAGTATATGTTTATCGTGTAGGTGTCGAACGATGCTGTTCCTCCAGTTGGTACTCCTCTCGATATTCGTCATTTCACTGTTGGGCAATTCGTCACAGCTACAGGAAAGTCTATCGACTGGGGATTCCAGGGAGGAATGCATAGATGGGGAATGCGTGGACAACCTAAGAGAAGGTCAGTTAAACCTTTCTTGATTTTTGAATCACGTCGTTGAAGAACAACTAAATCACATCGGCGAATCGGTTCTGTTGGTAGTGTGGGAGATGCTCGTATTTGGCCCGGAAAAAGAATGCCTGGTCATATGGGTTATGAATGGGTTACCGTTAGTGGGTTGAAGGTATATTTCTCAGATATTAGCGTTTTTGATTATCCCAAATATATACAGATAATCAGAATGAATTTCGAGAAACAAGTTTTATATGTGAAAGGCAGTGTGCCAGGTGAAGTTGGCGAGATTTTGCAATTAAAAGATTGTTTGCAATCCCAGAAAAAGCTGAAGGTTTGTTAATACTATTTCGCAACTATTCAATTATTGTATATAGCACGGACCTATCCCCACTTGGACTCCAAGTTTGAGTGCAATACCTGAAGAAACAGAGGAACAAGTTGTGGAAAACACTGAAGCTTTCGTTCCGGAATTATTCAGATTCACTTCCCCCTCAATTGTATTCACAGATGCTGATGCTAAGAAGAGTGTTGGAAGAGATAAGACCAAAGCGAAGATTGCAAAGGTCAAAAAATAAACGGGTGCTAGATCTATTAGCTAGTATATTAATAGAAATAATTTAGTTTTGTTTATATTTCTTGTTATTTACTCTGTTGTTTCTGTTAAACATGCCTCATTCATCTGATTTTTGATCCATAACTGGTCTTCAACCCAGACATTATCTTGCTTTGTATGTTAACGAATGTCTCATTCTATTTTTAGTTTGCATGGGAAGCGAAGATGAACAGGCACAAACTATGAAAGTGAAAGATCAAGAAGAACTGTTCATCAGGAAACCTACATTGAAGCCTGTATCAAACAATTCGAAAGTAGCACTAGGAGGTATGTTTGTGTATTCACATGCAAAGGTCATATTTGAAAATTAAGTGCCTGCTTCACGGCTTCCACACCATGTTTTGGTTAAAATCTTCCAGTATTTAAATTTGAAAGATATCAAAAAGTGCATGCTTGTTTGTAAACATTGGAACAATGTTCTCGCTGTGGAGGTATTTGAATCATACATGAAACAAGCATGACAATTCAATTTTTTCCTAGGACAGCCCTGTTTGGGCATATTTTTCTCAAAAACTACTTCCTGAATGTGCTTTAACTGATCCATTCCTTCTGTCTGAAGTAGGATCATACAAGAAAAAGCTCAGAGCTTATTTCCATGCATGGAATGCTAATGATGTTTCTAAGTAACAATAATTTTCTTTCTCATATTCTATTTAATGTTAAGACATAATTATGTAAGAACTAACGGGTTCACTGTTCACCGTCAACCAGTAGCTCAAAGCACTGACGGTGTCCGTGGAAAGATAGGTATTTCTCAAGGTATTCATGCCTTTAATTTGGTCTGGGAAGGACCTCTTGGGACTGTGGCAGTAATCGGTATAGCTACAAGGTATTTCGTACTTTGCCAATCGTTCTTATGTTTTGTTCAGGCATGCTGCTCTGCATTGTCCAGGCTATGTTCCTCTACTTGGTAGTGATGAACAGAGTTGGGGATGGAATCTGGTTGACAACGCTCTTTTGCATAACGGCGAACAACTAGGTATATATCCAAGAGTTAATAACCCACCTAAATATCAAGTAAGTTAGTATTCAATATACTGATCTAACCTGTGATAGGTCGGAGAGAAAATCAGAATGATTGTCGATTGTGATAAACACCTGATCTATTTTGAACGGAATTCGGACTTCCTTGGAATTGCGTTCGAAGATCTTCCTCCTGTGAAACTCTTTCCGGCAATATGTGCCGTATATGGCAACACAGAAGTTTCCATGATTTATGAAGGACAACCAGTATTAGGTTAAATAATCCCTGAAAACGCTTGCTACTGTTGCATTCCGCTGTGCTTATGATCTGATTTGTATATAATGTATCATACCTTACTTAATTTATTGCTTTTTGAAGGCATAATAACTATTTTCTATAATTGTTTCTCTCGACAACCAATCGTCTTAATCGAAAGGATATCTATAGTGTTTCATATATATGATTCTTTAATTCTGTTTCATAGATGTATGAAGAAGACGATGAGGATATTCTGGAAAACCAGGAAATTTCCAACGAACAATGGCAGGTAGGATTAATCGATTTTGAAGAAAAATCTAATCCACTCTTTAGGAAGCCTGTTGGGTCGTCATCAGTGCCTACTTCGACGAAAAGGGTTTAGTTCGCCAACAGTTAGATTCTTTCGATGAATTTATTCAAATGAACGTACAGAGAATCGTTGAAGATTCACCATCAGTCGAACTACAATCAGAAGCACAACATTATTCAGGTTTGGTAATGCTGGTAATCATGTATAAACAGTGGTATTGTAGGCGATTTGGAGAATCCAACTAAATTCGCCCTAAAATTCGACCAAATTTATCTTTCAAAACCAACTCACTGGGAAAAAGATGGTGCTCCTACTCCTATGATGCCTAATGACGTTAGAATCCCTTTCGAAATCATTAAAACGTTGAACTGTTTCAGGCACGCTTGAGAAATTTGACTTATTCATCTCCACTCTATGTTGATATTACAAAACAAGTAACCAGAGATGGAAACACTGTTGAAAGAAGATACGAAAAAGTTTTCGTAGGAAAAATTCCTATCATGCTTAGGTATCTCTCACATCAACCTTCGAGCTAAGCTTTCTTATAATTAAGGTCGTCTTATTGTATGTTGTCTAATATGAGTGATCGTGATTTAACTGAATTGAACGAATGCCCACTCGATCCTGGAGGCTACTTTGTTATTAACGGATCTGAAAAAGTAAACCATGGCTAGATAGTTATCACTAATAACAAATGTTTCAGGTACTGATCGCCCAAGAAAAAATGGCTACTAATACTGTCTATGTGTTCTCCATGAAGGACGGCAAATATGCGTTCAAAACTGAATGTCGTTCCTGCCTTGAAAATTCCAGGTATGATACTATGATTGTGTCTTAAATGCTTTGTTTTTCTAGTCGTCCAACTTCTACAATGTGGGTTAACATGCTTGCTCGTGGTGGTGGAGGAGCTAAAAGGTCGGCAATGGGACAGCGAATTATTGCTATTCTCCCTTACATCAAACAGGTAATGAGTATATAACATGTTCCACAATGACATCCGTTATGTAGGAAATACCTGTGATGATCGTTTTCCGTGCTCTTGGTTTCGTATCAGATCGTGATATCCTTGAACATATCATTTATGATTTCGACGATCCTGAAATAATGGAAATGGTTAAACCCTCATTAGATGAAGCTTTCGTTATTCAGGTATATATTATATTAAGAGTTTTGAAGCTTTTCAATCAATTATAGGAGCAAAACGTTGCTTTGAACTTCATTGGAGCTCGTGGAGCTAAGCCTGGAGTTACTAAAGATCAAAGAATTAAGTATGCCAAAGAAATTCTTCAAAAAGAATTGCTTCCTCATGTGGGCGTAAACGACTTTTGTGAAACTAAAAAAGCGGTATGATATGCTTTGCTTTGCTCATTCATCATTGCTGTTGAAGTATTTCATCGGATACATGGTTCATCGTCTGCTATTAGCGGCTCTTGGAAGACGAGAACTTGATGATCGTGATCACATCGGTAACAAAAGATTAGATCTGGCTGGTCCATTGCTGGCTTCGCTCTTCCGAGCTCTCTTCCGTAATCTTCTGAAAGAAGTGAGTGTTTCAAACCCTTACAACATCATAATATCTCTCTCCAGATGCGTTTGACTGCTCAAAAATACATCAACAAGAATGATGACTTCACTCTTGATGTCTGCGTTAAAACGTCCACCATTACTCGTGGATTAGCGTACTCCCTAGCTACGGGTAATTGGGGAGATCAGAAAAAGGCTCATCAATCGAGAGCTGGTGTTTCTCAGGTACAAGAAGGTTTTTGACATTCATTTGAAGAATAAATTCAGGTACTCAATCGTTTGACATATACTGCTACTCTTTCCCATCTTCGACGTGCTAACTCGCCTATTGGTAGAGAAGGAAAGTTGGCTAAGCCTCGTCAGCTACATAACACTCAATGGGGAATGGTTAGTTGCATTATTCCTTTCCTTTTCAACCTTTACCTCTCCAGGTTTGCCCTGCTGAAACTCCTGAAGGTCAAGCTGTAGGATTAGTAAAGAATTTGGCCTTAATGGCTTATATTTCTGTCGGATCAATGCCTGAGCCAATTCTTGAATTCTTAGAAGAATGGTCTATGGAAAATTTAGAAGGTATTATTTTTGTATTCGAAGTTCTATTGAAAATATCCACCCTGCAGAGGTTGCACCATGTGCCATTGCTGATGCTACTAAAATCTTCGTTAATGGAGCTTGGGTTGGAGTCCATAGAGATCCTGAAAATTTGATGGCTACATTAAAGAAGTTGAGAAGACAAATTGATATCATCGTTTCTGAGGTTTGGTTGATAAGTAGATATGTTGCTCAACTTTTGTGCTCTAGGTATCTGTCGTCCGAGATATTCGTGATCGTGAAATCAGAATCTACACTGACGCTGGGCGAGTTTGTCGTCCTTTGTTAATTGTTGAGAATCAGAAACTTGCTTTGAAGAAGCATCACATCGACAAGCTTAAGGTACTGTGTAATGTAGATACTTAATCGTTACTTTATGATTTCAGGAACGAGAATCTGGAAGTAACTTCGGTTGGTCTGATCTCGTCGGTAGTGGAGTTGTAGAATTGATTGATGCTATGGAAGAAGGTTTTCTTGTGAAGTCGTTTCTCTTTTTAATCTTCTCCTTTGCTTTAGAAACCGTCATGTTGGCTATGATGCCGGAAGATCTCCGCATTGGTGGCTACTGCGATACATACACTCATTGTGAAATTCATCCTGCTATGATTTTGGGAGTGTGTGCCTCTATCATTCCATTCCCTGATCACAATCAGAGTCCGCGTAATACTTATCAAGTAAATCAGTTATTGTTTATATCATCTCAACTCCCTCATTCCAGAGTGCTATGGGTAAACAAGCTATGGGAGTATATACTACGAACTTCCACGTTAGAATGGATACCTTGGCTCATGTGCTATACTATCCTCAAAAGCCTCTTGTTACCACGCGTTCTATGGAGTATCTACGTTTCAATGAACTTCCTGCTGGTATCAACGCTATTGTCGCCATCTTGTCATATTCTGGATATAATCAAGAAGATTCTGTTATTATGAACAACTCAGCCATTGATCGTGGATTGTTTAGATCAGTATGTACCATCTCAGAAACACATCTGTTCATTCAATCGTTTCAGGTTTTCTATCGGTCTTATCGTGACCAAGAAGCTAATATCGATGGAACCAATGAGGAACTTATTGAGAAACCAACAAGAGATAAATGTTCCGGTATGAGACATTCTATTTACGATAAGGTGAGTTACTGAGTTCAAAGAAATATAACTTCTTGTTAGCTCGATGATGATGGAATCATTTCTCCTGGAATGCGTGTCTCTGGAGATGACGTCATTATCGGAAAAACGATTGCCTTACCCGAAGTGGAAGATGATCTCGATGCTAATAGTCGTAAATACACTAAGCGAGACGCATCGACTTTCTTAAGAAGTTCTGAGACTGGTATTGTTGATCAAGTAAGTCATCCATCAGGAACCAGCTCTACTGAACTATCTTAGGTCATGCTCTCCCTCAATGCCGATGGTAATAAATTCGTAAAAATCAGAGTCAGATCTGTTCGCTTACCACAAATTGGTGATAAGTTTGCTTCTCGTCACGGACAGAAGGGTACTATGGGTATTATGTATAGACAAGTATGTGCATATCTATCTATCGAATCATCTCAAATTCTGTTTTCAGGAGGATATGCCATTCACTTGCGAAGGTCTCACTCCAGATATTATTATTAATCCTCACGCCGTTCCATCTCGTATGACAATTGGTCACTTGATCGAATGTTTACAAGGAAAAGTGAGTCGATATTCAAGCAACTGTTTTTTATTCATAATATTTCAGCTATCGGCAAACAAAGGAGAAATCGGTGATGCCACTCCTTTCAATGACACCGTCAACGTACAGAAAATCAGTTATTTGCTTCAAGAATACGGTTATCATCTTCGAGGAAATGAAGTCATGTATAACGGTCACACTGGAACTAAGTTAACCACACAGGTGTCTTGAACCAACAAGCCGGAAATTAACATACGATTTAAGATTTTCTTTGGACCAACATATTACCAACGTCTTAAGCATATGGTCGACGACAAAATTCACTCTAGATCTAGAGGTCCAGTTCAAATGATGAATCGCCAGCCTATGGAAGGTCGTGCAAGGTATGGTATTTTAGCGAAGCTATTGTTGATGGCTTGCTTACAGAGATGGAGGTTTACGTTTCGGAGAAATGGAACGTGATTGCCAAATTTCTCATGGTGCTGCTCAATTCTTGAGAGAACGATTATTCGAGGTGATTATTCGCTTGCCATCTTCGTATAGCTTAGTATTTACAGGTCTCCGATCCATATCACGTGTATGTTTGCAACAATTGTGGTCTAATTGTTGTTGCCAACTTGAGAACCAACAGTTTCGAATGCAAGGCGTGCCGAAATAAGACCCAAGTATCAGCAGTTCGCATTCCTTACGCTTGCAAGTTACTCTTCCAAGAACTCATGTCTATGTCTATTGCTCCTCGATTAATGGTTAGCTAATTTCCGGTTCTGTTTTATGTCGAAATTTGTTGTTGTTATGTTAATTGTTTCCTGATCTTCATTACCATGTTAGAGTAATTCTCGGTTGATCTTCAATGTAATTTATAGTTTCGTAAACTGCATATTCCAACAAATTCAATCATTCATTCGTTTTCTTATATCAGTGGTTACGAACCGCTTCATACCTATCCAGTTTCTGTTGTTTCTGTTTTTTAATCTGTATTTTAGCCTTTAAAATAGCGGAGATTAGTGCGATGGATGCTCGAGCTTCTCCTGCCACCCAAGCTCAACAAGCAGCTCAACCATCATCTGCTAATCAGGAAGTTAATAGGTTTTGAAGCAATCAAATGGCGCTGTTTAATCACTTTTATGTTTAAGGGATGAAATTGTTCAATGGATAGTTGACCTAAGGGATCCTGTAAAAAGAGAACAAGCTCTTCTAGAGTTAAGTAAAAAGAGAGACAGTGTACCAGAACTGCCTGTCTGGTTATGGCACTCTTTCGGAACTATGGCTGCTCTCTTACAGGAAGTAAGGAAACCTTTTTTATAATTTCTTTTATTCCATTTTTCTCTTAGATCATTGCAATTTACCCATCTATTATGCCTGCCAATTTAACTGCTGCTCAATCAAATCGTGTTTGTAATGCCCTTGCTCTTATGCAATGTGTTGCTAGTCATAAAGAAACCCGTGGACCTTTTCTTAAAGGTATACCTACATTGTCGTCTGGTACTCAACTCATATCTTTCCAGCTCATATACCTCTTTACCTCTATCCTTTCCTCCACACTACGAAAACTTCTCGCTCATTTGAATACTTGCGCCTTACTTCTCTTGGTGTCATCGGTGCCTTAGTGAAAACTGATGAAAAAGAGGTAAGAACAACGAACCTAGATTATTCCAACCATGACGTTTCAGGTCATCACTTTTCTTCTGTCTACTGAAATTATTCCTCTCTGCCTTCGCATCATGGAACAAGGAACTGAATTGTCTAAAACTGTGGCTACTTTCATTTTGCAAAAAATTTTACTTGATGATACGGGACTTAATTACATCTGCCAAACTTACGAGAGATTCAGTCATGTTGCCATGATTTTGGTAATTATTGCAGTTCCACCCCTGTTTCGAACTTTACTTTCTAGGGTAAAATGGTGCTAAAACTGGCTCGTGAGCCTTCTATACGTCTTTTGAAACATGTTATACGTTGCTACAGTAGAATGAGTGATAACCCAAGGTAAGAATGTCGTACCAGATCTCAGAATCAGAATCCTCTTGCAGAGCTCAACAAGCCTTACGACAGTGCCTTCCTGACCAATTGAAAGACGGCACATTCAAAGAGTTTTTCGATCAGGACAAATCGACAGCCAATTGGCTTCGCATCTTAATGGAGAACTTAGGTAAGAATGAATAAGATTGGTTTTGAGAGAGAAAAAGTAATTTCAGGGATAGAATTGCCTGCTCATATGGTTCAAGCTGAGGCCGCTTTGTCAGTATGCAGATGAGGTGCTTGCAATAACCTAATTTGGTTCTACAACTCGTCTAGTGTTCATTGATCTATGCATCATGTATTTCAATTAATTACCATGGGTCTTGAATCATAGTGGTATATCTAAAATTCTTTTTTTCATGGGTATCTTTTGCACTCATTTAAACGTCCCGCTGATCAAAACTGTACAATTTTGGTAGTTTTTTGTATTATGTATCCAATGTAATGTTACTTTTTTCTGTGTTCATAATCTTTCTCTAATTTTTATGCTATATATTGATATTGTAAAGCCTATAGAGAGAAAGTATATATCTTTTTTAACGCCAAACCTACTTATGTTTATTCAGATGTGGTTTATTTCCACTCAATCAATACTTACTAACTCTTTACCTTGTATGTCTAAGTTCTATTTATAGCATGACTTACCTTCCTTGTAAATTTCGACCCACTGATCTTTTGTGTAACGAAGATCTGAACGAAACTGAGATGCTGCTGAGGGAGAAAGTAGCTGGTGTTTGGAAGTTTGCAGCCAAGGTAATTTACACCTTTTTCGATATTATATAACTTGCAGTGCAGAGAAAAAGATAATCATGAGAAGCTATCGATTGTCGATGTTGGCATGGAAGAAGCAAAGCTTATAAATGGTCGGCATAAAAGGAATGGTCAAGTATTGACATTCTATTTTCAGCCCTTGGAATGTACTCAGCTGATGATTTGTACTCGTTTGTGAACAAATTGAGATCCGCCGTAGCCATTGTAAATGCCGAAGAGCGTAAGTTTGCCCTTTCCCAGCTCTACTTTACTCTTCATTGCAGAGTTAGAACTTCATAGAGCTAAAGTTCTTAACATATTTGATGTTTAGCAAAAACCTATTATTTACTCTATTCAATATTCTCCTAGGATCTCTAAGCATTCCTTTGATATTTTGTGTTCGCAACTGTTCTCGTCTTTGTTTACCTTTTGTTTTGAAAACTATCAGTAAATCATCGCTACTAATTTCAGTAATGAAATGGTTTTCATTATGTCTTTTGATACATGTGGTGGTTGGAAATGACGGTAATGGTGGGTGGGTAACTAGAGAAAATGATATAGTAGCCGAGGAGGGACCATGTAATATTGAACGCCATGATGCTTCTGAGTTGACTAACGAGGAATTCTTGAAAAGGTTTGTTGTCATTCATCGTGATTTCTCATTCTATCTCTTTTGCAGATATGCTTTCAGTGAGCCAGTAGTTATCTACAACATTGATAATGATAACTTCCGTAAGCTGACTGAGAGGAGAAGAATGATTCTGGATTGGTCTGAATCAGATGTAGTTCTGAACTCAGCTAATACGTATAGTTATACCAGGGTAAATCATTTTTCCATTTATGAAGTATTTTCATTTTCCTTGCAGGTCCCTTCCACCTTCGGAGATTATGTTGAAAATTTGTTGAAGCCGCAAAACTTAGAGACGCTTGGGAATGAAACTCTATACTTGTTCGGGGATATTGACCAAAAGCATTGGGCGCCTTTGCTCGAGAGCTATAATCAACCAAAATGGTCTCTGCCTGGTCATACGGCCGCTCTAAGTTTTGGAATAGCTGGGGCGGGAACAGGAGTGCCTTTTCATTTCCATGGACCAGGGTTCGCTGAGATCGTTCACGGGAGCAAGAGATGGTTTTTATATCCATTCGAGGACCAGCCCGAGTTCAATCCTGATCATACAACTCTGGAATGGTATTTGAAAGAGTACCCAAAACTTCCTCGAGAAAAAAAACCATTGGAATGCCTAATGAAGCCTGGAGAAGTGATATACTTCCCTGATAAATGGTGGCATGCTACTCTCAATTCCGAGACTAGTGTGTTCATAAGTACTTTCCTGAGTCCTTAGTTGTAGTCTCAAAGTGTGATGCATTATCATGAAACAGTCATCGTGTATGGGTTTTAGTGTTGTTAATTATTATTGTTCACTTTATTTGTTGTGATTGGTAGGAATCTTATGAATTTTGAATTCATTTCCTTCTTCGTCTTTATGTGTTTCGAACACTCGTTACTTTTTCCGTGTTATCCTATCGTTTCATTCATTTTACCAATTAAGAAATGGCTTCGAGGAGGCGGGGAGTTGGAGTTAGTGCTGTACAACGTAAGCAGGATCATCAGGTAAACATATTTCTGTTAGAGATACTCAGTTTAAGTTCAGGCTATGTTTAATGCAAAAGGTGAGCAGTTAGCCTCAGAACAACTAAGCTTATTCTCTCAACACTTGGAGGACTTCACAGTGAGGTGGGTAATTCTAATTTCCACGTAAACCACGTATTTGTATGTTTGTTGAGATGCAGTGCGGTTGTGTATTTGATGCTTATTATTTCATTTGTAGACTGGAACAGTTCGCACATCGTCACAGAGATGAGATCAGAAAAAATTCTCAATTTCGTCGCCATTTTCAAGAGATGTGCGCCAGTGTAGGCGTCGATCCCTTGGCATGTGAGTTCTTGTGTATATGAGATTGATTGATGATTGTTTTAATTTAGCTGGAAAGGGATTCTGGGCAGAAAAACTAGGCGTTGGAGATTTTTATTATGAGCTCGCAGTGCAAATAGTTGAGGTAGCAATAACTCGGTTTTCCTTAAATACGACAGTATTACAGGTGTGCTTGGCGACCAATCATATAAATGGTGGAATTATGACTGTAGAAGAACTTAGAAATAGATTAATGCGAAGCAGAGCTAAAACTCGAAGAGAAACCATAACCACGTATGATACATGCCTCATTGCGGATCTTATAATGACTATTTTAGTGATGATATATTACGTGCCGTCGACAAGCTCAAAGTGTTAGGAGGTGGCTTCGAACTAGTGCCTCTTGGTGGAGGCCGATTTTTGGTACAAAGCGTACCAGGAGAATTAAGCATGGATCATTCCCGAGTTTTACAATTAGCTGAAGACGCCGCTTACGTCACAAAAGAGCTCGTCATGGATAAATTGAGGTATAGTTATCAGTGAAGACAGAGATCTTAATTTTTGATATTGTAGATGGGACGATGTTCGGGCTACAACTGTTTTGGAGCATTTGGTCAAAGAAGGCTATGCTTGGGTAGACGAGCAATCCTCCGATACTCTACAGTATTGGGTTCCATCTCTTTTCCTTCAGCAATATTGTCATTCTTCAAGTACAAGTGTCTCAGATAGTCTTAAATAGGCATCAAATATTCCAGAAGAAAGTTAGATGAATGGATTTGCTTATAAATGATGATATTCTAGTCAAAGTATAGTTGTCTAGTCTACTTGTTCATCGCCAAAGAATGTATATAGTACAAACTCTTGCCATTTGACAACATAATGAAAATGATTAAATAAATATTCCTTCATTGATCTTTGATAACTTCTGTTAACGGTTATGACCTTGACTATCCGTTTTTTTGCGTGGAATCTATTCCTATTCCTTTTCTAGTTGAAGAATGTCCTCAAGGGCAAGACCAGAGTCTTCAGGACCTCCAGATTTGGTAAGCTTTATTAATGATGACATATCATATCCTCTCTGTAGTATTACAATGAAGAAGAAGCCAAAAAGTATGCTAGGAATTCTCATATTATTGGAATACAAGCCCAAATGTCTGAAAGAGCATTGGAGCTTTTAGCTGTTCCTGAGGGAAAAATAGGTCTTATGTTGGATATAGGTAATGGTTAGAGCTGGGGCTTCGTTATACTGTTTACTTCTTTCCGGCTGTGGAACTGGTATGAGCTCAGAAGTTTTCACTGAACAAGGACATGCTTGGATTGGAGTAGATGTCAGTTTGAATATGTTAAGTAAGAGAATTCAGGAGTATCTGAGGTATTTGTCGAAATTTTCAGAAATTGCTAAAGAAGATGAAAATGATAATGAAGATGGTAGTATGGGTGATTTTATATGGAAGGATATGGGTACAGGCATGCCTTTCCGTCCGGGAACTTTTGATGGAGCTATCAGGTTTTGATTTTTCTAGTTACAGCTATAACTTTTGTTTTCAAGCATTTCGGCTATCCAATGGCTTTGTCATGCAAACGCTGCAGATCAAAATCCTAGAAAACGTCTTCATCGCTTTTTCCAAAGTTTATATGCATGTCTGGTAATTCAAGATCCAAATATTTTCAAGTAATATTTTGTTTCAGGGAACAGGCACTAGAGCTGTTTTCCAATTTTATCCAGAAAATGAAAAGCAAACTGATTTGATCATGTCTCAAGCTACTAAAGCAGGTTTTCATGGAGGTTTGGTTGTTGATTTCCCAGAGTCCACAAGAGCAAGAAAGTTCGTTATCGTTGCCAACTCCTTGTGATACAGAGTTATTCCAGAGTTTATCTTGTTTTGATGACTGGAGGTGTTCAACAGCTTCCAAAAGCTTTAACGCAAGAAGAAGATGTCCCAAGGAGTGCTCAGGTCGATAATCTGGAACGCAGGTTCGAGTTTCATGTCGGATGCTTTCCTTGATTTTACTCTCAGAACTTTCGTGGTCAGTCACCGTGACAAAAATAAGAAACCTTTGAAGCATTCCAAAGCATGGATCCAACAGAAAAGAGACCGATTAGAGAAACAGGGAAAGTAAGTCTTATTCTTACCTACTTCGTTCAAGCCGTTTGTTCAGAACGCTCCGTCAAAACTCGAAATACTCTGGACGTAAGAGGAAGATAAGGTTCTAATTTTTGTTTTTGTTATTTTTTCAAGAGTTTCCATTTCTATGAAGATTGTTATTTTGTTATTGTTAATATTATGCTCATGAAATTTGCTATAGTTTCATATAAATCTTTGTTTCTGTGTTAGTTGAACCAATCGGAAATGCCCTTCAGCGGACCTAACCATTCGGGAGCTTTCGCGCCCATGTGACTATGCCCCGACTGAATATGCAAAAGGACGCCATTGGGAGTCGTCTGGTGGCGCGACGCGTCTGTTTGCGTCGCGAGAGTAGGCGCCACCGGTAAATGGCGCAGCGCCATCTGTTGAAGTATATTAAGCTGAACAAATTTCATATCTGAATTGTGTAAAGCTCTTCATGAATCTGTTTTCTCGTAGCCATCGTTGTCTCTTACGGGTTCCATGTGTAATATAACTATCCATAGGAAAGTTGTGATTCTAAAAGACCAGCGTACAGCAGTGCTTGTGTGGTCTAACTTCGAACTCGTGTATTCCGTAAATGGAAGCGAAGACGCCGAGAAGTACAAAGAATTATAATGGTAATTGCTTAGTAATGGAAATTCATGCTCAATCAATGTTTGCAGATCTTGAAGTATTCCTAGGTATGGTCGATTCATTAGAGCCTACACTTAAAAATCCTTTCGAGGAAGCAATCAAAGTTTGAGAAAGTAACAATAACCATAATTTGCGTATTTTTGTTTAAGGCTATGGCTTCTGGACATAATAATGAGAAAGAAAAGAAAAGAAGGCGTCCTCGTCGTGCGAACAGGATGAAAGTACGTGAAACACGTGGAAAAATTTATTTTTAATTCCATGCACTTTGGAGGCGGTTGTGAACTAATTGCTTTTTCCAGGTGTATGACAACGGGTACATATTCACCTATGATAAAGACTCGCAATGTGGTCAGAGAAGTTTTTGGCGTTGTGAAAGAAAAACAGAATGTCCTGCACGTGTACACACAAATCCCCTTACAAACCAAGTGAGATTTTTCGTTCATCTTGTTGAAGTGTAGTCCGTAACGCGCCTAGCTCAGCTCGAAATCGTTTCAGATCATTAAAAGAATTAATTCACACACTCATGAGCCATCTATTCTTGACGAATTACCACCGTGGTTGTTAGTAAGCGAAGATGCTTCTACTTCTACTTCCGATCCAACCGTAAATTCAGTTTCTCCTTTCATCAATCAATAAATTTTTATAGGTGCAAACGGGAGTGATCCTACCCCAATATTCCTCTTCTCTTGGAGTATCCTCCAGTATCTTTCTTGAAGAAAATACTTTGGAAGTTCAAGATAGTACTTCATCTGTATGTGCCTTTTCTTTCGCGTCCCTTCCATTCAATAATTTTTTTAGGAAACATGCACAGTAATGAAAGATGAAATAGGTGACACAATACTCTTCAGTCCGAATAACAAGAAGTTGAGAAGAGATCAATCACTTGAAATGAGTGAAAAAGTAATATTTAGTTATGAAATTCTTTTAAAGTTTGCGTTCTACAGACATATCTTGAGACTGAAGATCCTGAAGCTTTTTGGAACATTTTCAATATGACTAAGCGTATAATTAGAATGATAAGGAATGATCGCAGGTGTGTAATGTTTGAGGCTCATTGTTTACAGAATCATTTCAGCGATGGTTTCATGGCCAATCAGCATTTTCCTGTACTCGGCGATTCTATGTATAACATTCCCGTTTTATTTATCTTATTTTGTTTTTTAAAGTTTGTCTGCTTCCTGTTCTCCAACTTCATCTTCAAATGTTCTGACGGTTTACATCGCACCAGCTGATATGCATGAAGAAGATCCTGTGTATCAAATGATCAGTTTGTACGACAAAACTCAGGTTAGAAGAAGACCACAGCAGTTACGGTTAACGGTTATCCTGTTTAGCAAGAGTTACGATCGTTAGTTGAAAAACGCGGTCTAATTAAAAGCTCAGAAATAGACACAATTTGTATAAATGGTCCGAATGGTATCAATGTGGAATTAACCGATGAAGTGAGTGTTCTCTTCTTGAGGATGACATCTAATTTCGGTTTTGGGAAAGGCCAGAAGGTCATTCAAGTAACAACTGGTTTCCCCTAACTTACCAGTTCAATAAACATCAAAAAACTGATTCGAAACGAATAATTAAAATTCCTTATTTACAGATTATAAGAAGTTGGCCTCAGGATGCCATTTTTCAATTCTCAATATGCAAGCGAGTTTGTAAGATTAAAAGAATGATGGACTAACCAACATCTCGCGGAACGGACAATCTGAAGGAGTCCAGTACAGTGCATATGATGCTCTTATATTTTAAATTGGATAATAACTTCATTTTACACTTTGTTTGATCTCGTCTGAAGTACGGTAACTGAACGTATGGGATATTTGTTTTGATTGTTTCCAATGCAGCGCATCTAATAAACATAATAATTTTTTTAAAAATATTTCATTGTTGATGATTGTTGTTAATTGGCTGAGAAGTTTATCTCAAGAGTCCTCGTGCTAGAAAAGCTGATGATGCCTTTTTCAAGGAATAAGCTTTACGATATGATAATTTAAGTGGTGGAAGAGATCCCTGAATGACAAGTAGGAACTTGAAAACTACTAAGGCCTGATATGTGTATGGGATTGAAGCCTGTTTCTCGTGTCTTCACATTTGTGATTTTCAGGCAGTCAAGGCGATCACATTTTTGGAGGTTAAGGAGGTATAAGTTGAACGAGCAGATGTGTGAAGAACGTAAAGTTGGAAAGCTGGAAGATCTAGATGAAACGTATGACCTTCTATGGAATGGCATTATCGAGAAAACCAGCTCTTTCAGCATCCTTCCCACACTGTTTTTGTGACTGTTACAGCATGTAGCAAAAGGAAATAAACGTCATAGATTGAGCGAATTAGAGATGACTTTAATAAAGCTTGAAAAGAGACGAATGGCTTAGCGAAGTGAAGGCAATGGCGGTTGAACGATACAGGGCATGAATCGTTCAAGTTAGTTTCCCTTTCGTTTTTTTGGAAGCTATCAAATCAAAGCCATAAAAAGCGAACTTCCAAAAGTTTGCAATCATTTGTAATCTTGCCAGTTTATCTTCTCAACTGATCAAGAGTTTCCTACAACCTTCCCTTTCTCTCAATATGTATTTTTGGAAAGAAAACATGTTTCCATCATTTGTCCCTTCTTGTCATCTTCCTTTTTCTGATTTTGAGTTGAATTGTTCCAACTCTTGGGTATCTCCCGTTGAATTACTTAAACGAACAAGGACTGTCTTCTTCCACTTGTTATACACGGTAGTTCTGTTCCTGTACTTTAATCTCAAGGGTGACTTTTTCCATAAAAGGCACACACGCAACAGGTGTGTCCATGCTAACTCTCAGACGCAAAAATGTTTTTTTTCAGAGATTTATGACTGTAATAATCTTATTCATGTTGTACAGTTAGCTAAGTGTATCTTGTATCGCATCTGAAGATGTTTTAAGACGAGACTTGACATATGACTAGATTCACCTTGAAGGCCAAGTTGCTTCCATTTTCACCCATCCAGCATAAGCCAAATGCCGTTAATCATTTGATAGGTGCTTATATGCTGCTTGATGGCTTCTGCCCTTGTCACAATCTCGTGTTAGTCGTGTGACGGTCGGCATTCTGTTTCTCTTCTAGTTATAATTCGTATATTCTGAGGATGTAGTAGTTTTTTGTGTTTTCATTCATTCTGTTCTGACGTAAATGACCAATGTTTCAACCTGTTTTGTTGTCAGCTCAACTGATTCTACCCAGTAAAATGCTCTCTCTCTTTCTCACTTTCTCTCTCACTCTCTCACACTCTCTATGGTTATCTTATAACTTCTATTCTAACGTATTCCTCCCTTTCATCAGTTTATCCCTCATCCCTCATTCCATACAGTCTCTCTCTCGATTTCTCGTTACATCTCTACGCTTAAATGGCATCGTCAACTCTTATAGCTGTCAATCCTCAATCCGGCTAGTACGGCGGCTTAATACTAGCCAGTTAGACAGTCAGTTAGCCAGACAGTTCGAAGAATATAGTTCTTCTCTAACTATTTTCATACCTGTCCAGAGACACTTTTCTTTGAATCTCCCGTCAGTCGTCCATCTATATATTCCCTTTCTACTGCTTTCCCTTTGCGTTGCCAGTTAGAAGTGTTCAGAAGACACACGTTGGGTCGTAGTTTTCAGATTTTTGTGTTTATTGCAATCTTTTTTACGAAAAAAAAACAAGTTCTGTAATCCTGTACTAATTATCTTGTTGTGCTGCATCTGCTGCCTCTCTGCAGCCTCAAAATCTGCCTTCCGTGCGATATCTACTTACGTTATGCATCTTCTACCATCTTCTTACTTTTCGTTCAGACATCTATTCTGATTTCTGATGTCACAAACGCTTTCGTTCGTTTACTATAAAAGGAAAGAGACATCAAAACTCTTTTTGTCATCGGATAGATCTTTGTTTCATGTTTATCATCTGTCACTTGTTGACTCACAAAGTAGTTCTTCTGTTCTTCCTTTTCAATTAACGACGTCCAAACTCACTTTCTATCTCATCATAAAAATGTTTTTTTTATCCCTTCTTAGGAAACTGTTGGGAGCAGTATCATCAACTGCTGCCGACAGTGTTTTTTTGCGTCAACGTCTGTCAGATTTTCATTTTCTGGATTTCTCCTCATGCTAACATAGTTTGTTGTTAATGTGTTCTGATAACTTCTGAAACTTCAACAGATTAAAACAACGACGATGTTGTCGATGTCGCCATCCGACGATCGTCGTGATGCCAACCTGATATGGGCGGAGTCATGTACCAGGGCTTCTCAACATCCGTGGCTTCATCGTCGCCATCACAAGCGTCGTCCAAGTCGTCATTTATTTCGACTATCATTACATTTTTTGTAGCCAAAACTGTTTCAAATGGTTTTTTTGGACTTCTCTCTTATTCCAATTTGATTTATTTTACTTTTCCTCACTTTCACTAAGCTTTTTCTGCCGGTAGTGATCAAGTGTCACGTAAAATCTGATTCAGATCCTTCAGAAGAGGTGGAACATGCTTTTCGTCAACACTTCTAACCTTCCAAGTGAATCGTCCTAGCAATACAGTCGTTCTCATAGAAGGACTTTCACATCTCTATCTCCTTTCTTTCGTAGTTGTTTTGCCTCCTCTTTTTTTCAATACTAAATCGTAAGAAGAATATCTCCTCATGTTTCATACGCCATTCCCTCTTCTCTTTTTCTCTCTTCATATTACTGAGTCTCCACCTCTTCCCGCCATCTGAGACCGGTACCATTGAGTGAGACAGGAGGAGTTTAGAAATATCGAGGATTGAGGAACTCTATTAGAAGTGTAAGAACATGAGAAACAAGAGATATAGAGATATAGAAAGTAGGCGCAGCTTCTGAATCTGCCAAAGTCAAGTATTAGCTAGTCTTCTATTAGAAAATAAGTTATCATACTTCTCTCCACATTAGTTGACACACCTCATTTGTAAAGCATCTGAAGTGCTCAACGCCGCTGACAATGAGATGTGTGAATCTGTTTTTCGTGCAATTGTGTCTGAGATGACAATGACAATCGTTGTTGAATATTCTGAAAACATTTTTTTTTGCCTGCTATATACTTCAGTAAAACTAAATGCTTATGAATTTGAAGTGAAACTGTTTCATCATCACACTTCTGTCATCTGAATATGGAGAAGGACAACGTATCAGTTTTTTTGGTACCGCTTCTCCATATCATATATACACACAAAAAGAAGATGCTGAAGTAGTAGCTGATTCGATTATATTATTCCAGATCTGATATTAGTTAAAGCTAACAGCTAACAACGTTCTTTTGTATTTCTGTGATTGTCCTTCTGTTTTCTATGATCATCATCTTCATCATCACCCTTTATCGTCTTCTTAATCATTTACTTCATAATCGGCTTTTTATTGTATTTGAACTTTCTAATCAGAATATTTTTTGTTTCAGGCAGATGTTGTCGTCAACAGTTCTTCTAGCCTACGTGGTATGGCTATTTCCGACCATCTGTCTCACTTCTTTTACATTTGGAAGCCTCAAAAACCATTCATTACCACTTCCGGATGGAATGGAATCAATGACTTCTGATAAATATCCTCATTATACAATTATTGAGACAGTTAGTCGTACTAAAGTACATCGTCATCGTCGTGAAGTCATTGCTGGTCAAATCTATGATTGGCAATCTCATGAGATTCCATATCAAATCTGGGGAGGCGATTGTAAGTTAAAGCTTTTACTTTTTGAAACAAATTCTCTTCTTGTATTTCGTTTTGTTAAGACAAACGTGATTCAGTTTGATTCGAAAATGATTCATTACATAGTGATATCAATGACTTTTCACTAAAATCGAAAAAAACATTTGAGTTTTTATCTTCTTTTTCCGTGTTGCAACGATTGTGTTGCTACGGTTATGAGTTTCTGAATTCCTCCTTCCTGTACAGGTTGACTGGGTCCGAATTTGGATGAAAAAGACTGAGTTAATCAGCAACCTTTACTTCTTTTTCATTCATTCTGACAATCAGTGAAATTGGAAGAAGATGAAGAACACTAGAGGGAGAGAGAGAGAGAGAGAGAAGGAGAGAGGTTGATGGAGTATATCAGCTTCATCTCTTGCCATTAAACTTTTCGATTTTCCACTTTATTCGAAGGTTCATCCTTGATCTTATTTTCATATTTAAAAACCATCTACAGTCACATCCTTCTCATGAATAGATAATTCCATGAGAGAGTATGAAAGCATATCGAGATTCAACCGCTCTGCTCGTTTGTCCGAAATGAAAATGAAGCATCGTGTTCGACAATCTTTCACGTAACGTGTTCGATGACAACCAATTATGCAAATGTAATGTATAGCTATATATAGCTAATCAATGATTAGATATATGATATGTGTGAAAGTTGACAAATCATGTGGTTGTTCTGATGAAAATTTTTTTGTGGTTATAGCCATTTCCATGTGGAAAATAACCTGTTGAGATGGCTAAAGCCAATTTTCCATCTAATAACTGTAGGATTTGAGATGATTTTTGATTGAAAGGGAGACTTCTAATGCAAATATCATTAATGGAAATTACATAAATGCTTATTCAAGATTGCATGTAAAACAGTTTGTTTTTGCCAATTAACCAGCTTTTTTTTTTGCAATGAAATTGATGAAGAGATAAGGAAGTTGGTTGGAACTATTCATCTAACAATTGCCATTTATCATATCATTTCTCATCTCATCTTCTATCCAAATACGTACTTGCGATAATAATGATCATGTGTATGTATGTGTGATGTTGAAATCAATAGGAACACACATACACGCACTCACGCACTCACACAGATCTCTCTCTTAACCTATCACATATGCCCTTAAGCGAAATTAAGCTAATTGATTATTTTGAATCAGAAAAGAACCTGAATGGGATAGCTGTTCGATCACAGATTCGAGTATAGATGTGTTTGTATGAATGTGTTGTAGCAATTATCTATAATTATCAATCCGACTAAGGTTAAAGAGCGACTTCATGACCTCTCTCTGACTGTTCGTAATCGTTCTTCTATCACTCTTTCTCTCTTAGTTTCATTCTCTCTCTCTGCATTCGTCTCTCTATCTTTGTCGAATTCTCTTGTAACAGCTCAACTATCTGTGAACGTTGCGCAACTAGCAGTTTGAAAACTGGAAGTTTATAAAGAGAAATAAGCGAAAGTGGATAAGAAGTTAATATCTAGTGTATCTGTGTGTGTTTTATGAACACATTGCCTCAGGGCAAGAGAATACTTCATCACAGTTTCCTCTTATGTCTTCTCCTTCATCTGCAATTGAATATCCTCATCTATACAACGACAGAAAATGAAAGAGACCACAAAAAAAAGGATGAAAGTTTTTGATGAGGAAATTCAGAAGGACATAGCCCGATTCATAACGTCAAGGTAACTCCTTGAAATTGTTGAAGAAGCGATTAGCCATCTGCATAATGAAAGAAACGAAAGGACATGATGAGATTGAAGGGATATACATCTGTATATTTCAGATAATTTTCAAAATTTAATTCGTCGTGGTATTCGAATGTGGGAAGAAGCTACCTGTCTTCGATTCCGTGAAAATATGCAGGTAATAAAAAGAGAAAGTTTGCATAAACTTCTATTTATTTAAAACCTCTTTTGTTGCAAAGAGACATTCAATGGTCACGAGTATGAACAACAACAATCACTTTTTAAGCATCGCGATGGAATTCGATATGTACTGGAAAAGGGTGATAGCTGTTTCACAGAGTACATTGGCAGAAATGGTGGTCATCAGGATATTATCATTGGCAGTGAATGTGCTGAGGTACATTTCCATTCATTCATTTATATATATTGTAAACACTTGAACACCATTCAATTATATATATAATCAACACCAATAGCTAACTATATAGAATGGTTAATGTTTCATTTAACAACAATAGGATGTAAGCTATGAGAACAAGTTAGCCAACAGTTCTGTGAATTTGACTCTACAAGCGCTTTTCGGGCACAAAAACTTGTCCCTCTCAAAGGATAATCCGAAGAGACGCAAAGAGAGTATAGGCTTATTGATGAGGATGGATACTCGTTTTAGAAATTCAAATGCCTTTTCTATATCTATGGAAATACAATGTTGACAGAGAGTTTTTATTGTTTATTTTTTCATTCGAGGGAAGTAGTGGCAATATATATAAATAAAAAAATGATTCGATACGTGAAATGACGTGTAACAGCATTATCGAACATCATTTTACATTTTTACGATTAGATGAGCGGTTGTTAACAATTGAAAAGGGTGATAATAAGTTTATTAAGAGATATATTATAGGAGTATGTTGTTGCTCATGAAACAGGACATGCTTTGGGCTTCTGGCACACACATCAACGTCCAGACAGGTCTGCTACTGTAATTAGCACTTATATGTTTGAGTTTACAGAGATCGCCATATTTCCATTAACTGGAAGAACGTTATGGAAGAGGCTACAGCATCATTCATGCCATTCCGTAGTATGCTCCAAGCATTCGGAATTCGTCAGGTGACCTTTATTATCAATTTTGATTTAATGTTTTTCGATAGGTTTCCCCAAGACGAGTACCATATGACTATGGAAGTTTGATGCATTATCACGCTGTAGCTCATGCAGTCAAGGTATTTTTTGATCCAAAAATAGCCTCTTATCTCTACGCTCTCGTAGGTTTCTGATTTCACTATCGTGCCAAAGGAATTGAAATATGTAACAACGATGGGAACTGAGAAAATGGCTTTCCTTGATGCGAAAGTAATAAATGATATTTACTGTCCAAGTAACTAGATAATCCAATATGTTGGTCATTGAGTTTCGCTTTATAGATGCTTGTACTGGTCGTTCTAATCTTCGCTGCGTTGCTGGAGGCTATCCGGATCCAAATAACTGTGCGGTATGTAGATGCCCTGAAGGTTTAGGAGGAGCTGATTGCAGCCGTTTACAACCCAGCCGTAAGTTTCAGCTTCGCCATCTGATTAATTGTCTTTTTTGTGTTTTTTTCTCATTCGTCATGTATTTTAGCTTGTGGCGGAGAATTACATGCTACCGATAGCTGGCAAAGCTTGAACAGTCCAACTGGAAAAGACGTTCACTGTTACTGGCGTATCTCGGTATGTGATTCATGAAAATGCATTGCTGAATGATGTGTATAGGTTCCGGAAGGCTCTCGTGTTCGCTTCCGACTCTCGGATGGAGAATTCCCATGCTCATATGGATGTCAATCATATGTTGAGATCAAGCATAAGCTTGATGTTCGACTAACCGGCTTCCGAAGGTAATTGTAAAGATTAGAATCTCATTAAGTATTTGCTTTTTAGTTGTTGTTATCGTCCAAAAGAAGATACAATATCTGAAAGTAATCAGATCTTTGTAATTTATCATCCAAATGGACGAACTGCCCGCTTTTCTTTGAGATACAAACGTCAAGCTTAGGATATTAATTGGTTAAACTTAGCTATATGATGTAGATAGACGAACTTTTTGTTTCAACATACTCGTCGTTGTCTGTATAGGATGCAGCTTGATTTGCTCATCAAAAACCTTTCTGAACTTTGCCTAAATGATAGCTCACGAAGAATCTCCTTCTCCCCTACTGTCCTTTGAATCCAATAATCGTTGTGATGAATGGATTTAGTTAAAGCTAACTAGTCTTCTGTTATATTTGGCTATCAAATATATATATATATATATATCGCCTCAGGGTTAATTCTGAATGAAATGCTATAGTTTTTTTTTCCTAGAAAACGGGACTCAATTTGTTCACCACTATATCTGAATGAGGTTCTATGCACCATTTTGTCTTCAATAATAAGTCCTCCCCACATCGTCTAGCCTTGAATAACTTGATACGGGAATGTTTTGTATAGAATTGTTTTTTTTATCTGATCACAAATGAAAAATTTGAATTTAATCCTCTGTTGAAGTGTTCATTTGTCAAGGTACTATCTATCATGAATGAAGTAACATTTTTCTTTGAATAGCTTGCAAGTGTTTATCACATGCGTGTCTATTACGTGGGAGCTGTTGAATTTCCTGGAAAAGAGTAGAAGAACTCAAGAAAGAGACCCAAATGAAATAGTTGCCTAATTGAGCTTGATTACTGAAGTATTGATTCATAGGGTTCGTACGTCTATCGAAGTTGTGACTATCATATGTCGGCGACAGCTTAAAGTCCCCCAACAAACGAATAACCTTTCAAACGTTATCACTGAAAGGTCTTTTTATACGAAAGATTATTATATTTTATGAGTTTCTATAGAATTATAGTAATGTAGGTGGGAAGATGGCATGGAAAGGAAAAGTTCCAAGCCCCTCTGGGTGCGCACCATTCCCAACTATATAAGGAAGTTGGTGGCCGTTCTGATTCACTTGTTTACTCATTTCGATAAAGGATTCCAATTTCCTTTTTATTCTACTTTTCTACCTGTTCCGCAAAGACGGCAATGAATGTATTATTCATCTTCTTCACGGTAGCAGCGGTTGTAGAAGCCGAAATTGAGATGCTTCAAGTCCTTTTCCGGTAATAACTATTTCTATCGTTATAGCGATTGTTTATAGTTCGTTTTTAGCCACGGCGATAGAGCACCATCATTCTCTTATCCATATGATGTTTATAATGAAACATCATGGTCACGTGGATACAGTCAGTTAACTGAAAATGGCTACGAACAATCAATGGAATTAGGAAACTATCTTAATCAACGTTATAGCACATTTCTTAGGGGAAGAATTAATAAAAACACAGTAGGAGGTTATATGATGAGCGTCCATCACAAACGATTTCATTTTAGATTTATGCACGGTCAAGTGATAAGGATCGGTGTATTGAAACAGCCATGGGTGTTACACGAAGCCTTTTCCCGGATAATCTTGTTCCAGTACATACGTACTCGTCTTATAAAGACGATCTGGTACAACCTTATATATTGTATTCTTTTTTTAATTCTTAACTTTATAGCTTCTCAAACCAACAAGTTTGCGTTGTGATGTGGCTGATCAGCTGGTTCGCAATGATAAGAAAAAGCTTTATAAGCTTCAAAATCAAAAATTCTCAAAATTATTTTCGTTTTTAACGGCAAAAACAGGAATGACCGTTGATATGTCATCCATAAGTGATTTATACAACGTGATCTACCGAGAGGTATGGGGAAGTCTTTTCTTAGTCGCATGAGTATCAATTGCTTTTCAGCATTCAAACGGTTTGACGCAGCCCACGTGGGTGTTTGATAATTACAAATCAAACTTGACCATATTTGACATGATCGTCGAGTTGAAAAGACAAGTGAGTCTGTTGTTTCAACCACAATCTCTAATGTTTTTCCTCTGTGTAGGATCGCATGGAAACATTCAATAGTTTCTTGAAAAGTAAACTACGCACTGGTTATTTGCTTGGACAGTTGGTGAATGAAATGGAAGCTAGAGCTTCCGGTAAAATTGAACGCAAGATGTCACTGTATTCAACGGTACTACTGATTCTATAACGAGTATTAATGATTTGCCCTTACAGCATGACGCAACAATAACTTCTCTTATGTATTCTATGGGCATAGCCAATCATTTACTTGTACCATACACTTCAGCTTTAATCTTCGAACTTCATCGACTCGGAGACCAACGTTATGTGAAGGTATCGAATAGAGTTATACCTTCTTCAACAACAACCCATAATTTCAGATTTTATACCGTAATTCAACAAATGCTGAACCTTATGCCATGAAGTTGGCTGGTTGTTCAGATGTTATGTGTCCCTTGAAGCACTATCATGATATCTTTGATTCTCAAATGATCGATAGCCGGGAAAGCTTCGAACAGCTTTGTACATACACCTTCTCTTCATGGAAGTATAACAACATGCTGAATCTTAATCATTTATATTATTTCATTATAATGATTAATTCATTCTTTGTTATTCATTTCTATTTCACTTCTTTGTCAAAGGAATACCACTCGTAGTATTCAGTCAGTCTATTGTCAGACACAAGACTGTCCATCGCTCCCCCCTTGTATGATCTCATCTTCTCTATTTATATATATATATATAGTGATAATAATATAAAAATCTTAACTATAACATATATTAAATACTGTACGGAAAAGGAAAGGATAGTAAATGAACAAAGCGAATCACCGGGAGTGGAAAGGAATTAATTCTAATTATTCTTCTAAAACTTGATTAATAGACATGAAATGAATAATTATAATTATATATTACTATTAACACATAGTGGGAAATTGAGAAGTATGTCATCTAGCTTTTCATAGTTTTGTTATCATCAAGAACATAACGCCTTCATCTTGTAGAACGTACTTCTTGATGCTTTCCAAGTTCATTCCAACTGCTTCCAAAGCATTCAGAATGTTCTCTTCTGTCAGATTGAGCAGATGAAAGATTACCTAGAAGAATTAGAATACTAGTTGTTTCACGTGAAAGTTCACGGAGTATGTTTTGAAAACTATCGATGCTCATTTCATTTTCGAATGCACAACACATGCAGACCGGTTGCTTTGACTAAGCCTCTTATCTCTCATCATATGGGCTATGTAAGTTTTTCATTTTAAAGTCAAAGGTAGCAGTTTCAACAAATAAAACGTTTCAAAGCATTTTTTTAAATTTTTTAAGTTTCTGACGTCAAAAATGAAATGGATACACAGAAAACTGAAAGAAATTTGCAACTTTCTTCGGTTTCTTCTCTCTTCTCTTTGCTCTGATTGCTCTTTCACCTAAAGTCCTTCATTTCACTTTTCGAGTATCACTATCCAGTTTGCTGAGATATTCACAGTTTGAGAAGGATGGTTTGGATGGTTTGGATGAATCGGATGTCTCTCCTTCTTCTATTTTCTAGTTCCTTCTTTCTCGCCATCTCTCTATCTACTCTATGTTTTCAACCCTCCGCGAAAGAAGATAACTTCAAACAATATCCTTGAAATGATACTTTTGATACTTTGACAGCTTTTCATTAAAATAAATAATTGTTCTCACCTGCTTACCAGAGTTGTACGAGTCATCTTCAAGAACAGAACCGAGTACAAGACGTCCTCCAGATCGCAGATGAGCAACCTAGTGAAGTATTGGATATGTTATAGCTCTTGAATAAGACATACTGTGTTTCCCAAGCTTTCTACATATTGCTCATATGTTCTGCAAGCGCTCTCTAATGTGAATATGGTTACAAGGATATCCACCTGAAACCAATGTCTTCTCTCAATTGTTACAATCTGGTTACAACCTGCATGTTCCTCAACATGGGAACAGTGGGATTCTCGTGAACATTAGCAAAAAGAATTCCACCAGCTTTAACTAATTTTCTGGCTGCATTCTCACATTCAGACAATTCTTTGTCAGTGAAAGGGGGCCCCCCTTCGGTTCTACAAGAGAAATGGAAACGTCTGTCTTCTCTAAGGAGTTTTTCAAACCTTTTGATTACTCGTAGGGTTGGAAACCAGTCAATGATATTTCCTTTTTGGGTGACCCACTCGTTTAGAATTTCCAAATTCTTTTCCACATAATCGGATAAATAGACTTCGTTAACAACATCACGAAAGCAGAGAGCTGTATAGACTGTTGGTCCTGTAACGACATAAGTTCTATTTGCTTTATTAATTTTCTTCTTACCGGCACCAACATCGAGCAACGTCTGACGTTCTTCTGGAGCCATAGACTGCTTCATCAGATGAGCAAAAACGGGTAAAGCGAACAACGAAACACGTGTACCATCTTCGATAGAATCTCTGTAATGAGTATCTGTTTGCAAATGATAATAACAAATTAAAGTTTAATATTCTCAGATATCAGTTAAGCGAGTAAGATATTGGATATCTTGTTGGCTTTCGAAGTGTTTTTTCACCTTTTCAAATCTGAAGAGCTTTTTTTTGGGATATGAAGAGGAAGTTCATCTTCTGATGTCATTTGAGCTTTCAAACACTTAACCTTTCTGTGTAAAGAACGATAATGAAAATCGTATTAGGAGTTTTTCATCTAATTGGTTTTCTTACTCAAAGGTTTTCTATCTTCTCTCACCCACTATCATCAAGGTATATCTCTGTTGGTTTGAAATGTTATAAACATCAACATTCTATACACAAAAAGTTTTGTTCAACATCAATGCTTGATGCTCAGATGAATATTTAAACTTAGTTTATGCAAAATATCTCTGCTCACTTGCTAAAATAATGTTGAAGATATGCGTCCGGATTAAATGAAGTGAGATAATCAGCTGGCGTAAGAGTGGATGATTCTACATCAGGGGATGCCATTCTTCTGATCTAAACATACGAAATGAAAGAATGAAATGATGAATTGAAGAAATAGTTAGTATTCAATAATCTGTATATGATTACTGGATTAGTTAAGTAATATAGTCACATACAACTGTCATTGGAAGTGAAGAATACGACGCTGTGTACGATGACGGACAAGGAATGAGGTGGAGCTTAAAAGTGAGGAAAAACGAAATAATGAAGAGATAGTTAGGGGAAGAAATGAAGCAGTAAAAGATAAGATGAAGCAAGAGATTCTACAGAGACGAAGGGATATTGAGCAGTATGAGATAGACTTGAAGATTTTTCTGAGCAGCACAAAGATGCAATCTGGCAAAAGGAAGAAATATGTGTATGTAACTCTTCATTGCGTTATAGACGCAGACGAACAACTGGAACTTATTTTCCTGTTCTAGATGCTTGAGCAATTTGTCTGAGGATGTAGTCTTGTTCAATTCAGATATTTCATATTCTTAAAGGTTAAAATTAGCCTTAATCGTTCAGTTTTCCTCTTCAGTATGTGTTAACTACAATTTTATGTTTGTTTTCTCATATTTTCAGCAAATAAACCGTTTTAAACTTCGAAATGTGTTCTTGAATTGTTGGGAAGCAACCGCTCTACAAGTGTTCGTGCACGAAAATAAAAAAGTCCAGATGAATGGCATCCACGTGAAATGCCACGTCATACAGTCCTTATCAGTTGTGAAATGTTTGAAGAAGAGAAAAAGAAAAGATTCTGTTTTCTTATTGAAAACTTTTTACGACCTTTTTGTTCCAAAAACTGAGTGACCTCTACCTTGACAAATATGATAATCCATAAAAGAGAAGATTAAGTTGCCATTTCATCAGTACATCGTTGTGTTTGGCATTCATTAGATCAAGCAAAGTTCAAAAGTGACAAATACGATTAGAGAGGACAGTTCATTTCATTTTGAGCTTTCTGTCAATCGTACTGATTCTCCTCTTTTGAATACTTTGATAAAATAAACACATCCATTAGCTCCTCATTCCTTCTTCAACCTATTGGCTTCCATTTTGAAAACAATGTTCTTGTCTTTATTACTAACTTTTAGTCATCTTTAAATGTCATTTCAGAAAGTTATCAATCACAAACGAATTATTTTAGTTTTTAAGTAGCTTATGCAGTAACTAAATATACTTTGTATTACGGTAGTGTATAATACGTAGCACGAGTGTCTCAACATTTTTTTTCCAACGGGGGGCACGGAATGAATGGCAAAACATATGACATGCAGGCAAACTCAACGTGTTTTCATGCTTCTTCATACTAGATGATAGAAACGATTACAAGCTTTTCATATGATGACAAAAACATTGATCTTTCTGGTTCAGATCAAACAATAGTGTGGTTCATTATTGAATTAGTCCAAGTTTGTTTATTCATTCATTCTTCATCGTTGTCTTAAACTTATTTTGTTGTGAAATTTCTCTTCTTTTTATCACACCACGAGTTTTTCGTTTGATTTTTGATTGTTTTTTTTACGGAGATTTTATAGATAAAGGCATGGAAAGGAAAGAACCCAAAAAGATAGCTAGATTACAGAGAGTGAAACGGCCAAGGGGAAGAAGGAGATGTAAGGAACACCGTTCATCTTCTTATTCCTACTTCTCAAAATTACAGATGGTCAGAATGAGGATGGTGAGATTGGTGAACAAGACGAAACAGCTTCTACGGATTCCGGTGGAATTCCTGGTGTTCTAGTTATCCCTGGTTATCATTATGATCCCAATACCAAAAAGTACTTCAAGATAACTCCAGGATGGACACCGGTTTTTCAACTCGTTCTTGATAAACTCTGTCTCAGCCTTTCCAGAAAGTACCTGAGCCTGAGAAACCTGTAGTTCTGGCGAAGCCTAAAAAGATAAATCCGTTGCTGTTAATGAATGGTTCGTTTGGGTTGCATCTCTTCAAACTCCGGCTTTTGAAGATTTCAACTGTGGAGCCATTCGACATAATGAATATTCACGTCGTTTGAGAGAAGGAAGAATTTTTGAAGTCAATCCAAAACCATCAGCGATTTATGAAATCGTGGTTTGTCATTAGTTGCTTTCTCTCTATATGATTTGCTCTTCTTCAGAATCCTTCATCCTTCAGTGTTCCATTGAATGGTTGCCAATTCATGGAACCGTCTGTTGACGGAAAAACTATTTTTTCATGCTGGAGTAGTTCTAACAACGGTTATCAAGATGAAAAATTGTCCAGAATTACGATCAAAGTTAGTTATGATCCTGATATAGCTGAGTAAGTCTTTTAGCAATCTTTCCTATTGTGAATTGTCATTTTACAGGAAAGCTCATAGATTAGAGGACTCACGAACAGAAGAAGAGAATTTAGAAAATCCTTGTAACAAATCGGGTTTGTTTTCATTAATTGTTCTTCGTTTTATGAGTCATCTTCAGGTATCTATTTGGCATGCTCGGATATCTCGTCCGATTTGAAAGGAAATTCTTTAGTTGATGCTTGTGTGGCACGCGTCGATAAAGATGTCACTTGCTGTCTCTATGTTGTAGCGGGAACAATGTAATATAGAGTTGATATGAAGTTGCTTGATTGAAGTATTCAGGTTGACTGAGCACGGGTTACGTAGTCGTTGTTCCGTTAAATTCGAACCTCTTCCGGAGTTTTGTACTCGGGACTACTTCAACTTTCAAAGTAGTCCTATCTATAACCAGAAGTGGGCTGTGGATTGCTCTGTATATAGTTGTGGCTGGTCCGGTAACAAAATGAGAGTTTCTATAGGTAATTCCTAAACCAAATATGATATTCATCAAAGCTATACAGGAATGGGAGAATGTGCTAGAATACTTGATATCATAGCCGAAAGTAGTTTTGTAATCTCCAGCAAGAAGAAGAATGTAATCAGTCAACAGTTTTCCTCAGTAAGTCCGAACTCAATGTTCGTTTGATCAGGTTTCATGTATTATAGGATGGCAATCTCCTGTTTATGGGTTTGCGAGCAGAAAACGCTATTCAATCTGATTTACGAATGCCTTCCAAACACGTGACTGCTTCGCTTAAAGGTTTGCCTTTGTTTTTACAAATGTCATCCGGCAATTATTTCAGGGACTCGAAACACATCTTATTTACGAGTTTTGGAACATACCCATCCCAATAGTCTTGTGACTGATACCTTTGCCGGAGAAGTAGGAAATTACACTTTTTCTAAATTAAGTTTGTTTGTTACAGTTAAAACTGTGGGATTTACGTCGACCTGATAGAGAACTGCGAGAATTCAAAGGACATGCTAACAGTCACTATCGCTTACCAGCTTTCGTAGATAGCAACGAACAGTTTTTGTTTGCCGGTTTGCCTCTCCATTATCTTCTTTTATTTGAACTTTCATATTACAGTGGGCGAAGATGAAGTTACAAGAGGATGGTCCTTAGCTACTGGAGATATGTTATGCGAAATCCCTTCACCTTGTCCATCACCTGGTCGAACAGACTTCCCAAGAGTTGTTTATAATGATTCTTGGGGTGGGCGTGTGAACAATCCAGCTTTAATCATAGCTAATGGAAATTCTTGCCGAGTCCATCCTTTATTTCATTGAATGCAACATTCGCCGATTTTTCATATCTTGACGATTTTAATTTTTTTCCGATTGTCACGTGGTACAGTTTTCGAGGATTAACACAAAGTAGTCTCTGCCTCTAGCTGCATTTCCATTTTGTTCATTTTCCATATTTCCAATCTGGTCATTGTTGTACATTTTTGTATATTAGTAGTATATATTAGCCATTTATGGCGAACAGCATATTTTTATGGATGAAACTATCCAAAAAAGCCGTAATGAACATCTCTTACATAAAATGTCTTCTTTTGGTGATGTTGTGCTATTGTCGTAGATTCTCTAATCAAAAATCTAAGTCATCAAATGATCTCTGCTGTTACCTCCTCGCCTTTACATATATTTCATTCTTCATAACTGACATTCTTCATAATAAATGTTTAGATTGACAATGGAACCAATTGGTACGAACTTCCTTCCTAGGTTCCCATTTTTTCATTTCGTGTTCGTCAGGATTTGACTGCTGATATTCTCTTACTTATTGTGATTAATATATTTTGCATGCGAAAGATACTTAAATATGTATGGGTAAGTTGATTAGATTCTCGAACTTTCTCATTCATATTCATTCTCTGCTCTTCCTTATAGACAATTCTATATCATATTGGTGGGCATGAGGGTCTATGGTGGGGGTTGGAAAAGAGAACGGCAACGCTCGTTCTAGAGTCTAAACACTACTACTACCCTATACACTTGTCACGTTGAATGAGAAAGTTCAAGAATCGAATCAACTATCGTTACAATCTAGTGAGAATAGTTCTGTTCAACAAAGTACGAAAAAGGAAAATCATGAAACTCATCCAGCCAGTTTCTCCTTGTTCACAACAGCTTCTTCCCTGTTAATTTCCATTGTTCTTTGTGATATTTACTGGTGGTATGGGAAGTTTCATTCAAATTCGTAATTTTTTGATTTATGAAGACAAAAACAACAATTGGAGAATGAAATCCTTGCTGGTCTGTCATTTTGTACATAATGAATGATACTAAGTTGAGCTGCTCATCCTAACCACTGCTCCAGCTAACCACAGTCATCTTGCTAAACCCCAACTAGCCAACCACACCACTGTATCTGCTGGACACTGCTCCTTTCCTAGTCTTCTTAAACAAACTATCTGGATCAGTAAATGTTGCAGAAAATAGTAGACAATAGTCGATAATAGCAGAGAATAGTATAGATTAGTAGATAATTTGAAAAATTTGTACAATTGAAGACGGAGTTAATCAGAATAGTTATAATAGGAGGTAGAGCAACGTATGAAGGAGCAAGAAAGGTGCAAGATCCCATTCAAGAGATTCATTGCATCTTATTTGCTCGACTCACTCATCATAGGTGATCCCCAGGACTTTGTATTCCTAATATCCGATGTTTCGTCACTGGAGACACTATCTGCTTGACTTTTATTTGATGATTCTGTATTCGACACATCGAAAAGACCGTCCGTTTCGAATAAGTGCCTCTCTGGTCTAGCAATTTTCATAGGAGGTTCGTCGTCTAGATCTGCTCGGTCTTTCTGTGATTGAGAGCCTCCCTAAACTCATGAAATAATTTAAAAACAAAGATTACCACATTGGGCACAAAATAATGTATAATCTTGTTTCATAATCAGTAAAAGATCGTACCTCTTGCTTTATTGTCCGAGCTACCTCATCTCGGCTGTATCCCATTTCTAATAAGTTAAAGGCTGATGATATGAGTTTTGATGATTCTGTTGTGTTTGTGGAAATATAATTGGAGAACTTCGATAATAACTGCTGTAAAGAGGAACTCGGTGATTTAACCATTTCCTTATATTGGCCGAACATCTCGGAGATCTGAAAGCTTAATTGAAATGGCAGTCTTTTTCATTTTTCATTAAACGCGAATCTCAAGTTACACGTTTCTGATTTTTTTTTTCTGATCATCATTTGAAATTCACCTCACACATTCCATACATATGTATATAGTAATCGAATCGGAATGGTTGAATGTTTGATAAGAGTATTCATACAGAGATAAGAAACCCAAACCTTCGTGACTTCTTGAAATGAAAATCCTAATTGCAGCAAATCTAGAATTCTTCCGGCAGGTATCCGGAAATCCTCTTCTAGCTTTGAGGAGCCTGGAAAGGTAGAACTTGGCAACAGGCTTTTAATTGATTCGTCCAGCGGTTTTAACTCTTCTAATGGCTTGAAAATCTGTAATAGATATTAACTGTAATATAAAAAACAATAAAATCAGACTGACATCCATCGTCATCAAATTTTGGAGTGTCGTAGACGTCATGTACGTTTGTGAGTCTATGGACGGTGAATCGAAGCCTGGAGACCTCAACGAGGTCGATTCGAACTTCTAAAATGTTTGTCTGCTATCTCTAATCAACATCATGAGAAACCTCTTTGTTCTGTTTCAGACGGTTTTTCAGAGATGCTCGCTGAATATCAGCTGCTCTACAAATTCGATCATAGAACTGTTCTTTCTGAGGACCGAGGATATTCCCCCATCTGGAAGGAAGACAAATCATTCTGCGACCAAGAGACGGATGAATTACATATGAATTTGTCGTAATTGTTCAAACGTTATAGCCGTCTTTGCATTAACACTTGATTCTTTCTGATGACGAATGTCGCGTTCAAGCTGCTGAATTTCTCTTTCGACAGTCTAATGGTTCGAAATTGGTATCTGACAGTCTATGAGATATGACTTACATGTGCGAACATATGAGGCGGGAGTGGAGAGTCTTCATTTCTGAGAAAAGGAGCAAGTTTGAAGATGGTCGGAGAGAAGCAACTTACCCGATCTCGATCTTACCAATAATACCATCAGGTTTGGTAGTATTTAATATATCTGTTGTCAATGAACTGTTGTCCATTAGGTGACTGAAATATATGTATGTATGTATGTATGACGCTTCGATCATCATCCTTATCAGAGGAAAAGTTAATAATCAATATCAATGTTATCTTTTGTTCATTGAGAGTCCGTAGTTGACGAAAGTAAATGTATTTCTAAAAATTCAATCCGAATGTTCAGCTTGAGAGAACAAATGGAAGAGCTTACTTATTCCAAACTCTAGTAACTGCCACAGAATCACTTTTCAATCGTTTTTTTCATAATTGTTTTCATCGGGATAAGAGTTGGAGCACAAGGGAAAAAACGTTCTCATGACTTTCGAAATTGGACCGACAATATGTTTGAGAAAAAAAGGGAGAAAACTGAAAATTTGAATTCGTACGTTATCGTTATCATTCTTCTATTATCGTCTCAATTTCATGTCGAGCTCTGAGTGCATCAAACGAGGTTTACACTGAAACAGCTAGATAATGAATAATGGGGTAAAGTTGGGGTTGAGTACCAGAAAGCAGTTTTGAGTAATCATTATAACCATCTCATCCAAAGCATTCTATTATCATCATCATGAAATCATCTTCTCCAATTATAATACTTTATCAACATTTTAAGCTTTCATTTGAAAACGGCAGAGTTTTCAGTGAAAAATACTTAAGATAAGAATTCATAAAAGGAATTATTATCGTGATAATCAGATATTACCATATAAAGTTGCCTTGTGATGCGTATGTGGAACAGATAACTTCCATATGTATGAGACGAACCTCCTTATCGTAGTGACTCTATTCGAAAAAACAGAAATGGGACTCTCTGGGTCTTCTGAATAGAAGTCTGTGCGATGAAAGGAGGTCAGCTTATCTTATCTGAAATCATTAAAATGCTAGCTTGCAATGATTATTAATTGTATATACTAGATTGAAAAAAATCATTTTATTCAAATATTCTAATCAACATAATAATAATAGGAAGGAGGAGATTTCAAAGCCAGGAAATAATTAAAACAAAGTTAAACAAATAGATGAGCCCCCATAAAAGAGACAACCGTTCATGATGGTGCAACAAGCTCAAATGACTTGGTATTTGTCACGGCGCTTTGTCATCCCATGTCACGTACATTAATCATAGTCAAATTTTCGAAAATTCAATCGAGATAATTGGAAATATAGTTGAATGGACAAAGGTCTGTATGATAAGTTATTATTTAAACTTTTGTTCGCATTCGCGATTAAAACGTTGGTCGTTCGATTCTCGAAGAAAACAAATCATAAACTTTCATTTTATTCAAATCTGCTCAATGAGAACACATGTTTCATCCAACCACATCCTTGGCTGCAGATACCGATGCTATTCAGAAACTGTTGCCCGATCTGGCTAAGCGAACTCTTATTGACTCCATGGGGTTACCGACTCAAAAGGTTATTTTTCACTATATGTTTTGGTTTAATCAATATATATATATATATCGATATATAAATACATATTTAAGTTTTGAAGGAGGTTATCAACATGTTGATGTTTAGGATTACCTTTATATCGGATGAGAGTTAGTGACTAGAGAGAGGACGAAAGAAAGAAAGTCAAAATCATGTTGTTGTCAAGAGAAATGATGATTATATTGAAATAGCCTCATTAACTGACCACGTTATGAAATAGAACACAGTTCTATCCGTACATTTTAAAAAGTGAACATTTTCAATTGAGAATGTTTGCCCAAAATGCCCTTGGATCAAACTATAAGGTACATAAACACATTATGGCATCGATATCATTATACTGTTTCTATTTCTCATTACCTACCTCTAGTTTTGCTTTCAGATCAGCAACACAAGCCAGGTTTCTGCGATGTTTGTGTCGTGGCACGATATTTGTGCTTATGTAAACCCTTAGTTATTTTTTCTTTATTATCTCTTTTTATGTTTGAAGGTTCCTGAGGAGGAAACAAGTTGTTTCTCCTTATCAGGCTGCTGTCTTGAGGATGATTTAGAGAAAGCAAAACCGATCCATAAAAAGATTCTAACAGGAGGTTTCCCATTTCTTATGTTTTTCGAGTTTATCAATTTTCTATTTATAGTCTATGGATCTGCTCAACCAGGGGAGGTTATTGCCATTATGGGTAGTAGTGGAGCAGGAAAAAGTACTCTTTTGAATATTTTGACTCACAGGAATATAGAGAAAGTAGTTTCTGAAGGCCATGTTAAGGTGATTTCGTTGTGTTTTGGCTTGAGGGGAACTGAATATTCAGATAAACGGACTGACAGTCAACAGAGATTATATGAGAAGAGTGTCCGCATTTGTGCAACAGGATGATTGCTTCATAGGATCTCTCACAGTTCTGGAACATCTCAACTTCTCAGTATAGCTTGTATAATTGTGAGAGCTACATCTTCTGTTCTAGGCTAAACTGAAAATGAGTGATCGATACTCTGATAAAGACCAAGGTAAACGAGTCCGTCAAGTCATATCAGAGGTTATCCTTTACTAATCGATTGAAACTGCTATTGTTGGTAATTGCAGCTGGGTTTGAAAAATTGTGCTAACACCATCGTAGGAACTAGATCTGTTAAAGGATTATCGGGAGGAGAGAAAAAAAGACTGAGTTTTGCTTCTGAGGTAGAGGATGTATAAGGAATAGCTCAATACTTATATTGTGCTCAGATTCTAACATCTCCACCTATTCTTTTCTGTGATGAACCAACTTCTGGACTAGACTCTTTCTTAGCTTTCCAAGTCATTTCTGTGAGTTGTCCAGCTCACCTCAGTGTACTTTCTCCATTCAAAGGTATTGAAAGAGTTGGCAAGAAAGAAGCGAATGACCATATTGGTCACTATTCATCAACCTTCGAGTCAGATATTTGAGCTTTTCGACAAGTATAGCAAGCCTTTACTGTTTCACACTGAAGTAACCGTTTCAGAGTTTACTTGTTGACAGAGGGACGCTTAGCCTTTTTCGGAACATTATCACAAGCCGAGAACTTCTGGAGAAATATTGGCATGGAAGTTCCTCGTAACTTCAATCCTTCAGATCATTATATTGCTAGTTTATCAAACCCCAAGCATAGTTCCAAGTGTTCCAAGCAGATACAAGTAACAAACAGTAGTTTTCGGCAATTCTTTTTATTTTCAGAACATCTGTGATCTTTACTATCGCAGTGAGGTCGGCAAGCAAATGCTTCGAGAAGCTCGTTCTGCTGATCAACAGTCTACTGGTAGTACAAGTACGAGCATAGAATGGATAAGTAATCGAAAGGGCGAGAAGCATATTAATGACTATCACGCTGGGTGAGTCGTTACAAAGAGTAACCTCACTGAAGATTTCTTCAGATGGTTTACTCAGCTCAGATGGCTTATCTGGAGAAATTGGAAGACAACAGTTCGTGAACCCACTATGATGAAAGTCCAGATTTCTCAGTCAATTGTGAGTTCTTCTCTCATCTAATGACTTGCAATATTACTCCTATTGCAGCTCCTTGCCCTACTTACGGGAGTCTTCTATTTGCACAATTCTATTAATCAAGATGAAATTATGAATATCAATGGCTCAATCTTTCAAATGATCACTCAAATAGGTTTTATGTTCCAATTCAGCTGTGTCCAAGTAAGAACTTACGTTATTCGTCTTCGAAAATCTGATTGTCCAGAACTTCTGTAACGAATTTGCCACTTTCCATCGGGAGCATGATTCAAATCTGTATCGAACAAGTGCTTACTATATAGCAAAGAACTTGGCGGAAGTAAGTTCTGATCCGAAAGCTCATAGAAAATTTCATAAATTGCAGTTACCTGTATATACACTCGCATCACTCATCTTCTCTGTTATCATGTACTGGATGTCGCGGCTGGTTCCGCAATGGGATGCCTTCCTATACTTCCTACTATGGGCAATTTTAATACAGAATACATCAGTTTCCATCGGTATGCCTATTATAACTGAATGATATATCAATATATACTTTACAGGATATGCTTTCGCCTGTATCTTCGGTACGATTTCTCTCGCTCACGCCGTTTTGCCTCTGTTTGTGATTCCTGCAATGGCTTTTGCTGGTTTGATTGGCTGTTATTGAGTTATTTTGACTTTGATTTTCCAGGATTCTTCATTAATCAAGAAACGCTCCCACCTTACTTCTATCCCCTTAAGTACGTTTCTCACATAGGATACGCTTTCGAATCCCTGGTAATCAACGAATGGAGATATGTGGAAGACATTCCTGGTTCGTTACAACTCCTTAACCTCTTGTAACAGTTATTCACAGGTTGCTCATCCCAAACACGAGTTTGTCTCAAGAACGGAACGGATGTTATCCATTCACTATCGTTTGATGTATCTGACTTCACATCCAATATCTACTACATGATCATCTTACTTTTCTCTATTCAATTCATCGGATTTACCGCTCTGCAGATTCGTGCTAGATCGAAGAAATAATAATTTCAGTTTTAGTTATAGTTTTAGTTAATAAAGTATTCAATTTTTATCTGCCGTCCTGTTGAGCAACCGTTCCACAACTTCTTGCTTCACAAATAACAGCTCCTACTGATAATTCACATGTATTTCCCACTTTTGTGGACATACTTAGTGATAAGTTTCACAAATTCGACTTAAGGTTTTACAAATTCGACTGGAATTCGACATAATCGAATCTGTCCAATGTCGAATTTTGGTGTTGATGCCCAAGTATAGTAGGTATCCACAAGTTCAATTTTGCGATCGAAAAGACTAGTAGAATTGAAAAATAGCGATTCATTTTCACAACAATGAGTAACAAAAAATGTATGTATAAATATATATATCTATGTATAAAACAAATTTCTCTTTTGATTCAAAATTCCTAATTTATCACAGTTCTGTTGGAAACTAGTCAGAGCTACCGTCTACATCATCAACTAACACTTTCGTTTCTTCTTTTTCTTTTGCAAGGTTTCCGAAAACGATACCAGCAAAGAGTATGGAGCCGATCCAAGAGTTTGATTTGAATTTCTTCCAACAATCTTCTCCGTTGTTGATATCGACTGTACCTATCTGCCAAGCTAAATGCGCAGCTGTACCTAAATCCAGAACATTGAAAAAGATGATTATAAGCAACTAGCCTCCTAATCCTAAGTAATATGGCCAAGTTTGATCAGCTAAATATCCAACACTTGCTAAACTACCCATCATGACAGTTCCGAATCCTGTGAGCCATTGCTTGGTTTTATCACCAAACCTTAAAGCTGTTGACTTGACACCTATCATGATGTCGTCATGCTTATCCTGTAAGGATCAGATGAAAAAATGATTAACACGAGGGGAGGAACGTTCACACAAAACATCAAGCATAACATGAACTATTAGACAATATTTAGAAAGTTGGAAGACCTGATGCGCATAAATAGTATCGTAGATTAACGTCCACTGTAGCGAAGCAAGATAAAGTGTCAATGGAGTCAAACCAAGGTCGGCACGAACAGCAGTCCATCCTAGTAGAGCTCCCCAGGTGAAAGTCAGGCCTGAGAATAAATATAGAACTGAATAACATAACTATAGAATTATTAATGCGCACTCTCACTGACAAAGACAGGCACTTCTCACAGCGTATCATAATTAGAACGACTCAAGCAATTTGAATTAGCAAGCTGACACTACAATAAAGCTTCTATAGCTTACGACATGCACAGGCGAACGTTCCGATTAGCCCCAAATAGATAAACTTTCGGAAAATGTTGAGACCTGGTGACTGTAAATTGTGTCGTAGATAACGGTATAAAGAACAGTAGATATGTACAAAGGGAGAACATTGAAAAACTCCTGAGTTGGAGTCATCTGTGCCCACGCTATAAGAACACCCCAATTCAATGTAGCACCTGTAAACGAAAATTAATCTTATAATCATTCACTTCCACCACAATTTGAACCCTAGTTTAAACAAATCGAACTAAATAGCATCTAAGGCAACAGAACAGACGTAAGCGAAGCGCGAGATAAATCTCATATAGACAATACACATAACAACTCTGATAAGTTGAAATTTGGACAAAACACAAACCTACCTAATACAAACTGAGGCCAATATGTGTATCTCTTGGCCAATGGATACCCAACAACCAGCAACATCGAAGACGCTCCCACAGCGACACTAGAAGGAGCAATACACCTATGCTTACTCTCAGAAATTGTACCTGAACCAGTTTAACTGTAATAATATTCCTAGTGAAGTAGTCAGTAGCCCGCCAAGTAATGCTACAGCTTGTTTTGTTGAAACTGATCCACATGCCAAAGGGCGCATTTTGGTGCGTTCAACCTTTCAAACAACAATGTGAACAATAACTATTCGCTATCTTACTTTCTTATCAAAGTCTTTATCCCAGAGATCGTTTATAACACATCCAGCACTTCTCATAAGAAACGCTCCGGCTCCGAAAAGAGACAAATAGTATAACGAAGGAAGCTCACCCGCCGGCGTGGCCAAAGCTATTGACCATGTACAAGGCCAGTATAATAACCAAGTACCTGAAATTCCATTGTTTCATCGACAAAATGGATTGGGCACGAAGTTACTAACCTATGGGCTTATCGGCTCTCATTAAAGCCAAATACGGTTGCCATTTCTGAGGAGCTTTAGCTACAAGCTCAGCAGCTCTAGGTATACTGAACTTTCTCACTTCCTAGAATGAAAGGAAATTCATTGAACGCCTGTATATTGAAACCCCTACTTGAGCGGCTGAATTCACAGAACATTTCCTATCATAAACCGAAAGAACTGCGGAAGTAGACGGACGTGATAATAGTAAATATGCAGTTGTTCTGTGGGCAAGCATTCTGATAAAACAGATGAACAAACTTCCGGAGTCAACATGTTCGATACATCGGGGCTCATAACCCCAGAACGATTTTAGTGTTTGCAATTAGTACTATGTATTTGGCAACAAATAACAATAACAATTTTGAAAATCAAAACAAGTAAAAAAAAACAAAAAAATAGAGTTTTTAGAACTCCATAGTATCTTTCCTTTTGTCTTCAACAGGGACTGAACTGACAACTTTTCCATCAACTTCCTTAGAACCTAACTCACGCCTGATTTCAGGAGAAATCAAATAATGACCTTGGTACTGTAAGAGAAAAAAAAATTTAAACTCGGGAAACATCACACTTACTCTTATCAAATCGTAAATACTAGTCTTCTGCTCTGGGCTCAAATCATTCTTGTAACGTTGGCAGAAGGAAAGAAGACACTGATGCCAAAGAACAGGCATATCTCTTTCATCGTTCTTCAATCTGAAATGAAAATTGAGAAAAGAATCCAGCCCACGAATTACCTAATAAAGTGGTTGCAAACAGCATCGACTGCTTTGTATGGTAGAGCGAACTTCTTGTCAATGAGAGCACGCAAGAAAACAGAGTTAGATCCAGTGTATGGCATCTCAGCAATCTGATAACATATTCATATACTGCAAATCATAATAACGAAATGTACCTTCAACATAGCAGCGGCAGCGTGGAACATAGGTATCGAAACTTTTGAAAGTACTGAACTGAAGATCATGGCTTCACGCAATGTACATGTTCCGGACTGAAATATTCCATCTAATTCTTGTTAAAAGCCAGTTACTAACTTCACATAACGGCAAAATAATTCCTTTGAAGAAAGCTGCAGGCTTATATATGGCCTTACACAAAGCTTTGTACAAGTGGAAGTTCAAGATTTTAAACTCATCAATGTCATCTCTGAGACGGGGGAGGAGTACAAGATTATAGAATCTTAAAGAAAGAGATAGATTGGGAGTTCTACTTTAAGCAAACCTCTGACACATTCTGGGATTCAAGTTAGATGCGAACAACTTTGTTCCAACGTATACAGCAGCTGAGGTCCATTTATCTGGCTCAGTGACGCTGAACACAGCAATAGGAGAAGGACAAGTGAAATGAAACTAACTATAAGATTTGTTCCCAGTTGACCATTTTTGGAATGATTTTGAAAGCTTTAGGAACTTTTCCGGCTCTGTATTTGGATAAAAGTTTACCAACTTGTACGTACATCTCGAGAACTTCAGGGTCTAACTCGCGGAACTGAAAAAAGTGGATCACTCCTGTTTAGACTTAAACTATTACATTGAATTCATTAGGATCAACAGTACTGAACGAGCACTCTGCATCAGCTTTCTTCTGCTCAATTTTTTCCTGGAAAAAAATATATGATGATAGCTTTGTTTGTGGGTTATACTTGAATAAGATCGTACAAAGTTCTTTGGGCTGGTGCATCAGACTTCTTAACAATGAATTTGGATAACTCTTCTTCTACTTTAGCATCGATTTGCTGAAAAACATGATGATTCAAATGACAGAGCAAATGAACTAACGATAATTTGATCATCGTAATCTTCATCTTCTGCTGGGAGATCATCATCGATATCAGAAGTATTATCTTGACCAAGACTAAGATGTCTCAAGCTGCAAAATTTTAAGATGAGAGAAAAGATCGCTTGAAGAAACATACCGTTTATTTTCAGTTGATGGTTCAGCATCTTCTACAGCATCTTCCATAGCATCTTCTTGCAACTGCTTACGAGCTTCGCTCAAGATTTTAGCAGACATATCTGTTGGCATGAACTAAATATGCATCGTCATACTGTTCAGAACTAGCTAGCAAACCTCTGGATCATCCTCATTTCTTCTTCTTTTTGTTTTTTCACGAGCAGCCGATCGCTCAGTAGCGATTTTACTGCTTTCGAGCTGTTTGTCGAGGGCTCCGGCAGGAGTAATGAAGTCTCCTCCTTTCAATTTACGATTTTTTCCCATCTCTCAAAATATGCAAATTAGTTTAAAATGAAAAAGTGGATGTTTAAATAAGTATTAAAAAGTATATTTAAGAGAAAACGAAATAATACGCAAAGAAAGGTAGTATGACACTTTGGCGTGAAAGTTGTGCTGACGCAACTGCGGTTCATCTAGCGGTGGGACTTTTGTCCCATGGTGGTTAACGAGAGCTGATGCTAATCACAACCGCTCTTCACGTACGAACCTTCAAAATAATAAAATTCAGAGAGTTTTCACGTTTCACGCCTTATGCTAATATCGAGCGTAATTTACGTCAGGTAAACCTTAGAGTGTTTTTGTGTTGTTTGATATACGAACCAAGTTTTGAACTTGAGTAATAGATTGAACATGATAGAAACTACCAAGGATTTATTAAAATCCAATGAAAGTAACGGAAAAATGAAAACAGGATTGTAAACATCACTATTTAAGGTTAACAAATCTATTAAAGTAAAAAAAAATCCTAATTTGTAAGAAATTTGAGAGCGTAAACTTGGCTTTGTTATAATACATTCTATGCTAAATATACAATATTGTGACAACACCAGTATGTTTCGAAGATAGAAGACTACTTGCAGGCTTTTAGAGAAACATAAATACAAAAAAAGAAATCTTTTATTTCGTTCGAAAACGAATTCATTCAAGATGACTAAACTTAAAAATTAAAAATAGTAACTATCTGGAGATCTGAAAGTCATGGGAAGTATGAAACAAGAAGGGCAAAGCAAGACGATTGAGATATGCGGTTACAAGTAGAAATTACCACGCAACTAGGCGAAAATATAAATTAATGACAACAATTATTATTGTCGAGTCTCAGTTTGATTTCCATCATCAAGATCTATGTTGAGACTTTGGAATGAATCCATTAGTACTGATTCTTCCAAGTAAAGGGAAGCATCAAAGTCACCCATAGGAATAATCTGGAAAGTAGAAATATGAGCGTGATACACTTATTGAATTTCTTACAGTTTCAACATGTTTCAATTCTTCAGGAAGATGAACTGACTCGGAGTTGTTAGCCATTTCTAGATCATAGCACATTTGTACAGCACGTTTGAGACGGTAAGTGTAACGTGGAGGTGATTGACTAGGTATGGGTTCAGGTGAATGGCATTCCGTTTTGATAGGTGTTGAGTCATACAAATCGGGAAACTATAAAAACAGGTACTGTAACCACACCTGAATGTTCAGACTTACGTAGCTATCATTGCCGTATTGGAGATTATTAAGAGCGCGAGTTCCTTGATTCAGTTTTCCGACTAGAGAATTGGTATGTGAAAATGTGGCGCTAGCTGAAAAATGAATTTCATAGAATATAATAATAGCTGAAAACTTACTGAAAAGAGGTTTATGTGGTCTGTAAGAGACTTCAGGGCACTTCTGTTCAACAGGGGATGGAAGAATTGAAGAATCATATTCTAATTCTTCCGGAAGGATTGTGCTGCCGCAACAATGACTATCCAGCAGTTTATGAGTACAGGGCGATGGCACGGAGAGACTAGAAGGAGCTGGAGAACTGAAGGATGTCTGAACATCGTCCACATGAGAAATGATAGCTTTAGAAGCCGGGACTCCCATCTGTCTTTGATTTTCAACATTCTGAATAATGGTTTGAAATTAAAATTTTAGCGCCTAGATATGTACCTCTAGAATTCCATATACAGCGTTGATTTGAGCTTCGAACTTGCTGAAATGCTCTTGATCAACAACAACTGAGTCAGCAAATAGAGGCATGCAATCATTGGTACTCGTTTCGATGGCTTGAGCTCCTAGAAAAACAAAAATGAGGAAGGAAATGATGTGATAGACTACTTTTGATGATTGAGTTATCATAGTTGCGCATCATTGGTACAGCTGCAACACCTACTCCACTACCCACGTTGTATTGACAGTCATCATTCCAAACCGGGTGTTGATCAATGTCGTTCTGAAATTTCCGAGTTTATGCGATTGATTCATGATGTTTGAATAGTTACCTGGTTATCCAAATTATCCATCATATGGTAATGGTTTTCACCGGCATAATAGTTAGGAGATGGTTGAACTGACTGCTGAAAGCATAGAAGTTAGAATGTCATTAATACCAAACAAGGATTACCATAGGAGAATGGTTAAAGAAGTAAGAATGGTTCGTTGAGGAAGAGAAAGCACTATCGGGAGTTCTTGGCTTGAACATCATCTGCAGCATATTCCTTTCATAAGACATTCCAAGTCGATTAAGAATCGTTTCATAATATGTGGAATATTGAAGAATATTTTTAATCAAGAAGCTTGAGTTTCCGGTCTCTTTGCGTTCAGATGATCCGTTTGATGTGGAGTCACAGCCGGAAGATGAAGATCCTGCTGGGCTGTGGCTTGTGGTGAAAGATGGAATCCCAGAACTTCCACCGATTCCTCGATCATCCGAATCAATAGAGCCATGACCAATATTGATTGCTGGTTTAGAACATTCTTGTTTAGATGGAGATAAAGTTGGATCATGCTCATCCATCTGTTGAATGGCTTGTGCTTGTGCAGCTTGAAGTAACATAAGCTGTTGAGCTTGAGCAACTTGTTGAGCCATTGTTCGTTGTTGATGAATAGCCAAGTTCAAGGCAGACGGTGGGTTCATGACGAGTTGTTGTTTCTTAAATATTTCAATGAGGAAAACAACTGAGATGATAAAGACAAACCTTTCGCCGTCCCCCAGTATTACGTGGTTTATTCTTTTTGGCCTTCTCATATTCCTCATCTCCATGAACAGTTTTAATGTGCTTTCGGAGAGAAGAAGGATCTGTATAGCATTTCCTACAAGCTCCTACAGTACAACCATAAGGCTTTTCATCGGAATGTGTCCGATTTTGGTGCTTGGCACGATCACTAGCATTGCTAAAAGCTTTGGTACATCCAGGATGTTCACATGCATATGGTCTAAAAACGAATACAAATAAGTTTTCAAGATTACTGTATCCACTTACTTCTCTCCTGTATGAGTTCTCACGTGAGTTTTCAGATTTTCTAATCTACTGTACGCTTTATTACAACCTTTCAACTGAAAATGAGAAACAAGTTGGACGTGATTACGACCAAATATCTTACCGGACAGTAGTTAGGCTTTTCACCGGTATGCCTTCTCAGATGGACAATCAACATGTACATAGCTCTGAAGGGCTCTGTACGATCACAGTCTTTCCATTTGCAAACCCATAGACGATCACATTCATCCACATGTATACGGAGATGGTTTATTAATGCCTTCAGAGAGAACAAACTATTTTTGAGAGAAATTATTAAGTATACCCTAAGAGTCGAAAAAACAAGGCGACATTCGCCCCAAAAGCACTGAATATCTTCCATAGATTCAACATCGATCATCTCGCTGTTGGAAGGATCACAGCTTCGAAGATTCTTTTTACAAATGATGGGATGTTTAGTTAATCCGAGGTCGAAGGATGGTCGCTTGAAAGTGCCAGGAGGACGGCCAATTCGCTTTCCCTACAAAGAGTTTAAATGTTTTGGAAGCTTTTAAAAAGTGCTCACACTCGGATAAGTTCGGGGAGGATTCACAGGCAATGGCGTTTTCACAGCTACAGAATCAGACGAGGAAGCAGATGAAGCGGACGATTCTGTTTTGTCAGCGGAACTCTCATTGACAGACGCCTGTAAAGAGCGCATTGAAAACATCATTCAGAAAAAAAATGTTTTTTCCAAAAAAAAAAAAAATCAAAACCTACCGACGTTGAAGTGTATGGAAGAAGATTCTGTTGGGGACTATTAGGCTTTTGTTCGATTGAGGAAGATGCAACAACTGAACCGGAACTGGCAGGAACTGGCAAGAATGGGCTTGTCTATAACCATAAATCTTCTTTAAAATATTTTTAAATGAAAATACCTGTTGCAGAGAACGATACATATTAAGCTGTTCAAGTTGTTGTTGAATAACATTTGGCGGTTGGGTTACAACCTGAGGTTGAGCTATAGATGGTAACTTCCTTTTCTCTCCAGTTAATATAAGGTTCTGCTGTGATTGTAATGCTGCTGAAAAAAAGAGAACATGAAATTGTGTTCGATGATGTAATAGGAAGCTTTTGAAAAAAAAAAAGAAGAATGTTGGAGGTGGTCATCACGAACCTACGGAATTGAAGCCGGAATATTCATACGGTACAGCGGCGGACAGGAAATCCGGAGGGGCATGACCATTGGGTGGGGCAGATTTGAGCTCGATCATCGATATTCCATTGGTAAGGGAGGACGAATTATGAAATGCGTCTAAGGGTCGCGAATCATCTTTTCGGATAGATGAAGCATTTGATGATCGAATATCAGATGATGAAGCTTGTGAATCAAGCGATAATGTGACGGCAGCTGATAAATCAAACGGTAGCCGAAGAGGAGCAGATGTATTGGGTGTGTTAAGCACTGAGTTTTGGCAAGCGGCTGCAGCTGAAGATGAAGGTGTGAAACAGTTATACTCTTGATTATAAATGAAATCTCTATCATATTGTAACATATGATATGGAAAATATTCATCATCATAGTCTTCCTCTTTCACACTTGGCTCATAAATTCCATCACAAAACCGTTTTGTGTAAGTATGTGATTGAGTATCTTCATAAGATTCACAAGGAGCTTCTTTCATAGCGTTAGATTTAGAAGAATAGAAGCCAAGAGCTTCAAGAGCTCTAGCAACTCCACGTTTTCTTCCCCATTTCGAGTCGTCACTCATCCTTTTCTTATTATAATTTTTGACTAAAATAGAAGAATAGGTCAGTTTCGTTAGCTAAAGCAATCAAAGAGAGTAGACGAGACATCTAACGAACAGCATATAAGGTAATAGTCAAATTATGATCAAAAAATGCAAAGAAAAAAAAAACCAAATCGCACCATGAGGAGCAGAGTAAGAGTGAGGATTTACATCTAATGCGAGATCTATGTGGTAGGTAGGGCGAAAAAAATATTTTTTTTTAATCTGTTTATGACCTCTTAAGTATCGATTGGCAAGTTTACAACTTCAAGCTGTATATGAATGAGCATAATTGGGTTATGAAAGTTTCAAAACCTGTCGCCCCGGGACCAAAAAAAGGCTGCAAAACGATTAAAAACTTGAAAACTTGAAATTGAAAATTTTTTTTAGGTTAGATATTAGTAGAGTAATAGCATAATAATCATATAAAACCTATAGATTAAGCTTAATCTCAATAAAATTTGAATAAAAAATTAAAAAAATTTGAATTTTGATAGGAGAAGATTGGGAGAGAAAATGAGAAAAAAAAAGTTTTTTTGTTCTGAAGACCCCCCAAGTAGATAATTGAATGGACAGAGAGAGGGAGAGAGAGAGAGTATGAGATAGAGAGATGAGAGGTTGTGTGACTGACTGCACAACCAAATGGACTGTTATAATCAATAATTTATGTAAATTTACATCATTTTTTATCAAAAAGACGCTAATGAACGGTAGTTGAGGTTGTTGCCAAAGGCAGACGACATGGTATTGTATGTGTGTGTATATGCATGTGTCTGTATGTAGAAGACCTTTACTGGAGGAAGCTAGGATAGAGGGAGAGAGAGGAATAGAGAGAGAGAGTTTCTTTTATGAATAATATCTTGTTCGAAGCTTAAAATCTAGTTATTTATGGTGTTTTGTATAAAAATTGTCCCATAAAAATGACTAAAATTGATAAATGGATGAGAAATGGAAGAAGAACAGCTTCTTGTTCTTCTCCTAACTGTCTTTCACATGCCTTTTGAAGAGAAGAAGCTCATCTCTTTATTATTAAAATGTCAGATGTACAGTATCAAAATATGAAATTGTTGATATCAATGAGCTCAATATCCAATATGGTGCCATTTCATATGAATGAATGATGAAACAGGATAGAGATTAAACAAAAAAAATATAAAAAAAATAGAAAAATTGAATGAAAAAGTTCGAAAACCTCATGCTGTTCGATTGATGTGCTAATGAGAAATGCTTTTATTACCTTTTATGTGCCGGATTAGATGTATTTTTGTCTTGAACAATCAATCTTTTTTGACCTCTTCTCTCACTTTCTATCAGTCTGCCATCATCCATTAGACCCATCTCTCTTTCACTCCAACATTCCTCTTTCTCTCTTTTATTATTGCGCATTCTCTTTATCTCTCTACTCTCTCTCTATCTCTCTCTCTCTCTCTTATTCACTAACTTTTATATTTAATAATTTATTATAACAAACCTTGAATTGAACTATCAATTGTGAAACCCAACACATGCTGTCTCGTTCCAACTGTCTGATACATTGGCACTGGTTGAGGTGTTGGAATCTAAAATTAGAATAGTGAAAAGGTTAAGCTGACGACATTTTCACCTGCAAATGGCCAGTTGGTATAGTCATTCTGGCCAACTGATTCTGTTGCTGCAGCAACATCCTTAAACGAAATTATTAATAAACAATACGTTAGGAAGGGATTTTCAATTTTTTTTTTTTTTGGAGAACTAAAAACGAATTTGTATGTCAGAGGAAGAGATACAGTCGTGAGATACAGAGATGGGTAGAAGGAGGGCGAGAAGGTTAAGACAGAGAGAGAGAGATTGAGAGAAAACAATAATTTATGACTTAAGTAGTAGAATAAAAAGAATATAAAAGAGATTTTATTTAAAAGACACAAAGCGACACATTAAAGAGAGAGGTAAGGGGGTTGCTATATAAGTAATTGGATATTTTCTTTTTTAATCTCGTATGGATTGACCTTATGTGGGTATTTCCAATTGGTTGACAGGTGCTATGACTTTTAAGCTCATCGGATATACTAGGTAATCGCGGTCAAAATCAGGAAGATATAAACAAGAAGCATTAAATCTCATTCTCTCTATCTCTATCTCTCTCTCTGTTAATTGCTCATTACTCTTCGAGCATTACTTTATCGGTTTTAATAAGAGCAATGAATGCTGCTCAGTAGCGGCTGGCTATCGTATGAGAAAATAAGATGAGAAGATGCGTATAGAATCAAGACCAACTTGAGTAAAACTCCTCAGACATTCTCGAAAATGCATAAAACCGCGCCTCCCTCTTTCTATTTTTGTCTTTTATCTCTGTACCTCTCATATGCAACATACTATGCGTGTGTTCTTTCGCCTATATACCGATCCTCATGAATATTTCTCAACTTGAAAATATGGAGGAGAGGTTATCGTTCCTTAAATGCAAAAAAAAAAAGAAAATATCTTTTTCTTTTCTCAATTCTTCGAACTTTTTTTTGTTCGTCCACTCCCCCTCCCTCCCCCCCCCCCCCCCCCCCTCAGCCTTATTCCCCCTCCTTTCACTCGGACTATGTTCTCAAAAGATTTTTTGTTTTATAAAACAAAAAAGCGGAAAGAAATGAAGAAATGGGTGGGCTTTTCGTAATTAAGCTGAAACAACCTTAGAAGAAATCCAATTAAGAAAATGTCATGAGAGAAGATCAAGAGAAATAAAAGGAGCTTTTCATCTATTTAGACTTGACTACTTCTTACTCAACCTAATGCTTAATAGAAGATGTTCTTAATAGAATTGTTAATATGAAATATGAACATAGACATTGAGGAAGAGAAGAAATAATAAGAGTATGTATATGAGAGAGAGAGAGAGTTAGAGAGAGATAGAGAGATATGAAGTAGGAGAGATGAGTAGTAGACGATTTAGATTGAAAGTTAAGTGAAATGCAACCGCTCACTGACAATAAAAATTAAAAATGATTCATATTGTGTGAGACAGACAGCCGGCCTGCTCCACGTAAATGCAACGTGAAAATTGAAAAAAGAAAAAAGTACGATTATGGTCGAATGAATGTAACAGCAGTTGATTATCCATCTATTCAGAAATGTTTAAATACAATCAAGAGACGACCGAGATGAGAAGAGATGAAATGAGAGAAGAGAGAGAGAGAGAGAGAGAAAGAGAAAAAAAAATATTTTTATTGAAGAATAGAATATTCTAATGAGATCATTTCAGATATATAGCCTGCAGCTATTCTTGTTTCCAAAAAAGAAGTTTATTTTAAGTTGAAATGGAAATCTAAGAAGGAATGGAAGATCAGAGCACTTGAGGAAAAGCACTCATCAGGCAAAAGCCAAAACTAACCAAAATTGGCTTCGTCGTCGTCGAAAACCTTTGAAAGATTCTCATGTGAACTGAGCTTTAAATGTTCATTAAACACCATTTAAGCCTCACTTATTCACAAATTTTGTCATTTTCTTTATTGCAAATCAAAAGGAGGGAGAATGAGAGTATAAGAGAGAAACAGAGAACGAGAGAGGTAAAGAGAGGGAGAGAGAGAGGGTAAGAAGAAGAAAAATGAAAATATGTATGAAGAGATCGAAACAGTAAATAAGGATTTCCATGCGATTGAGAGGGCATAGGTTGCGCGTAGAAGGGTTTTACCAGACAGGGTGCTGGTTGAGGATAGAGAGAGAGAGAGAAAGAGAGTATGGAATGGAGGATGCAAAGTGATTGAATATTCGAACATCTTTAACCGAATAAAATATTTTTGATGAAAAAAAAAAGAAAATTTTTAATAAAAGATAATTATCTCATATGGCCAGGGTCAGGGGGAGTATGGTTTCCTCTCCTCTGCTCTCTCCCTCCCTGTTGTCATCTCAAATAATCAATAAGAAAAGAACTTATTGATCAGTCGGAAAATACAGAAATGTAACAGATACATACTAAAGATAGAACAGAATATAGATCAGTCTATTAGAGATGGATGGAAGGTTGAATGAGTATAGAGAATGGAGTAATCTCTCATAAACAGTCAAAAATGTATTTTGAAATTGAGAACTGCAGCGAGAGACAAGACAAGCCAATACAACGTTGGCCCCACACAATCTCTTCTACCTTTCTCTCGATCCAAACGGTGGTCGATGGGACAACGACATTGATTCGGTCGGGGTGGGCAGACAGCAAAAAAAAAACTTTTTTTTTTTTGGAGAGTAAACGAGGTAATATTGGAGATGAAAGGTAAAAAGTGATAGAAAAATAGATGAGATGGATAAAGAGATAGAGGGAGAGAGAGAAAAAAGGAAATATAGAGATGTTGAGAGAGAAAATAACAAAAACTATAAGATGAGAGAGAGTGTAAGAGAGAGAGAGGAAAGATATAGAGAGGTGGTAGAAGAAGAAAATGTCCGATAAAATCAATCTGTCAAATAGAAGGAGGATGGTCAGGTTTGAGGAGAGGCGCAACATGATTGAATCAAAAATTGTTAATCGACAAGGCTTTAACAAGCATCTCAGCATCCTTTCTCCACAATCTGTCAATCACCTTGGCTTTTTTGCTGTTTTTTCTTTCTTTTTTTTTTTTTTTTTTTGAAATAATGACGGCGATTTGTATCAGATGATGGTTGATGTTGCGAACGAAGGAAAGTTCCAGTTCATTCCAAGAATGCTTCTTCTGCTTTTCATTGTTTTTAAAATGAAAATAACAAGTCCAAAAGCTTAATTACTGATAATTAGTGTCGGGAGACGAAAAAGGGAAAAGCTTAAAGCCCTGATGTCATTTAATCATTCAGCTGTATTTAAATTAAATATTCAAATTGCTTCTAACTTTTGTAGTTTACTAATTTCCCCCCTTTTTTAATATTGATAGAATTTTAGAGGAATTATTAAGATAGCATTTATGTATTAAGGCAATCATATATATATATGGAGTGAGAGAGAGAATGTAGTGGAGAGAGAGAGAGAGAGAGAAACACCTTCACTCCAATATTTACCTGGAAATTGAGGTAAAATTCGTTTGCATTCAAAAGTTTCATTATGATTTCAACAATAACAGCTAAGGATGTGTTCGTAGGAGTTTGTTGAATAGACAGAGAAGAGTGCGAGAGAGTGACAGAGAGAGAGAAATATGAAGAGTGAAAGGAACGTGAGATACACAGAAGATGGCCTGTAGCAGTTTCAAATCGAAAAAAGAGAAAAGCTGAAGCTCTAAAGTGAAATATTTTAATTGAAGGAAGGCGAACAAAGAAAAGCCGAGCAAACATTTATAGCGAGAAGTACAAAAAAACGGTTTGGGGAAGCAACGGTTGAAGATAGGTTGAAGGTTGAGTGGTAGGAGTAATCTCTGGGTAATTACATAATCACCAGAAAGCGATCAGCAACAACCATGCCCTTAGGCGTTTTTATCTCAGAAAAAACGCGTCTGAACAGAAAAACCTTTGTCATAAGTGATTTGTGTGAGTTTCGTGAGTTTTCAAGAGACGTGAGAGAGAGGAAAAAAAAAAGTTTTCGAACGGCTTTCGCCACCCATTGCACACACTCGACTCTTCAATCAATCAATAAGTCGATTATCTGTTAGAAATTAGCATAATAGTTTCAATAGCTATTAGTGAGACGTTGAAGAGCGGTTGCTATTGTGTGATGGTGAGTGTAAGCGTCGATGAAGAAGAGGAAGACATGAGAAGGAAGAAGAGAGAGAGAGAGAGATAGATAAAGAGAGAAGGATGAAGAAGTTTTTTTTGATTTATTTCAAAATTAAATATTTGTTTAACAGCATTCGACCACCCAAGAAGATTCAAATGTATAAGTGATGGTTATTGATTCGTAATTAAGGAGGGGTGGTTAGATGACTGCTGCTTCTCAGACATAGTAATTGGATTCGCATGAAAATGTATTTTGAGAGTTTTTGAACAACAAAAAAAAAGAGAAAAAAAAGAAAAACTTACGGAAGTGTCAGTCGTTGCTGGGTGGTCAGCAGAATTTGTGTAAAATTGCTCTGAAAAGCTTATAAATCAGATTAAATTATCCATTTTATGCATGATTTTCATGCCCACCCCTCCCACCACCCCCTTTGCGTCTACTCTCATATATTTCTTAAAGCAAAATGTAATTTGGATTTACAATGCTTATATTGCCTCAGGGCAATTTCATTCAACTTCATCTTCGTTTTGAAGCTTTTTTTCCATCAAATTCCTCAGAGTGTTGTTGGAAGAGAAAAAAAAAGTTTAAAATTTTCATAAAAGTTGGCTTGGCTAAGGAAGAAATAGCTTAATGGAATTGCCGCTTTTCTTTGGTCAAGTTGTAAGCTGAAGCATAAGCTGAGGGTTCGTTGCTATCATCGTTTCGTACTCCATATATGTATAAGTATACATCTATCTATATCTCTTTCAGATTTTCAAAAAAGAAAGAGATAAGGGAGGAGGAGAGGTGATAGATCAGTAATCATACTGCCAGCTCTCTCTCTTTGTGTTTGAATGAATGAACAAGTTAACTCACGTTAGAAGGAGGAACAACTACAGGAGGATTGGGAGGTGTCATCATTTTTGCCTAAGAAGAGCCGTTTTTAAGACTTTCGTATAAAAACAGCCAAATCGTCTTGCTTAAACAGTCATTTAATAGTTCCTTTGTTGTTTCATCCAGAAGTCTTATATGGATATGGAGAGAGGCTCGTATTCGTCTGAAATGGACATCAAAGATAATTTGAGATCAAAAAAAGAGAGAACGAACGAAATATAAAGAGATAAAGAGAGAAAGTAAGAGAGAGAGAGAGAGAGAGAGAGAAATGAAATGTTTGTGAGAGCAAATTGTGAAGACGAAAAAATAAGGAAAATTATAGCAAAAGTGGTTGAAAAGCAAATTAATGAAGTATTGAAGTTATCATTAAAACAAAAAAAAGAGATAAGAAAGAGAATTCTTTGGTGGTCGAAAAGTAAAAAATCCTTTTTTCATTCGATAAATGTCTTTTTATGCAAAAATGATGAAGAGAGAGAGGGTGGAAGAGAGGGAGAAGCTGACAAAAAAAGAACTGGGATGAACAAGTAAGAAGATGTACGAGATGCCAAAAGAGGTTTCCACTTCTTCTTTATCTCCTATAGTTGGCAACAAAAAAATTATTTTGTGAAACGTTAGGAGAGACGTGTAATAGTATAAGTGAGATAGAGAGAGAGGGAGGGAGAGGTGCTATGAGATCAAGTATCAAAATGAAAACATTTGAACATTTCAAACAAAACTCTTAATCTCTTAGAGTTTGAGAATTTCATCATAAATGTTTATGAAATGTATCGTTTCATATCATTTTCTGTTTCCTAAGTATCAAAGAAGAAACGAATAGGAATGACACTGAGATGGAGCTGGGGAGGAAGAGAGAGAGAAAGAGAAGGTAGAAGCTCTTGCTGATAACAGAAATAGTGGGCATGGAGCGTTTCGGTCTCTTTCTCTCTCAATTCTCAATGGTGAGAGTCATGAGCAATATGGGTGGGAAAAGCAGCAGGCAGGGAGGTGCTGATCAGGTTGAAAGGACATTTCGAGTGTTCAAATATGAGTACAGGTGAAAATGGGAGAGAGAGAGAGATTTGCATTTTCCGAATAAAGCACTACAAGCTTTTGCAAGAAAACAAGAAAAAATAGGATTTGGAGTAATTCTCGAATGAGCAATTTCAGAGAAAACAACAAAGAGAGAAAGGTTAAAGAGAGGTTTTTTGACAAAAAAAAACCTTCCAAACTTGAGGAAGATGAGAGGGAGTGAGATGGTGATAGGAGGAATTGAAGTGAATCACGTAAAAAATGGAGAAAAGAAAAGAAAGATGAGTAGTAGCGGATGAAGGAAAAGCTTTGTAAGATGTAGGATTGCCTCAGAAGAAAAGTTTGCAGGAGAAATGAAAACAACATAAGATTATGAGAGAGGACAGCAATATGGGAAGACGAAGTGACGACGAGATCGACATGCGAGATGATGATGGACAATTGCGCCTCAGGGCATTTGAATCAAGTATTGTCTTGAGAGAAACAAAAAATAAGATAGGAATTGATTACGTCATAATAAGATTAGTTGATTAAAAAGGAAATGATGAACATATGAATTGACAAGGCAAAATGAAGGTCAGATAGAACAACCGCTCTACACGTGTGCAAAAAGAAAAAAAATGAAGAAAAGAGAAGATGAAGATGAGAAGAAGAAGAAGAAGATGAAGATGAGTATAACGAAATGTTACTTGACATAACTAAATTTGATTTTTAGATTCGTGAAGATCTACCATAAAGATTCGCAGTGTTGAAGAAGTAAAAGTAATAGACTGTTGATGAAACATACATGTGAGCTGATAAAAAATAATAAGTGGGTGGTGTGGGGGGGGGGGGGGGGGGGGGAATGGGGCAGGGCCAAGATGAAAATGGTCAATGATGATAACATTGATGGTGGTCTAATCAGTCGTGGAGGGGGAGAAAAAGAAAAATTTTGGAATTAAATAGAGAAGAAATGAAAGAAACGAATGAGAAGAGAATCTGACGATTACTAAGAAGAAGTCAGTTGTAACTTTATACAGTTTAACTCACTACATGAAACCCAAATAGTATACGGAGCAGAAAGCTGTCAATAAGGATTGAGTGCAACGATACCGAGTTCAAAGAAGATTCTGCATTAAAAAAATAGTCGGCGCTTTTTAACATTTCATGAATAGAATGAAAGCTTAAAGGTTGCAAAGACGAAGATAAAGAAAGCCAAATACGGAAAACAATGACCACACCTACACGTGCTCTTCGTAGGCTTTTCTTGTTAGTTTAAAGCATTTTTCAGAATAAGAATATAAACGTGAAGAGTGATAAAAGTGTCTAACGAGAGAAGGGATGTGAAGAGAAAGAGAGAGAGAGAGAGAGAAAGGGTTGAAAAAGGAAAACCGATGAACGATCAATGTCATCCAAAAAATCATTCAGAACTATAAATGGATGAAAATAAGCGATCATTTTTACAATAAAATTCTTCAATTTGAGTAATTTGCTAGAAAAAAAAGGTAGAAGAAACAGGTAGAGAGTGATGGAGAGATTGAGAGAGAGATACATAGAGAGAGAAAGAAGATGACTGCTGCTATATAAGGGAGGAAAGGTCAAATGTTAGAAGTGAATGTTGTTAGTTATTCAATGATAGTAACGGCTTTTAAGGAGAAAAGAAGGAGAATAAGATTGACGAAAATGTGTTGTAAAAAGATACACGAAGAGAGGGAATTGTCAGGAGAAATAGGGAGAAGACGGAAGAGGCAGCAAGAGAGAGAGAGAGAGAATTGGATATCATGAAGATTCATTAAACCAAAGCAAAGAGAATAAAACGGAAGACGAAGAGAAAAGAATCGTTTGATCGTGGGTGGCCGCTATCTTTCAGCTCTTGTTTGACCGACTGATGAAAGACGATGAAAAACGGAAGGCAGAAGCAGATGAAGAGAAGAGACGGAAGAAAAAAAATGGGTGAGAAATGTGAAGAAGAAAAAAAATATTTTATTCAAAAAACTACGAGCAATACATGAAAGCGTAGACTGCCAACGCGATAGGTAAAGCCGAGCACCGTCGTCAAGAAGGGTATTATTAAGGATTATCTAAGCTTTTCCACCTTCTAATCTATGTGGTCATTAACATTTTTTTTCTTATTTTTCCTAATTAAAAATATGTGCGAAAATTATTATTTTTTGTTAATTCTCAGGCAGGGCGATTAAGAAGTCGGAAGCGCAAGACGTAGAGAGAGAAAGATAGTGGCGTAGAGAGAGAGAGGGTGATGGGTAAAAAAAAGCCAAAAAAAACTTTTTTTCACTATTTTTGATTAAATTTTTTTCTTCGTCTTCAGTTGAACAAAAGAACTGCCATTATTTGAGGGTTTCGGGATTGTGGTCATTCTGCCTCTTGTGAACTTGGCAAATAAAATTAGAAGACAATTTCTCTCTCGCTTCCCATCTCCCTCTATCTTTTTTCCTTTTCAACCTTTTTCGTGTTCTTCATTTGACAAACTCATTTTATATCGTCATGCCTCAGGCTGTTCTTTGTAGCTCATTTCAAGTTACAAACAAAAAAAAACATTTCTGTTCCAAAATCCATAGAAATGAATAAAAAAACTGAGTAAAAATGCCCTTTCTACTCTTCTCTTCATCTGATATCTCTCTCAGTCTGTCATATGGTCCCTTCTTCTCTCATTCCCTCTGAATTTGCATTCGCTTCATGGCTTTCAGTACAAACCGTTTTGAAACATCTCACAAATTCAGTTTAGAGTCGGATGCTGAATGTTTGAAGACGAAAAAAATATAAAAAATTCTGATAAACTCATTCGTTCTGATGAAAAATTAACCGACTCTCCTATATGTTTGTTGGGACGATCGAAGCTTATATGTCCTCATAAGGTTACACGTCATTCTAGGAAATCGTCTGGGTGGCCGGGAGGATTAAAAAAATTGGTAAACGAGGGGGGAGGGAACAGCAATAAGCAACTGATGTTTGAACGCAGTTGGATAGCAATATCTATATGAAGCTGAATTGAAAATGAAAAAAAAACAAAAATAAAAGATTATTAGTTTCAATGCAATGTGGAGAGAGTTAGAAGAAGGAAGAGAGAGTGAGAATGGAAACAGAAATACCCCCTAGGGTCTTGAAAGGCGTTTGAAAAGAAAAAACTAAAAATCTCTCAATGATAAATGAGCTTGTTGGGCAATGTTTTGGCAACGTTTAGATGGTTATGATAGATGATTAATGAAAAAAAAAGATTTTATCGTTAAAAAATATTTCTTTTTCACTGCGAGTGCCCCCTCTCTACTGCTCTCCCCCCTCCAATTCGTGTCTATTCCCTTCTATAGAAAAAGCCTGAGGGCATTAAGATATCTGAAACAGCAAAGTTTACTTGCGATGAATGAGAAAGTTGCTATCTACTCTCTTCTCCATTCCTCTTCACCTCCCTTCTACCCTCCCTACTCTCTCTTTCTCTTTCTAAAACTAAACTCTCTTCATTCTTTCGCAACTTTTTTTTTGCTCTCCTACTATCTATATAAAATGCTCTTTGCATCTATCATTGGACCACCCTCTAGGCATATCAGAAGCGAACAGTGCAAATAAAGGCAATATGGCCAACCGTCACAATTGCAAAAGTTAAACACTTATGTTCCTAATAAACGTTGTTCAAAAATAATTTCTTAAGGCAAGAGAAGGTATGTAAGAGAGTGATAGTGAGATAGAGAGGAAGAGAGCAAGCAAGAGAGAGAGAGAGCGGAATATACAACCGATTCTTGATTCATAAAATAACAAAATGATTATCAATTGCCACGTCGACCACGTGAATGGATTATTCTAATAACTTGACGTTATAAATCGTAGAAAATGACAAGAGAAGCTGGAAATCCTTTCTTTAAAAGTTCGCAAAAGCACAAAACGGATGAGATTTCAGCTTCTTCTTTCCGAATAAAAAAAAACCGAACTGATGAGTAGGCGATGAAGCATTTGAACGACAAAATAAAGAAAAAAGGGCTTCATGAAAGTGCTGAAGCAGTGGCAATTTGGTATGTGTCCAAGCTTCATCC